AGGACCCAGAGGCAAAAGCGAATGGGGTAACAACTGTAATTTTTATTTTTATCTCTGCTAGTTTCTACACACAATTGCACATCTGTCTCTCTGCTCCATGCAGGCAAGTAAGAGTGTAGCATCATCAGACTTCAAGGACACTCAGGGTGCAAAATAGGGCCAGTGAGGGGGGGTGGCTTGGGGAAACTTCCAAGGGCCAGACAGAGTCCTGGAGGGCCACATTCAGCCCACTGGGCTGAGGTTCCCCACCACGACTGTAAAGCAACAAGATGGATGTACGGGAGTCTCCCCACTTAACGCACGCTTGACTAGTGCACAACTGCACAGTGCTGAGAAAGGGTTAAATCAATCTATTTAAATGGCCAAAAGGCACAAAACAGCAAAAAAAAAAAAAAAAACCAGCCCGAAAAGAGCCGGAATAGTGCAAAAATGGCACAGAAAGAGCAGTAAAATGCGAGGAGCCTTTGCAACTGCAATCCCATCAGCCTTTGCACCAAATGTTGATGCTTGTGGAGAATCAGAGTTTGCGAAAGGAGGTTTGGAGGGAGCGACTGTGGTGAAATTTTGTGGATTTGGGGCGGAGTTTTTGGTGTTCCCCGCTATAGATGCATGTGCAGTACTCAGGAACGTAACTGTAATGTTGTGGGTGAACATATCAGACGACACAGCGATTTTTCAAACAGCTCTTGTTTATTCACAGGCCAGAACAGAACTGAACTGAAGGGCTCAGTCAGCCTGCTTATATAGAGCTCCAGTACCACGTAACTGTAACAATTTTCTGTAACTATCCAATCACTGAACGTCCCTTTCGATCCCTTATTTGCATAACTATCTACAGTATCCCCCTGCTGGCCCAGGGTGAGAACTTCAGTACATAACAGTAACCCTCAAGTAAGCAAGGAGATGCCTATAGTTCCATAGGCTTGCAAGGAGAAGGGGCTGCATGAATGGAACATAAAGCAAAGCAAGGACACATTATGTTTCCCTAAACCCTGTTGATACCAGGGTCCTGTGCACAGGCAATGATGCCTCCCATCAATGGTATTCTTCTCCTTGCGCCTGCTGCATGTACAACTGCCCTCCATCACTCCGGCTGTCTCAACATTTCATACCATAAAATGTCCTAGTGGTCTGCATCAAACTTCTAACATAGCACCTTCAGTGTGGTCATAATCAGCCTCCCGCTAGACAAACAAGCAAAAGCAACCCCACTGCAATCATCTGATGCTTGGTAGGCAAGCTCCTCGGGGCAAGGACCAGTAGCTTTCTTTATCTTAACTCAGGGGTAGGCAACCTAAGGCCCAAAGGCTGGATACAGCCCAATCGCCTTCTCAATCTGGCCCATGGACGGTCTGGGAATCAGCATGTTTTTACATGAGTAGAATGTGTGCTTTTATTTAAAATGCATCTCTGGGTTATTTGTGGGGCATAGGAATTCATTCGTTATTTTTTTTCCAAAATATAGTCCGGTCCCTCACATGGTCTGAGGGACGGTGGACTGGCCCACGGCTGAAAAAGGTTGCTGTCCCCCTATCTTAACTCATAAAGGACCATTACACTGGTGCTGGAACAGAGCAATAAAAATAATAATCAGACAAAGCTAGGGCTAGGTTACTCTGGGTTAACACCCAATGGGAAGGGTTACAGCTGGGCTGACTAAGCTGAGGCCCCAGGGCCGTCTTTACCCGGGGGTGCAGGGCACCCAGGCGCCAAATTCTGGGGGGCGCCAGGTGCCCACCGCTGAAGCCGCCTAAGCTCTTAACTATCTACCTGTTATGAAATAATAAATAATTGTGATCAAGCTAGAAAAACAAAACACATATATACAGTGGTACCTCATGTTAAGTACTTAATTCGTTCCAGAGGTCTGTTCTTAATCGGAAACTGTTCTTAACCTGAAGCACCACTTTAGCTAATGGGGCCTCCCACTGCCGCCACATTGCTGCTGCGCGATTTCTGTTCTCAACCTGAAGCAAAGTTCTTAAGCTGAGGTAATATTTCTGGGTTAGCGGAGTCTGTAACCTGAAGCGTATGTAACCTGAAGCATATGTAACCCGAGGTACCACTGTACCTAGGTATTACCAAAATGTATACCTACTGTTTCACTAAAGGACTTTTGACTTTGTGTGCTCATTTACCAAAGCAGCGGCGCTTGTCATTCTCAACGGCACTGTACACGCAAAATTAACTCTTACATCAAAATATTATGTTGCATGGTGTTTGGCATAAGTATAATGAAAGTTAATTTGGGGGCTAAACTAAATTTGGGGGCGCTGGGCGGATATTCCATCCCGGCGGTGCATATGCTAAAGACCCCACTGTGTGGCCCTCCAGGCTTCATCTCCCATGAGTCCCAGCCGGTGTGCTGAATGTGCTACAGCGTCATCGCAGGGCCACAGGATCCCCTACACTAGGTAACAGGGAAACTCTGGTATTGCCCGTACAGCTTCTTTAGGGAAGCCTACCTCCCCCCTTGGACGTGGGTGGCGCTGTGGGTTAAACCACAGAGCCTAGGGCTTGCCGATCAGAAGGTCGGCGGTTCGAATCCCCGCAACGGGGTGAGCTCCTGTTGCTCGGTCCCTGCTCCTGCCAACCTAGCAGTTCGAAAGCACGTCACAGTGCAAGTAGATAAATAGGTACCACTCCGGTGGGAAGGTAGACGGCATTTCAGTGCGCTGCTTTGGTTTGCCAGAAGCGGCTTAGTCATGCTGGCCACATGACCCAGAAGCTGTACGCCACCTCCCTCGGCCAATAAAGCGAGATGAGCGCCGCAACCGCAGAGTCAGCCACAACTGGACCTAATGATCAGGGGTCCCCCCCCCCTTTACCTTACCTCTTGTGGACCATTCATCTAGCTTATCTCCTCCTTGACTATATGCTGAGCCAGCAAAGCACTGTGGCTACGGACAAATGTTTTTCTGTGACAACAGTGGAGGGACAGGGAACAAATTCATTTCGATGAAGTATTGCCAACTTATCTCTGAAACGCTTCCTCCTCCGTTCATTCCAGGGAGATTTCTCATTTTCCAGCGATCCCTTATTTCCACTCTTTCTGCATCTCTTGGCAAGGCTGCTGCAGCTGGACACAATCTCTGCTCCTTAACCTCCGGAGAGGCCTGGTGTAACTGTGTGCAGGAACACAGGCAGACAAGGAATTCCACAAGTGAATCATGAGCTGAGCCTTCAGAGAGAATTTAAGATGGGGATTTTCTTTTAAGTCTGGAATGCAACTGCTCCAATAGTACACACGGTCCCCAAGAGACCACTAGCACAGTGTGTGCGTGTACTGTAGCTGGAAAAGGGAGGAATGGTGCTTTGACTTTCTGTTGCAACCAGACACATTTTAATTTGAATCCTATACTACCAGCAGGGATGCTGGTGGTGCTGTGGGTTAAACCAGAGCCTAGGGCTTGCCGATCAGAATGTTGGCGGTTCAAATCCCTGACGGGGTGAGCTCCCGTTGCTCGGTCCCTGCTCCTGCCAATCTAAAGTTTCATTTAAGTACTCATGAGAGATCATGCCAGGTATGCGGGTGGCGCTGTGGGTTAAACCACAGAGCCTAGGACTTGCTGATCAGAAGGTCGGTGGTTCGAATCCCTGACGGGGTGAGCTCCCGTTGCTCGGTCCCTGCTCCTGCCAACCTAGCAGTTTGAAAGCACACCAGTGAGAGTAGATAAATAGGTACCGCTCCACCGGGAAGGCAAACGTCATTTCCGTGTGCTGCTCTGGTTTGCCAGAAGCAGCTTAGTCATGCTGGCCACATGACCCGGAAGCTGTACGCCGGCTCCCTTGGTCAGTAAAGTGAGATGAGCACCGCAACCCCAGAGTCGGCCATGACTGGACCTAATGGTCAGGAGTCCCTTTACCTTTACCTTTATACTACCAGCATGGTAGTGTCCGACTCTTTGTGACCCCCTGGACCAGAGCACACCAGGCACTCCTGTCTTCTACTGCCTCCCGCAGTTTGGTCAAACTCATGCTGGTAGCTTCGAGAACACTGTCCAACCATCTCGTCCTCTGTCGTCCCCTTCTCCTTGTGCCCTCCATCTTTCCCAACATCAGGGTCTTTTCCAGGGAGTCTTCTCTTCTCATGAGGTGGCCAAAGTATTGGAGCCTCAGCTTCAGGATCTGTCCTTCAAGTGAACACTCAGGGCTGATTTCCTTCAGAATGGATAGGTTTGATCTTCTTGCAGTCCATGGGACTCTTAAGAGTCTCCTCCAGCACCATAATTCAAAAGCATCAATTCTTCGGCGATCAGCCTTCTTTATGGTCCAGCTCTCACTTCCTACATCACTACTGGGAAAACCATAGCTTTAACTATATGGATCTTTGTCGGCAAGGTGATGTCTCTGCTTTTTAAGATGCTGTCTAGGTTTGTCATTGCTTTTCTCCCAAGAAGCTGGTGTCTTTTAATTCACAGAAGACTGGAGTAAATTTACAGACTATTTAAGAAGTATTTTTGATGATCAGACTACCTTTGTAGGTTTGCAAGACGTTTTGTGAGGAGTATTATTGGAATTATTGCAAAAATGGATAAGGGGGAGGACGGCTAGTTAAAATAGTTAAAAGCAATAGGAATTGAAGAAATGCATAAGAAGGGGTCAAAACGGTGGATCATCAGAGGTGCTGATGGAAGTCCAAAAAAAATGATTATATAAGTGATGAAGTTTTGTGGTATGTATTATAATTCATATGTCAAAATTAATAAAAATTATTTTAAAAAAACAAATAGTGTGCGCGCACCGCAAAATCATGCGATCGATTATGCGGGGTGGGGCTTACCTGGTCTGCTCCCCCCCCCCCCAATATTTTATTCAAGCTGGCACTCCTGCCCACAAACACACTCGCTCCCCTTTGTCTCCCTCCGCCTTTCCCGTCGGCGGACCCTTTCCCTCCCCGACTCCCCTCTCCTTTAACAAAGGGCCGCTTCCCCTTTAAGCCCCTCGCCGCCTCTCTCGCCCTATCTCCGCGCACTCTCGCGCGCGCATGCGCACACCCCGCCCTCCCTTGGCTGCTGAGGCGCCGCTGCTGCTGCCGCCGCCGCTCTGGTGTCTGCCTCGTCTCGCGCTCGCGCCGCCGCCGCCCCTCGCGCCTCTCTGGCCCCGCGCGAGCTGAGGGCGAAAGCGAGGCTGTCGCCGGTTGCGCCTCAGCTCCTGTCGCGAGGCCGTCGCCATGGCGGGCGGTCCGGCTCGCCGCCCGCGGCCGGTGGGGCCCGAGACGCTACTGGTGCTGCTCGTCCTACTGGTTTTCGGGGGCCACCGCGGGGCCCAAGGTAAGAGGGGAGGAGGAGGAAGAGGAAGAAGAAGAAGAAGTAAGGGACCTCATCCAACATGGCGGCGGCGGCTTCAGCTCGGGGTGGGGCGTGTAAATATTGGGGCGAGGGGCGAAAGAGGGGAGAAGGGAGGCGTCGCGGGGTTGGGGAGGAAGGGTCTCTTGGGTGTAGAGGCGGGGTCCCCATCCCTGAGGGGGTGGGGATCTGTCTGTGTGTGAGAGAGAAATCCACCGAGAAATCCACTCAAGCTGTCAGATTATAGGGAGGGGGGTCTGCGGACCCTCCATAGAAACCCTGCCTTTGATCCTTCGCTCCAGCAGCCGTGGGACGCGAGGGTTGGGGGGCTGCTTGCTGCGGAGCTGCCGTGCCTTAGCAGAGCTGGGGGGTTGGGTTGGGGTTTGGGTTGCGAGGTGCAGGCTGGGGGGTGGGATGTGTGCTGGGATGGGGTGGGAGGTCTGAAAAAATGAAAATAATTATATAAAAAAGAATTGTGATGCATCTAGGGCAGGGCTGTGCGACTTCCAAGAGGCTGCGATCTACAACCACCGTAAAAACACTGGCAGAGATCTACCCAGCCCTGATCTAGGGGGACGGGTGGCTGGCATCGAAATGTGGAGCCCGATTCGTCAAGAGAGACAATGGCCAACTGGAGGAACACCTGATTTCCTCGAGGGGTGGAGGGAGGGTTGTGTTTCTTTATAGGGGCCTTGCAGATCTGTGATGCCTTTCTCGTGTGTTTGTGTGTGTGTGTGTATGGGGGGGGGAGTGTAATGGAGGTCACATGAACCCAGTCCCTGTTCAGGTTCCTTGCTTCTGCCAACCCCTCTGCAGATCAGACTTGGCGAGGAATGAATTTTAAAAGCATGTTTTTAATCAATAGGCTGGCGTGATGGTTGTTAATTGTGTCAACAAGTATGTAAAACTCCAGAATTTTAACATAAAAAAGGAGGCATGGTATGAGACTTAAAGCCCACTATCGGCCCGCAGTGGAGTTCCTGTTCACCCCAAATAGCCTGCCTCTGAGAATGTTTTGGTTTCACCATGAAGTGTCCTCAGGCCTGATGACTCGAGAGTCCCCCTTGCTGTCTTAACAAAGACATCATCACATAAGGAGCCAGTCAAAAACCAGTTCCTTATTTGCAGACCTGTTTGTTAATGTATTGCAAAGGGAGGTGTGGGGCATCAGCCTTGAGAAGGTCTTGGTTCTTAACAAAGCTTTTGATCAGGTAGGGCTAAGCACTGTATGCCACTAGACAGCTAGTCTGTTTATATATTGATGCATCTCAGGACAACCCAGAGTTTTGTTCAAGACCCTGAAAAGCCAATTCCACTTTGAAATGTTGGAATGCGGTGTGAGTGATTTTTGCCACATGGGTAACTAGTTAAAGGTGATGTGGCCACATGTAGAACCAATCAGCTTGTCATAAGTTGGCCAGTTCTCAATCATTTCTTGTTATGGATCTCTTTGGTGACCTGGATATCTCAGGTCATGAACTGAGGGTACCTGATGCAGCCACCTAGCTGAAACCAACCAGGTCTGGGTCAGATGGGAGAGCTTCTGGGAGCCGTATGTGTGCTGCTGTCTTGGATTCTGTGATGGGGGAAAACAGAATATAAATGTACTAAATAAATCATCAAGCTACTCAGTCAGTTTAGTATATGGCAAAGTCAGCTTAGATATCATTGCCCTTCCCTTTGGGCTCTTCCAGAAAGTCTTCTGGGTACAAGAATTTGTTGTGAATAAGGAACACGTGTATCTAGATGGTTTCTTCTGCCATATAGTTGCTGTGGCAAGATATCTCAGTTTCTTGGAAGAGGGAGGACAGAGTCTGGCAATGCCTCATTCAGCTAATTGGAAATTTTGAATTTGGAGAACACTGGTAGCAAGATTATTCCCCAGGACATTTGCAGAGCTGGGCTTATTCTGGTACAAAGATATAAAATGGGTGCTTCAAAGGAGGATGTAAAAAAGATCAACATATAGGGATAGGTGGCAGCATGTTATCTCTGAAGTATGAGTTTGCAGAGGGATAAATACAATCTTACCACGTTCCTGAATGATGGTGTCCAAGGCTGTGTGGCTTAATCTCTTTTTTTTAAGGGGTGTATTGCCATGGTTTCTGAAGATTGTTGTTTGCCATTGGAAAGAACACAGCTTTAAAGGGGTTCTGCTATCAGGTGTTCCCATCAGTTTTATCTAAAGCCCTGCTCCCTTTTCTGATTAATTAACATTTGCTTTTTAGCATTGAACTCTGTGAACTCGCTTTCCCTTAAATTAAATTTTTTTTTAAAGGATATGCTACAAGGTTCACATTACAGCCCAGTGTAGAGGAGAGCCGCAATTCCAAAACAATTCCATTATTAGAACTTAACAAATGGGCAAATTTTTGCTAACAAATAAGCTGCTAACAATTAAAAAAAATAGAAAATCCGAAAATGTCTGAACCAGACAGTAAGAACAGTAGAAAATGGCAGCATCAAAACTAACAACAGGAGATAAAAATCAATCAATCAGTCAGTCAGTCAATAGCATGCTTAATTTCACCCTAATGCTGCAGTCCTATGCACAGCTAAGCAGATAGTAGCTCCACTGAACTCTTCACACCAGTATGCCAGCCCTAAGTAAACATGCCTAGGATTGGGCTACAAATCTCATTTGCTTCTTTCCAATAATTTTATTTAGCTAAGTTTTGTGTGTTGAGAAAAACTTAAAAATTATGAGAACATATACAGTATGGGTGCTTGGATGTTCTGACTACTGTACATGATACAGGAACTAACAAATGAGAATCCAATGAAATTGACAGTAATAATATTGCTTCATAGCATTGTTGTGATATTTTGTTCTTTTTAATCCTCCATCTCTTAGTTTAGTTCTCAATTCATTTGTTCCAGCTTTGGGTTGTTCAAACCAATTAAAAAAAATATCCAGATTGCCAGCATAAGGTGAAACTGGATTTCAGAAGAGCTAGTGGGTGCTTATCTAACTGTTAAATGTGAAATTATTAGGGAGCAGATTAACTTTGTATGTGAAGCCTACTGAAGACTGAGCCTCTCCATTCATGTCACACTTCACTCTGCTCTGAAAAGTTCTTATTGGTTTCCTTCAAATTCATGCCTGTTGAAAAAATAAATAGGAATGGGGAAATTGACTTCCATAGTCTTTGATGCTTTGTTTTGGTTGACAGCAATTGTTTTCAGCAAATGCTGCAATGTACGTTTTTACTGATAGTATTTCTCGGTGAGGTGTGTATGCAGCATGGTTTTATGGGCAAGGACAAATGTGCAAATAAAAACTGATGTTTGTGAAAAGGTGTGTGCAAGGAACTAATTTTGCCAAGTTGCAAGAGAAAGGGGTGGGTGAAAGCCAATTTTAAAAGGATAATAGTAAACAGCATGAACTGCTTGAAGCTTAACTGTGGTAATTGGTGTCTCTTTAAGCAAGCATAACATGCTTTCTGTGCTTTGCTAATAAGGTTCATTTTCAGTAGCTTTCACTTGTGCTGTATATGTATTTTTACATGAATAAAACAGCCTCCTAATTACTTTGTATGAAAACATAATTCAGCTTGCTGTTTCCGTAGCTTCTGAGCATGCAGTGTCCTGTACGATTAATAAACCTACATGTTTAGAAGCTTAGCTGTTACTTGAAAGTAAAAAGTTGTGGATTCCTTTGCTGATATTTCTCAGAACAAGGATTTATTTAGTTCAGAATAGAACATAATTTATATTTTATTACTTTCCAAGAAAGATATCACTTAATTGGAAATTGGGTGCACTGTCCAAAAAAAACCGTCCTTGAACTTCTTTTCACACATCTTGGCCAGAACGCTGAGATTTTCCTCCCACTATTGTCCATCTGGTTTGATATCCCAATCTTCTTGCTGTTGTGGAAACTGCACTTGTAAATGGCCTCAAATAAAACTTTAGCCCTATGGTCAAATAAGCAGTTTAAAGGGTGTCCACGAGTAAGATTATTTCCTGTTACACTATTATCCAGAATGCTTCTCTGCAGTTGCATTCCAGAAGTGCAGACCATAAGGAGATAATTTCTCTTAAGGTGAGCTTTCACTTAGTAGTGAGGGCATAACATAAACAAATTAAAGTGGAGAGTTAGCAGCTCAAGGCCCCTCTGCTAAGCCTTTAAAGCAATATTGTATATATAATTTAAGTATTTGAATCAAAGCCTCAAAACCAGTCTTAGTTGCTGTACGTGTTCTTACCGAATTGACCATTTATGAATAAACCCAGAGTACTATGGAGCCAATGTGGATTTGCTCAATATTCAAATTAAAATAAGTTTTTAAAAGGTGCTTAATTCTTGAAGAAAGAATAGTTCATAAATCACTATGTGTGTCTTAGTACATTCCTATAGTGTTATTTTAAACACAGTAAAGTGAAATAACTTGCCTGTTCATAAGGTACTGTCTTACCCAATGCCAATTTCTGCTGCATTCATTGGATATAATGTTCTTCCCAATCCCTTTGATCTTTTACTCCATACAGATATTGGATGTTGAATATGTTTGTCTAGGAAATATCTCACTTAATGATTCCAATAATAACCACTTCTAAAAAACAAATCTGTTTGGGGCAGCTTAACATTATCTTGTGTGTACACATTTTAAAATTGTGTCATTTAGCAGGACTTAGGAAGCAACAGCAAGAGATGCTACAGATTTGTTGGTAGTTGAGATAAAGCATTGGGGCCAACCTACATGTTGCATAATTTTCCTCTGCAACTGTAAGCAACAGAAAGATGGGTGGGAAAGAGAGGTTTAAGCCTTTCCACTCTTAAAAGACTGTTCTCCACTTGCTACTTCCTCCTCCCAACTAATCTTAAAATATGTGTCTGTTTTTCTGTGTAGTTTGACTCCTACAAGGCTCAGAGCAAAGAGTCCTAATTCTTTGGCTATCAGATGGCACTCTGGTGCAATAAAAAATAGGCTACACATAAACAAGCATTCTTGGTCTGGGATGCTGAACGAGGAGTGGTTTCTTAGCTTCTTGGAATATTTGACCTTAGTTGATTGATGTGACGTACCAATCTTATAGGATCTATTCCGCCGGAGGGACGGGACACACTAAGCATTGCAGTTATTGTAAATTCTCGCAGTTTCTACCCTAAATTCCTATTTTTGTGATTGCTGCCAAGCAATCAGGAAATATTGCATTAGATCAGGTGTGTTAGTTGCCAGTGAGTTCACGGACCCAGTTTGGAGTGTTGTTTGCCTACCAGAAGGCTCTCACATTGAGACCTGCTTTTGAGGCCGTGCTTGTAGGCCCACCTCTTCAGAGTAATCAAGTTGGCAAGCATGCAGGAGAAGGCTTTCTTGGTGGCCCTGCATTTGTGGAACTCTGTTCCAACCTGAAGATCAGATAAGCCCCATTCCTAGCAGTTTTAAAGCAGACTTTGAAAACATGCAGAAATTCGTGGCGCTGATTTATTCTGATGATACTGTATTTATGGTCTTACTGGACTGTTTCTGTTTCATTGTGCTGGCCGCTTTATTATTATTGGTTGCATTAAAGTTTTAAATTCTGTTTTTATGTTTATATATGTATGTTTGTGTATTGTGAGGAAAAGTTATCTTACCTCTTCACTCCTAGCTGTCCTGCCAACAAAAAGAAAGGAGCCACTGCTTCCTTAATTTGAAGAGAAACAGAACTGTAGCATATTTTTTGGACATGGAAAGCGTGTGCAGATCAGTGTTAGAAACTCTCATAAGCTAGGGGCCAAATGGCTCCTTAAACCAGGGGTACAGTTGCCAAAACTGAATGCCTAGATGCCATTTTGGGGCCAGACGGCTCAAAGGTTTTATTTTTCAATAAAACTTTTTGGTTCCTGAAATTCATTCTGATTGTGCAAATAAAATATGATAGATAAAATTCTACAGGGTGTGTTGCTAGTGTAAAAATAGTCAAGACCCAAGAATCCCTAGGTATGCACCTCCAGATGGTGGAGATGTCAGACACCATCATGGCACCTAGGCATCTTCACTTGGTTGCAAGTTACCAATAAAGGTAAAGGGACCCCTGACCATTAGGTCCAGTCGTGACCGACTCTGGGGTTGCGGCGCTCATCTCACGTTACAGGCCAAGGGAGCCGGCGTACAGCTTCCGGGTCATGTGGCCAGCATGACTAAGCCGCTTCTGGCGAACCAGAGCAGTGCACGGAAACGCCATTTACCTTCCCGCTGGAGCGGTACCTATTTATCTACTTGCACTTTGACGTGCTTTCAAACTGCTAGGTTGGCAGGAGCAGGGACTAAGCAACGGGATCTCACCCCGTCACGGGGATTCGAACCGCCGACCTTCTGATTGGCAAGTCCTAGGCTCTGTGGTTTAAGCCACAGCGCCACCCGCGTCCCTTGCAACCTTGATGCAGGGGTGTAAATACTCCAAATAAATAATAATAATTTGCCCGGGTACTGAATCATGGTTTTGAGGCCAGTTTTAGCCATTCTGTTTAAATGCTATTAATATGCTATGAGCGTTGTTTCTGATATTTTATTGCAGTTCTGTGTTGGTGTTGTGCTATTTTACTACTATTTACTATTTTAAAACTATATGAATCCCTGATAGTTTTCTACCAAAGGGTGGTTTATATATTCACCAAGTATGTCTTCATTTTGAAAAGCTCCCTTCAGTGCAGATTGATTGAGTTTGAAGATGCCCCAAGGTGGAATTCAGTGCAGTGCTATGTGGGATATGTGTACTGTTGCGCTAGTGGACTTGGTTCCACGCACGCAATAACTTAGTTGATTCCCGCTTTTTATTTGTTCTACAGCTTGCTTTGTGGCAGAAGCAAAGTTGAGCTGGGCCTTCTGTCCCTTACTGAACTTGTGTCTTCGCAAGATGTATGTTAGGTCTGATGAAATCAGTGTCAGCTAGTTCACTTCAGCAGAAATGCATACTCTATAGATCTCTTGAGCAAGAACAAAGCTTTTATTCGGAGGCTCTGAAGCTTAGCTAGGCTTGTTTAAACAGCGTCTTTTGGGGCTGTGTCTGTCTTGGAGCAGAATGTCAGACACAGACATGCCAAACAGACAGTAATACAATTCCCAGCAAGCTTGTGTTACACCTTTCTTTCAGTGCATCTTTAGACATTTTATCACAGATGTAGATAAAGATCACATGAACCTTACTGTGTCCAACCCAGGAATTTTGTTTTAATTAAGTGGATTATATGTTCCACTTTATAAATGGTGTCTCTACCCTGCTTCCAAGTTAACTGCTAGAAAAAGTCTGGTCTGAATTTTGCTTTTGTTCAGTTATTTCTTTTATTGGGCTTGCCCAAACATTCCCAGCTGCACTTTCAATCATTCTGTGAAAAGAACTTGCCACTGGCCTCTTAAGTACCTGTTGGATTCTGAGCATGCAACATTCTCCAAGGTGAAATAATTGTAATAATACCAACTTTTCTTTTGCTTTTATTGACACGGGGAGAATTTTTTCCCTGTCGCTAGTCAAAACTTGAAGTGCCGGAACTGCACAAGTTGCTTTCTAATCTCTCTCTTCCTCTCCCTCTCCCTCTCCCTCTCTCTCTCCCCCCCCCCCCCCGCCCTGGGGTATTAAGGCTGACGTACCTGTTTCATGTGAAATCACCAACCTTGGCAAACAGGGCTGCATTATCAAGGTGTTGCAGACAAGCAAGGATTTCATAGTATTCTTTTTTTATTTCATAAAAAATACGGTTTATAAAGAGAATGACAAAGTGTATCACAATTTAAAATAAAACAGTACCGAAGGCCAATTAAGGTACCTTTAAACCCCAGAGTAGACTTATCCAAAATATGGACAGCTATGCAACCGTTCTGCTAGTTGGTACCTCTTACTTGAGGTATATTCACTCCCCATCCCCCCCCTTCTAAAATATTAAATCAGTTATAAGGTTAGCTCCGGACACAACTTTAGAGCATATTGAAGAGGAATTGCAGAAGGCCTTTAAGCCATCCCTATCCACCTGCAGTAAACATTGGCAAGTAAAACACTACTTCTGGCAAAGAAGCTTTTGTAAATTGGAGGAGAGTCGGTTCAGTGCGGTTGATGGACAAGTGATTTAACACAGGCAAGCAAGTTGGTGTATATTTTTGTTGGTTAGAAATATAAGGGACTTGGGAGCCCTATTCCAACAAGGAAACTTTATTGCAGTGAACAACTGGGCTGGAAAATAAGCTCAACCGCTTATGTAAGAAAAATTTGACGTACAGTATTTGATTTAGAGGATATCCTGCCCAGTCCCAAGTGAAGACTGGGGAAAAGCTTCACATTTTTGCATTTTGTACAAAAACATCTAAGTCCTGGCCTTTGGTGTATTTAAGACAAGGGTGGGGAACCTCTAGCTTATATGACAAATGAGGTCCTCCAGACCACCTAATTTGACTCATAAGACCATTTTTGGCCAATTATACCAACCCATCACTCTCCGGTTATCATATGCTTCAGGTTTGAACAAAAATGATTAAGAACTTAGAAAAAAATCAAACAAGTCGAAGGGTTTTTTGTGACTCTGTGTGTGTGTGTGTGTGTGTGTGCATTCATTCCAACATTATCAAACGAATGATAACATTTTGCATCATGTTTTTAAGATAAATAGGAATAACACTTTCTTGAAAGCAAGAGAGAGAAAACCAAGGCACTAAAGTATGAAATGAGATAAAATCCTAGAGATCTCATAAGTTTATCATCTGTATTGTTTGGGTAACTTCTTTGTTTTGTAAATAGTGGCTACAGCCTTGAAAGTTTGTATCTGCATTTTGTAGTTTTGATTTGCTGGACAGGTAAACCCACGACTGCCAAGGAGCAACTGGGAAGTCACAGCTTAGAGTGCACTCCCAATTATTTATTTGCTGCTGTTAAAATTCATTACCAAATGCAAGTCCTGTTGATTTCCAGTAGAATCAGATTGGCAAGTGGGGGGGGGTGGACAAAAGTGTTTCCCCACCTTAATATAAGAATATATTCTCTTCTCTGCCTGGTGTATCTGTTCCTCATTTTTATTCTTGCTTTCCTAAGTCTAACATCCTTATAGTAGCTCTGGGAAAAGAAAGCATGTGTCTCGGGTTTATATATCATTCTCCCAGATAATTTGTAAAACCTCCTGCGATATTACTAATTATCAGACGACTCAGTAATATATAGGAAAATTAGCTACCTATAGCACATGATTGGCTTTCAAAAATAACAATTACAGTTTTTAATTTGTGGCATTTCTGTTTGTATGGCTATTTTGTACAGCAATCTGAAAAGCTAACATTTTCTCTCCAAACTAGTGCAGTTTCTAATATGGGAGTGCTGTGCCCACACAGGTGCTGTTGTAGACAACACAAGTAAGATACACACGAATACTAATTTGAAGACTTTTTCATGTATAGTTAACAGTAAACCAGTTACTACAGACAAGGTGTCAACGATTACAATCAGATGCTACCCAACGTTGACAGATGTTTCTGTACATTCATGCATATAACAGAATAGACACAGTTAAAACCAAACATTCAGCGGAATCCAGCCAATGGGCATTCAGGGTGCTGTACATGCTTAGCATGGATGGTCTAGACGTTTTGTGTCAGAGAACAGGACATGTTTGTATCATCTATTTAGTATGCCAAGCAGAGCCAGGACTTTTAACAGGCATTAACCCATTAAGCAGAGACTCATCAGGAATTGCTACAAGTCTAGTAGTGCACTGATTACATGGCAGGAGTGTTGGACAAGTCACTGTCGTAGCTTAAAGCTACTTCACAGAGTTATTGGATCTATAAAATGAGATGACAACATTTTTGTCATCTTGCGCTCCTTTCAAGGGGAGAATACAAGCAGGCTCCCAAAGGTTGTATTCTTAAAATAGAAAGCCCTGATATTGACAATCCAGAATCGTAGACTCTGGATTGCTTGTTTTCACGCATCTGCTGGTCTTTTAAAGCTTATGTTAGTCACTTTAAGGTGTTTAAGTAACAACAACTGCATATATTCTTCAAAAGCAGAAATAAACCAAATGGAATTGCTCTTAATGGTGGTCGTTTTGCCATTACAAAAAATAAAAAAGATCCCTCCTTTCTTTCCACTCTCCACTGCTTGGAATTTAAAATTGTGTTTGCACTTGCTGGATGCTCAGCAAGAGAGAACTAGAAAATTGCCCCTTTATTTCTTATCTCTTCAATTTAATCTTGTCTCCAACTTGCATCATACCAACAGTAATTTGTTAGACTTTCATTTGTTATCAGAATCAAAGTCACTTAATGGCTCTATAGTAAAGGAAGTGTACTCAAAACCCCATTGTTTCTCTTAACTAAACTTAGGAGTGAAAGTTTCTACAGTTGCCTTGCATAGCTGCATTCTCAGAGAGCTTTTGAGAAGGCAGCACAGCTGCCGCCGAAAACTGATTAACCTAAAGACCATCAACAGTCTCAACCTTAATTGAGTTGTTTGAATTTTCATATTAAAATGAGGTCTCCCCTTCAAAATAATTCAAACGCATAGTATCTCTCTCCATCTTGGAACAGCAGAGTCTTTTTGTCTTCAATTTCCTTTTTCCAATCCCAAAATAGAAAGGATATCTGCCTGTGCCAGACAGAAGGGCTGAAGTACTAATCTATGTTTATCTCTTGTGAACTACTATTGAAAACTTTATTTTTAACTTTTTCTGTTAGTTTGTAACTGATTCTTCTTAATAGCTTACCTTCCATAACTCTTACGTTAGCCCAGTCAAAAACCTACTCAGGTGGGATCTTCATTACCTTGTAATGCAGCCCCTGTCTTGCAGCTTACTGGTCCTGTTTGAGAGGGAAAATCAGAAAGCTGCATCCAGTTGAAACTGCAAGGTGAAGATGCGAGACCTTAATGTACCATATTTTTCGCTCTATAGGACACACTTTTTCCCCTCCAAAAATTAAGGGGAAATGTGTGTGCGTCCTATAGAGCGAATGCAGGCTGCGCGGCTAAGCCCAAAGCCAGAACAGGGAGACGGAGCGCTGCGGAGCGCTCCATCTCGCTGTTCTAGCTTGGGGATGGCTGTGCAACACCTCCGCAGGGGCCCTGCGGAGGCTCCAAAGGCTGTCCCCGAAGCCTGAAGCCTTTGGAGCGCAGCAGGAACTTGCGCTGCGTTCCAAAGGCTTCAAGGATCTTTGAGGCTGGCGGTGGGGGAAAGCAGCGCTTCCCCCCACCGCCAGCCCCACAAGCCTGGGGGGCAGCGGGAAGGCGGCTTGCCACCTTCCCACTGCTCCCCGACCTGGTCTTTGGGGCTGGCGGTGGGGGAAAGCAGCACTTCCCCCCTACCGTCAGCCCCAAAGAGCAGGTCAAAAGGAACCTGAAGCCTCTGGAGCCCAGAGGGAACTCCCACCGCGCTCCAGAGGCTTCGGGTTGCCTTCACTGAAGCCTGGAGAGCAAGAGGGGTCAGTGCGCACCACCCCCTCTTGCTCTCCAGGCTTCCAAGGTAGCTGCCTGAAGCCTCCAGAGCGCAGCGGGAACTCCCGCTGCGTTCTGGAGGCTTTGGGTGAATGCATCTTGAACGCACCTTGTTTTAGAGGGGGAGAACAAGAAAAATTTATTTTTTCCTGTTCTCCCCCTCCTATGGTCTGGTGCATTCTATAGAGCGAAAAATACAGTAATTAGAAGGTTGGTATTTAGCCAGTTTTCCCCCCTGGGAGTCACAAAGTTCACCAAGACTATAGATGTCACTCTCTGCCTGTCAGGCCAGTGTGCTAGGCTAGAGCTTTCACTATGGTGCTGATACAGAAGACTGTCTGCGTACACATCATCACTTCCTGCAACATCTTGGATATTTCCTTAGAACCACCGTTCCAGGGCTTGACCTGGGCCTGACCCTGCTTAGGTTGTCAGATGTATTCATTGCCTCTGAAGGGTATTCTGAACTGACTTGACAGTGTGATAACGTCTTCCTAAGGATTGGAGGAGTTTGTTGTTAAGAGCGGGCAATAGTTAATCACAGAGCTTTTCCTTTCTCCTTTTTAAAAGTTGCAACCAACTTTTTGCCTTGAACTCCACACTGCAGGTACGTACATGCTCTTTATCCCCTCTGGGGAAACAGGATCTGATGACAGCTGTAGAAAGTATGGCGTGCTCATTACGTGCACCCACCCTTCTCCTTGACATTATTATATTCATCCTTGCTGTTTCAGGATTTGGCTGCATTTTCTTTTCCAGCCACCTTGAGAGAAGAACAGCTTTTGCTTGGAGGCTTGAGATACGAAAATTGGCAGCTGCCTTGTATTTGAATAAAGGGTAGAATGCAGTCTTTATCCCATAGTGTAGCAAGTGGCTGTTGCTTCATAGAAAACAAGTGGCATCATGTACCTGCGAGATTCAGGATGGAATTATGTGCATTCTTGGCAAATGTGTCTTCTCAAACTTGCTTTTTCTGATATATGAATGCAAGGTGAGAACATTTATAAGGGAGAAATGTTGGGCAGGAGGCTGTAGTTCATTCTGTGTGTCCCTGTTCTTTGTAAATCCTCTACCCCCTGAAATCCGTAAGTCAAGGTTATTTCCTGTTTTCAGCCCTGTTAAGGGTATAACTGATCAAGAAGTCCTGGAGTACATTTGCATAGGAGAACAGGACGGGGGGGGCATGTCTTCCAATTCCCATCTGGAAATTCCCATCTCCTTTTCTCTTTCCCTTGCAGCATGAGTCTGCTCTCACATGACATTTAACAATAGCATTTATTATATTCATTGCACACTTATATGGCGGAAGACCCACTGAACATAATGGGACTTACTTTGAGTAGGATTGCCCTGTAAAATTGTTCAGAGCTTTTTTTCATTGTCACAGTTGAGAAACCATAACCCAATCGTCCAAGCCATAGTTTAGAGTAGTAAGGAGGTAACATGAGGACACGCATTCCCTTTCCTTGCATGCCAGTTCCATCTTCAGTTTGATTTTCTTCCAGCCACAGTTTGCTGTGACATTGAATCAGGTAAGCAGGGTAGCACTAACTTCTAAAATCATGGTTTGAAGTGTATTTGAAGTAGTTTGGAAGTTAGCAGCTGTAGTTTGTCTAATTCTCACAGCTGGAGAAAACCTGTAAATGGAGAAAGGGATTGGGATGTGAGGAGGAAGGAAGAGAGTGGAAGCCTGTGCCACATTGCCATCCTTCAAAATCATTGTTTGGAGGATTATCTAAATTCACCTGTGATCTCAGCAATCCTTAATACAACTCTGCAATGTGGGTCCCTACTGTACTTTGCTGAAGAAAGCTGAGAGAGTGCGGCTTGCCCTAGGCTGCCGGGGGAGTTTGTGGTACAGTTTATGTTGAAAGCCTATATCCAGATGTCATCAGCAACTTATTAATTTATTTATAAAATGTATTTATATACAGCTGTATCAAAAAAAAAATCGTAGCAGTCTACAGCAATATAAAAACACATAAAACCAAATGAGAACATCGTAAAAGGTAAAAAAACAAGTTAAAAGCGAAAAGAAATTAAAAACAAACATCAGTAGACCATTGTGGGGGATGCAATCTTAATTGCCCAGCAGAACAGAAAAGTTTTCAGCAGGAATTTAAAAGTTGGCACAGAAGGCACTCTCTGAATCTCTAATGGTAGGGTATGGGGCTGATGACACGAAAGGCTTGATTTCTCACTGTTGTCAAACAAGCCTCACCAGCTCAGGAGTGACCAAAGACACTCCTTCAGATGATCTCGGTGATCAAGCTGGAATATAAGGGTTCTGGAGATCCCTGAGGTATCCTGGAACCATCTTGTTCAGGGTTTTGTAAATCAGTACAAGAACTTTGAACCTGGCTCGGTAGCAGATGGGCAGTCAGTGCAGCTGTTTTAACAATGGTGTCACGTGTTCGTGACCAGAAACTCGCATCAGCAGTCTGGCTGCAGCATTCTGCAGCAGCTGAAGCTTCTGAACCAAGGGCAGCCCCACATAGAGCGCATTACAGTAATCTAGCCACAAGGCTACAGTGGTCAGTCTATCCCTGTCCAGGAACGGCCGTAGTTGGCAAACTAGATGAAACTGGTCAAAGCCACAGAATAAACTTGGGGCTCAAATGACAAAGGTGTATCCAAGGATTGCAACCCCATCCAGAACGGGTAGCTCGCCAGTTTCCCAAACATGGGTACCATCTGCCTAAAGAGCCGCCTTCTTTCCAGGATTTAAACACAGTTTATTGGCCCTCATCCTGTCCACCAAGACACTGTTCCAAAGCTTTCACAGCCTCTCCTGAGTCAGATGTTATAGAGAAGAAGAATACTGCATCAGCATACTGGCATCAGCATACTGGCAATACTTCGCTCCAGAACTCCTAATGACCACACCCCACAGCTTCATATAGATATTAAATACCACTGGGGAAAGAATTGTACCCTGCAGAACCCCATAGCACAAATGCCAAGGGGCTGAGGAACACTCACCCAGTGCTGCTGTCTGGACACAACCTTGAATACAGTTATACCTTGGCTCCCAAACGCCTTGGGAGTCAAACGTTCCGGCTCCCAAATGATCAAAAACCGGAAATGAGTGTTCTGGTTTTTGAACTTTTTTGGGAAGCTAAATGTTCGGCACAGCTTCCGCTGTTGTTTCTGGCATGCCTGCACAATTGGGAACCAATCGGAAGCCGCACCTTGGTTTCTGAACTTTTCGGAAGTGGAATGGACTTCCGGAATGGATTCCGTTTGACTTCTGAGTATGTCTGTGTATGAATGGAATCACTGTGATATACTTATTGGGATCTCACACTCAACTGTTTGCAGTTAACTGCCACGATCTTTTTTTAGTTGACTTAACCAAAGTGATGCAGGCTGATGTTTTTGGTTTCTTCGCTTCCCCACCCCAACTGCTTTGCCATGATAAAGGGAATATTGGAGTTATTTTAAAAAATTGTTCTAGAGAATGAGTTGCTGCTTCAGATAACTTCTTGGTACTGTACTAAAGCTTATTGATGGCTTTCAAGTTTCCCCATAACAGGCAGGGTGCCGGGTCTTTCGCTGCAGATAGCAGTTTGAATCGTGCCTTTGTCATTGATATTCAACCCAGCTGTTCAGTATCTTACAGGAAACGAACCTGTCCTTTTCAGGGGTTGATAGTGGGGGGTGGGTTTGTTTAATGGGAGGTGTTTTGCATGGTAGTACATTGATACATGTGGGACGCGGGTGGCGCTGTGGGTAAAAGCCTCAGCGCCTAGGGCTTGCCGATCGAAAGGTCGGCGGTTCGAATCCCCGCGGCGGGGTGCGCTCCCGTTGCTCGGTCCCAGCGCCTGCCAACCTAGCAGTTCGAAAGCACCCCCGGGTGCAAGTAGATAAATAGGGACTGCTTACTGGCGGGAAGGTAAACGGCGTTTCCGTGTGCTGCGCTGGCTCGCCAGATGCAGCTTTGTCACGCTGGCCACGTGACCCGGAAGTGTCTCCAGACAGTGCTGGCCCCCGGCCTCTTAAGTGAGATGGGCGCACAACCCTAGAGTCTGTCAAGACTGGCCCGTACAGGCAGGGGTACCTTTACCTTTACCTTTACATTGATACATACATACACACACACACACACACACACACACACACACTGAAATTCTCAACAAAGGGCCCATATCTCAGCAGATTTGCTTCTCTTGCACTTAAAGATAGTCTGGCGGAACAGAAACAAATTAGCTGAAAAGAATGCCTTGATAGTCAGTGTCCAGCATGGGATATTCTGAAGCACTGATATTTATTAAAAAATATCTTTCTAAATGCTTTATTTTGCAGTTGGCTGATTGAGGTAGCTAAGCCCACATATATTTTCAGTAGTTCATACATGTATTGGGAAAGTGCATCAGTTTGAGAGATTCTCCAAACTGAATTTACTGAAGAGTCCTTAAGTATGGGAGTGTTTTCTATAAAGAGTAGCTATGAGTGAGAGGCTTGTCTTATTCCTGGTGGCAATATAGAATTATAGGAACTAGGAACTGAATGAGTCATTCTTTTATGGATTTTAGCAGATGGGAAATCTGAGAACATAACAGTAAATGTTGGACATGTAGTCTTGGCCTATTTGTGTTCAAAACGTTCTGTAATGTTACTGGTCCTGCTTTAAAGCCAGGTTCATCTTGGTGAAACTTTGGAGCAATCTGGAGTCCCATCTCAGGGTAGTGGGACCACAAGTTGTGCTTCGGCTGGGAGTTTGCTAACAAGAGCGTTCTTTTTCTGTGTCTCTTCAGCTTTATTGTGTGAGTGCAACGAATGCAACCAAGGCAACACTACATGTGAAACAGACGGAGCCTGCATGGTCTCAATAACAAATGTGAATGGGCTGATGCATCATGTCCGAACCTGTATCCCTAAAGCCAAGCTGATACCTGCTGGAAAACCCTTCTTCTGCCTGAGTTCAGAAGATGTGCGCAATACACACTGCTGCTATGAAGACTACTGTAACAAAATTGATCCTCTGGTACCCAGTGGTAAGTGAGCTGAAGGGAAGAGTGCAGTGTGTGGGTCTCTTAAAATACAATTTTTGAAACGCCTGATTTTATTCTTGGTGCTGTGCTTGCTAAATCCAGCAGCAGTATTTCTCCTTTTTGTTTTATAATACCAACTCAAAGGATCATGGGGGTATTTTATTTTTTACTTATTTGGGTGTGTATTTTTTAATTGCTAATATTTATTGACCATTCTTCAAACATGGCTGTCAGAGCACAACATCCATTTCCCACATAAGAGGATGAGAAAACCATTCTTTTTTTCGCAGCTCTCACTTTTTTCCCCTTTGGAAGTTGGGCTGGATAGATGAGCAATACTGCATTCTGAAATAGTAGGGTACAGGCAGATTTAGTATCCTTCCTCTTTTTATGAGTTTGGTAGGAGAGCACACAACCATGGAATATGTTTTTTGAAAATTATGCAGTAAAAGTTCACAAAATGGGGTGGGCTAAATAGTGGTTTTGCTGTCACTAATGGCATTGTAAATACATGCCCATGACCCTTGTACAACCACATTCCATTTTTAGAAAAGCCAAAAGCAACATATGCACTATTTTGAAAGCCAGCACCACATTCTTAGTGACACAATTTTGGAGGTTGCGTAGAGGGAAAATGTGATTAGCCCCACAACAGAATCCAGTCTCAAGGGAAATTATTTATGCCAGGGGTAGGCAACCTAAGGCCCGGGGGGGCGGATGTGGCCCAATCGCCTTCTCAATCCAGCCTTGGATGGTCCGGGAATCAGCATGTTTTTACATGAGTAGAATGTGTCCTTTTATTTAAAATGCATCTCTGGGTTATTTGTGGGGCCTGCCTGGTGTTTTTACATGAGTAGAATGTGTCCTTTTATTTAAAATGCATCTCTGGGTTATTTGTGGGGCATAGGAATTCGTTCATATATTTTTTCCAAAATATAGTCCAGCCCACCACATGGTCTGAGGGACGCTGGATCGGCCCAGGGCTGAAAAAAGTTGCTGACCCCTGATTTAAGCTGTGTATCAGAGGGGCAACAGCCATATTAAGAAGCTGATTGGTTAGGTTTATTAAATTTATATACCACTTACTGCTCCAAAATGTCCTGAAATGATTTACTACCGGAATGAAAATACAATAACATAAGTGTATTAAATATATAATTATAATACAGATATCCAGTCATTTGTTCTGCCAAAATGTCTAGGAAAATGCAAGCGTCTTTGCCTGGCACCAAGACAATGAAAAAGTTTATGCCCGGCAGGTCTCCTTGGGGAGAGCATTCCATAGATAGGCAGCTGCTACACAAAGGGTCATTCTCTTGTCGCCACCCTCTGGACCTCCCTTAGAGGTGACACACACAAAAAGGCCTCTGATGTTGATATAGGGAAGACAGTCCTTTTGGTATACAGATCCTGAGCTGTATAATGCTTTAAATGTCAAAATTGCCACCCTCTTGAGATTGGGCAGTTCCAAAACCAGAGCTGAACCTGTTTTTCGTCTGGAACTTGTAATATCAGGATTCTGATAAACGTTCTTGGAACACTGTTATTAAACTGTATGATGATGGCTTGAAAAAGTTAATTCAAACTTTGACAGAAATCAAGCCTTGATAGTTCACCTACCTAGTTTTTATCTGATTTTCACCAGAAATACATAGGGAATGAAGACTTCATTTCCTGAGTGTTTCTGGTGAAAGTCAGATAAAAACTTCTGATTTATTTATTTATTTTGCTTTTCAGTTGCAGTAGAGAGTGATTAACCAAAGGTGGGGATTTTGTTTTTAAATTAGTAATTTAAATAAAAAATTAGGTTTATGTGCACACTTACAGTAGCTATTTTATTCTTACAGCTGTATACTCTGAAGGCACCTGAGCCTGATATAGTTTCTTAACTGGGATTTTTTTGAATTCTTTATTTGGTTTCATATTAGTGACATTGTATTTAATATGTTTAGAATTTTTTTTCTTGATACCAGAGTTTGATTGGAATTTTATTTTGCTCTTTTGATATGCGTCTGTGATTGTATCCAGACTGTGCTTTTATTGTGTTGTTCTCTTGACGGAAAATAATAAAATATAAATTGGGGGGCGGGGGGAGGGAATGGATAGGAACAGTTAGCATTATAAACACAGATATTACGTGGAACAGCCAAACAGGTTTGAGCACACATATCCTGCTAGATTTTCATTTAAATACCTTATCCGCCCTTTGGCATATTCACAGCTATGCAAGTTTTAGCACCCTGTTTAGGGCCTAGACAGGAGTTAAATTATGCATGAAATTCCTTGATTGTATATTAGACCCTCTCACTTGAATGCTGCTTCACAGGCTTTTGATCCAGGGTCTAGACAACTCTCATATGACGAAAGCTTACATTGTTTGGGGCTTTTTAGCTTCGACTAAAGGTAAGGGGTTACAGGATAAGAGGTTTATAAAATTGTGCATGGTGTAGAGCAGTGTTTCCCCAACTTGGGTCTCCAGCTGTTTTTGGACTACAACTCCCATCATCCCTAGCTAGCAAGATCAGTGGCCAGGGATGATGGGAAATGTAGTACAAAAAAACAACAACTGGAGACTCAAGTTTGGGAAACCCTGGTGTAGAGTAAGTAGATGAAAAAGGGTTTTTTTCTCTTTCTTAAATCTAGACTGCAGGATCATCCAATGATGCTTAATGGTAGGAAATTTGGGACAAACAAAAAGTGCACACAGCACATAGTTAAATTATGGAATTCACTGCCATAAAATGTTGTGGTGGCCACCAACTTGGATGGCTTTAAAAAGGAATTAGCCTTGTCATCCATGAATTTACCTTTCGGTGTTTAGTAGTCATGAGGGCTCTATACTGTTTTCAAGGTAGCTTGCCTGCAAGGACCAGTTCAGACCGTAGGTGTCTGGTTTGCTACTTTGGGAAACAGGATGATAGGCTGCCCGGCTGCTCTTCTGTTCTTATTTGCAGAGGGTGAAAAGTACACGTGAGAATCCCTTTGGCTCCCCCTCGTGACATCAAGTTCCATTGCAACTCATTGTTCCTGTCAGATCATAGAGAGCCTGTCTGCATGGCAGACCTGACAGAAAAGCAATGTGTTTGTAAAACTTGGGGATTAAGGTTAATGCATATTTACTGTGCCTTAAATTCTAATGCTAAACCACACCATGGCTTAGCACAAATGCATGAGCGTGAGGGTTCCTATGTGAGCTAAAGCATGGTTTGACTTAGTGTGTCTGCTGAACCTGGACTCATGGCTAGTCCCACTCCAGACAAACCATGAATTGTGCGTCTCTCCCCCCCCCCCCGGAAGTTTATTTTGTAATTAGAAAGCATATGTAAATTTACACACAAACCACAAGGTTTGTTCTTGAGTTTATAGCTTATGGAGGAGATAAACCACAAGCCCAGATTTGGACAACACATTTGGCCAAACCATGGCTTAGATCTGGGTAGTGCAGCAACAGGAAGGAAGGAAGACACAGGCTGCAATCTTTTCTCCAGGAAACCACACACTTGTGTGTTTCCACTAAACTATGGTTTGGCTTAGATTGTCTGCACACCATACATTTAAAGCACATTATTTGCCCTGGAGAATCCTGGAAATTGTAACGCTGTGAGGGGTAAACTCATTTCCCAGGATTGCTGGGGAAAGTCATGTGCTTTAAATATATGGTGTGTATGCAGTCCAAGACTTATGTGTGAATTAACTTAAAGCAAAACATTTGGGTTACATAATTAGGAAAGATGAAGAGGGACTATTTTCTCAGCTATGGAAGTTATGCTTAATACGCTTAGCCTGCATATCTACTATGGACTCAACAGCTTTATGTTCTGTTAAGTAGACAATTGCTGCATGTTGGAGTGAAGTTTCTGCTTATGCAAGTAGTTTCTGACTTTCATAAAACATCATAACAGCAAAAGCCACACCTGAGAAGCGCCTTCCTTCCATATAGTTACTTAAGGCCTAAGAGAGCTTTCTTTCAATAGAAGTGAGCAAATTTTCATGATTCCGGGATTTTAAAAAGGGAGTCAATTTGAGTAATAAGCAGTAAACTCTTGAGAGGGGATAAAGGAGATGCTGGATAAGTCCATGGAAGTAGCTTATGTTACTTTGAAGCAATGCTTGTCTTCTTATTTTGCATCAACATTCCATTAGTTGTCTCTATCAGTGTGAGAAGAGACTTCTGAAAACCTAGAGACTGAAAACAAAAATCCCATTCATTTAGACTTTCTTTCAGTATTATAGTGGCCTGATTCAGATATAATGCTGAACCCTGATTTAGTGTTATGAGCAAAAGCCTCCTCCTACCTTCCATTTTCTCCTAACCGCAGTTTGTTTTAATTCAGATGAAATGACAAACTGCAGTTGGTTGAAAACAAGGAGGGGATTCTCATGGTCTCTGCGATGGAGGAAGGGTGCACATCCTCAGTGTAACCAGTGTAAATTCCTGCCAATATCTTTCATCTCTCTTTGCTCCATACCTTTGGTTTTCATCATCACAGACCTTTCTGCACACTTTTAAAATACAATCTAAAATTAGTGCATGCATGCTGGTTTTGAATTTGAAGGTGAAACGTTTGTTCTTTGTCTCTCCTCAAGGGCATCGGAAAGATGACGAAACACCTTCTGGCTGGGGACCTGTGGAGCTTGTGGCTGTGATTGCAGGCCCAGTGTTCCTTGTCTTCGTCATTTTGATCATAGTGGTTTTTGTCTTTCACCACCACCAGCGAGTATATCACAATCGTCAACGGCTGGACATGGAAGATCCATCTTGCGAGATGTGTCTATCCAAGGACAAAACCCTTCAAGATCTAGTGTATGATCTGTCTACCTCTGGCTCTGGCTCAGGTACAAATGCCTTCCTTTTTATGCAACATTTTGTTTTTAAAAAATGTTGCTAAGCTATGTTATATGGCTCTAATATTAGTAAAAATGCAGTATGTTCACCTTACTATGTTTTTATATATGCTGTAAGCCACCCGAAGTGACTGGGAAAACCCATCCACAGGGGCAAGGTATAAATAATAAAATTACTATTATTATTAAATCATTTTCTTTAATATGATGGAATTCTGAAACCAATTCTCCCTCTTAGTGTTGCAGTTTAAACAATAGGTGCTGAAAGCAAGTAGCAAGTGGCCCTAAATTGGCTGCTGTTCTCGTCTGGAGTAGGCATTTGTTATGAAGTTAAAGAAGAGAGCGCTTTCTTCCTCAAAGTCAAGTTCTCAGCAGTTATTTTCCTTTCCCTTCTGTTGCACAGCAGGGGTAAAAATGGGCAGGAAAGGAAGGATGTGCCTTTGCTCCACTTCCTTATGTGCTGCAATAGGTGCCCATGTGACTTATCACCTTCCCAGTATAGATTATAGTTCAAATCAGGCCTGGCATAGCTGCATTCACATCTGCTGCATATCTTTGGCACAAGTTAGCATATCATTTAGAGTATTCAAAATGCTTCTCAGTATCTCAGTAATTGCCAATGACATACAGGATAGATTGACAGTGTCCCCATTTTGCACACAGGACTGACTGAGGTTGAGCAATGGGCAAGCCGCAAATATGGTACCCATATTGTACCCATTGCTAAAATGGAATCTGAATTGAGAATGTGCCAGTTTTCTACTCATAGCCACCACAAGGGACACTGAAGTCATAAATGGATTGCCTATAGCATGGTCAGATGCAAAAGAGGCAGGGTTCCTGCACGACAAATGACAATTGCTGAAATTCCCTCTTCACGTCTGTTTTAAAGCTGAAGGAACCTGTTCTCTTTTGCACATGGCCACCTTAAGGGGCTCTTGAGTACTTAAAGCCAAGCCACTTTGGCTTCCTGTCCTATGGGATCTTCTTCAACACTTCCCTTTCTTACTGCATGGGTATTCTGCTTACAAACCCTGTAAGTGGAAGCCCTGTGGAAGGGCTTCCACTTGTGCAACAGGTTTTTCCCATATGTGTGACCCCCCAAATTGGCTCGGGGGTCAGGAGAACCCCAGAATGGCATACAGATGGAGAGTAAGGGGGTTGTTCTGCCTGGCATTAGACAGAACATTCAGCATAGCACAATGTTGAATTCAACCCTTTCTTTCTGCATATTGAGCATTGTCAGCCAGCCACAATAGCAAAGGCCAGTTGTGCACATAGGGCTGCAGACTCAGGCTCCTGTTTCAGTGACGTGGCTGCTATGCTTCTTTTGAGGACATCCACACTTTGGATCTTTAGAAGATAATTGCTGCATCAGGCCCTAATAAGAGCAGGAAATCTTTGATTTGGACTCTTGAATATGTCGTAATCAAACTTTCTTCTTTATACTGGCTTTGTCTTCCCTATCTCTAATTTAACTTTTTGCTGGCAGGTTTGCCGCTCTTTGTCCAGCGCACTGTGGCTCGGACAATTGTCCTGCAGGAAATAATCGGCAAAGGTCGTTTTGGGGAAGTGTGGCGTGGCCGGTGGCGTGGCGGCGATGTAGCTGTGAAAATCTTTTCTTCGCGGGAAGAGAGATCCTGGTTCAGAGAAGCCGAGATCTACCAAACGGTCATGCTGCGCCATGAGAATATTTTGGGGTTTATCGCTGCAGACAACAAAGGTATCGTGCTGCTTCTGCATTCCAGTAAACAAACCAGAGTTACAGATTGTATTTTAAAATATTGCTTTGTGCTATCTGCAGTCTACATTATAGTTTCATGGCGATGTTGAAGCCTTTGTGTCTGTTGACTGCGCTGATGTGTCATCCTGAAATGTTCGTGAATGCCTTAAGTGCTGAGAGACAAAGCAGCAACACAGCACAATTATTTTTTTACTGTTTTTGGTGAGAGGCCAGTTTCGATAGGGCTAAAACCTCACACTGACTCTGGCGGAGGAAGAAAGGCAAAGAAACTAGAAAGCTAAAGGATTATGGGCAAGGGAGGCATACTGTTGTCTTTCTGTATCTTAAGGCTTCCATAAGACAAAATTCAGCTGGGGCAGTTCTCCCCTCCTCTTCCTGCCCCCCATATCACAATGATACAATAATAGACACTCCACCTGGTTCAATCTTCCTTTCTGATCAATGATATGAGGCACAGGGCCACTCTCAGGGTCTTCACCTGGAAAATTCAAGGGAGTCATCATGAAGCACTCAAAGAGTTGAATGTGAAAAATCAATTTGGGCTGACCAGATGGGAGGAGAGAGAGCTCAACCTTGGGTGAGTTAACTCTAGACCCAGGTGTGGGGAACCTCTGGCCCTCCAGATGTTTCTGGACTACAACTTGCATCGACCCTGACCAATGGCCGTGCCAGCTGAGGCTGGTGGGAGTTTGAGTCTGACAGCAACTGGAGGGCCGCAGTTTTCTTACCCCTGCTCTAAGTTGAGCACAGGAAACTGCAGCAGTGGCTAGCAGAGCAGCTCTGAGTATCACTTTGCCTATGTCTGTCCATGACAGGGGCAGCTTTGCATTTGGCTGGTGGTGGTTCAAGCGTAGAGCAACCAGAACCATCCCTCTCCCTCTTGCAGATGGGCAACAGTCACAGCCTTTGGCTTCTGATTGCTAACTGTCGTAACAAAGCGGAATTGGTCATTGGCGTAATTTGAATATGTGCAGAGTTCAGATGTATTACACTGGCACACTTCCCAAGCAGCATGTGACATTCCCCCTTCAAAAGGTTTTTCAAATTCAGCTAGTTCAAATAACTCCCTTCTCAAAACTGATTTTATTGCAGACCACTGTACAAGTAACTTTTCCCGGGCCTTCAGAAACAGTTAACCTCACACACTGTGAGGGCTCCTGCCTTTTGACTTTCACCAGCTTCTAGTTTTGTGACTGGCTCATTTATTAGTTTTTCTGTGAGAGTGTTCAAGCAAAACCCCCCTTGGCGTGGCTTGGGGCTAAGTAAGCCCTAGGAGTTCATTCATGGCAAAGTCATCTGACTTCCTCTGTTTCTGTCCAAGCTGTTCAGTTTCTCAACCTGGAAAACATACCCAGCCCATCACAGATGCTTCTGCTGCTATAGAAATCACTTAAGCTTAGTGCGCTTTTTAAAATTCATGTCTCTGTACCAGCTTGGATATTGCCAGTTTTGAGAAACAGCTCTTGCATTACAGACCTGATCCTGCGCCTCTCATGCAAAATTGATAATCTTAACAGGAAACGAAGGTTAACAGTTGCTCTTATTAGTAGCTATTAAAGAGTATTCATTGTCTGATGATGCCAAGGAGCGCTGGAATAAAATGAGTTGCTTTCAAGTGTATGCAGTGTTGTGTGTGCGTATGTGTGCTTGGCCATTGGGGACACCAGTCGTTTGCTCCTGTAATGCCACAACAATGTGCTTCACTTTGGAGCTGTTTATACAGCAGGAGTAAAAGAACGTTGCATGTGATATATCACACACTGTCTTCTCTTGACAGCCAAGTCAGGCAGCTTCAGGGATCCGTCCCTTTCCTAGGGCTGGGCGATATCTGGTTTTCAACATTGTTATAAACATCGCGATATACCTATATATCACAACGTCTGGAATATGAATGGAGCTACGTAGAGGCATTGGCTGGCTTCACGGTTTTCCCACATTAGAAAGACTTTAGAAAACCATCAGTCAAGGATGAAGGAAGTCTTAGGCTATGATAGCCAAAAATTTCGAAATGATGTTTAAAAGGATGATATGCTGGAAAATAGTGTAAAAACCAATAAAAAATTGTTGAAACGGATATTGGTGATCAACTTAGAGTGTACAAAGTAAGGCATCGTAGGACTGAGTGATTCAGGGCTTTGTATACTACTAGCACAGCAGCCTTGAACTTGACCTAGTAGACCCCATAGTAAATGTCTGCAAACATATTCACGCCGGATAGCTCCGTTAGAGCGTGGTGCTGGTAACACCAAGGTTGCAGGTTTCAACTGCATATTCCTGTATTGCAGGGGGTTGAACTAGATGATCCTTTACAACTCCACAATTCTGTTATTCTATACGGTAAACAGATTTTTCTCAACTGTTCCGCCTTTTGTTGTATATGCTACCTGCTGCTCTTCAATGAATTCTAGCGCAAAAGTATGGCTGCCGTTTTCTTCACCCTTTTGATGGGCCCTTCTTCCGTTTGCCTTGCCAACAGATAATGGCACTTGGACTCAGTTGTGGTTGGTCTCTGATTACCATGAGTATGGCTCTCTGTTTGATTACCTCAACCGATACACTGTAACCATCGAGGGGATGATTAAATTGGCTCTGTCCGCTGCCAGTGGACTAGCACACCTGCACATGGAAATTGTAGGAACCCAAGGTAAGAAACAGGTTTGACAGATGCACATTTTACAGAGGTCGTTTAGGAAGCGACAGGGCTTCTCTTAAGACCAGCATAAACCGAGGAAGACGAAGTAGCTCATTCTTTAGATGAAAGCAGGAAGAAAGTTTAAGTCGGCTGGTAATGAGACTAGTAGAATTTAGGGTAAAACAAGTAAGCAACCTGTATAAACCACAATTCCCTACATTAGAAATCATGAAAAACTGTAGTTTGAGATGATCAGGATTGGTTTCCCAAGGAGTTACCGTTCCAGTGCTTGTTCATATCTGCTAAACTATCCTTTTAACAATGTATATCTGCACAAGGCCACTATCCTATCTACTGGCTCTTGCACTGAGTCTGATAAGAGATCTTGTTTATTTCCTTCATAGTTAACACTTTGTAGTTTGTAGTTTTAACACTGACTGAGCTTTGTGGCTTTTGTGGTGCTGTCTGCTCCTTTTTGGACTTTATTATTGGCAAATAATTTTATCATTACACCGAAGGACAATTGTAGGATTCTCTTTCATTGCGTTTTACTAGGAAAACCTGGGATTGCTCACCGGGACTTGAAATCCAAGAATATACTGGTGAAGAAGACTGGAACTTGTGCCATTGCTGACTTAGGTCTGGCTGTCCGCCATGACGCTGTTACTGATACAATTGACATAGCCCCCAATCAGAGGGTTGGAACAAAGCGGTAAGAAAATGGTGGCTCAGCTGATCAGGGGTTCAGTGTTGACGGCTTTGGGTGAAGAGCCAAAAATACGACCCAAAGTTGTTGCAGTTGCTTCATCTATAGCAGGGCTGCCTGACCATTTTTGGCCAAATGGCTACATTGACCCTTGTCCAACCGCCAAGGGGCAGTATACCAATGGCGAATGTGGTCACCCCATGCTCTCTGTCACACACAAATCGGGCTTACAGAATTCACACACATGAGACACACAGAGATACGGAGGTGAGGGACACATAGCCCTCAGCTGATCAACGTAGATGAGCTGTGAAGTGAGGCTTTCACTCCCTCCCTGCTCATTGAATGATGGAGACCAGGGAGAAATTTAAACTTCTCTGCCCATCCCAGTTCTGTTTTACCTGAGTCCCGTCCCTGACGGCTGCCCAAATTGGTGTGTCTTTGGCCAGAAAATTTTACTTGTGGTTGGGGAGAGAGGATTGGCTCAGGCTAGGGCTGACCGGTATCTGGTTTTCAGCTTCGTGATATCACCAGCTAAGCATTGCAATATACTGATATGTCACAATGTGTGAAATTAGAGGCATTGGCTGGCTTCACGGTTTTCTCCGCATTGTGATTTTTGCATAGCGTGCGTACACGCACACACACAAATAATCATAATTTGTTATATATTGCCAGGTCAAAAATTATAAAACAGATATGGGTTTTAATCCAGTTTTGGACAATTTTTTGATGTATCACCCAGCCCTAGCCTAGGCTAGCTGTTGACAAACCCTGGTTTATATTTTCTGTGCTTTTCTCCTAGATCAGACGCTTGCCAAGTGCTAACTGATTTGTTTTGCCTACATGCAACATTAGGCTTAGACATTTGACCAGTTGAAAACATTTTTTAATGCATTAACTTCATTAGAACCCCCCCCCTTTTTAGTCACCAGCAGATTTGTTATTAATGTTAATGATAAAAACAAATTAGTTAACTGCTTGTTTGACTGCAGTAATCTGACTTTAACAATAGCTGGACACCTAGCGCAAGAATTCAACAACTGCTTCTCTGTACTGTTCGCGTGAATCCCATACTCAGAAGAGCAGAATTTGCACTGCGCTTTTATCTGTGATCACCCCCCCCACACACACACACACAAATACTCTCAAGCAATTGGGGATGACTTACAGTAGTGTTTCATGCATTTTACTTCAACTATTGTTCTCAGTTGTTTCAACAGCTTTTTTATTTTTTTAGACGTGAGTAGTCTCTCGAGCATTTTGGGGAGGTGGCAGAAACAATGGGCATCATTTTGAAATTGTTGGAAAGTGCTGGACATGGCTTCTCACATCATTTCATTCACACACACACACACACACACCCTCAAGAGGACATTGTGTGTGTATAGATTTACAACAAAATACAGTGGTGCCCCGCAAGACGAATGCCTCGCAAGACGAAAAACTCGCTAGACGAAAGGGTTTTGCGTTTTTTGAGTCGTTCCGCAAGACGAATTTCCCTATGGGCTTGCTTCGCAAGACGAAACGTCTTGCGAGTTTGTTTCCTTTTTCTTAAAGCCGCTAAGCCGTTAATAGCCGTTAAGCCGCTAATAGCCGTGCTTCACAAGACGAAAAAACCGCAAGACGAAGAGACTCGCGGAACGGATTAATTTCGTCTTGCGAGGCACCACTGTATGAACTGAACATTAAGCTCCGCCCCCTGCTGCTCATGTCATTTTGAGGGTTGTTTTTTTTTTTTAACGTAAAGGCAATAATTACTTATTTTAAAAAATAATAATTTCTGTCAGAATGTGCAGTTCAGTTGAATGGGCTTTCAAACAAGGGGCCTGCCCTGAAAATTGTGGTTCTTGAGCCATAGTTACAGCAAATGATACTTCTGTATTACTCTCAGATACCATAATAGTATTAGATTTTAGCCACAATAGATGTCATAGTAATTAATGTGATTTGTTCTTATTTTGATTCAGCTACATGGCTCCCGAGGTTCTGGATGAAACAATTAACATGAAGCATTTTGATTCATTTAAATGTGCTGATATCTATGCCCTGGGACTAGTTTATTGGGAAATTGCTCGGAGATGCAACTCGGGAGGTAATGGCTTTCTTTTTCTTTTCTTTGCATAGAAATTAAGAGGGTTTCTGCCTGCTCCAAATGTTGCAATAAAACAGTGCCATCCGAATGCAGAGAAATTTTTAAAAGGATGTAGACTAGAGATGTAATTAGGAGGAGCATGGGAGCTCTGCCCGTCTTGTTTGGAGAAGGAAGTAGTCTTGCTGATTCAGAAGATCACGTTGTTCCCATTGACTCAGCATTTTAATCAGACTCTCACTAATGGGTTTGGTGGGGATTATTGACATGTCTTTGGTGGGTGGAGTCTCTGTTCTAGATGACTTTTAAAATGGTTGTTCCTGTTTTCTTGGATGCACTGAGTCATTAACATGAAGTATTAATCAACATCACCTGACCTCATCTGAGTTCACATGTGCATGTTTGGTAATTCATATATTGGTATATTTTGTTTCAGAAAAGTTTCAAGAATGTGCTGGTCACTCTGTGTGCTATTTTGATGGTCACGTAGTGGGCATTATAATTCAGATTCCCCCCCCGTTGTATTCTTTGTCATGGACTGAGGAAAGCTGATTGCTTCTCCAATTATTGGGTGTCTTAATAGGTGATGAAGGGACGCGGGTGGCGCTGTGAGTTAAACCACAGAGCCTAGGACTTGCCGATCAGAATGTCGGCGGTTCGAATCCCCGCGACGGGGTGATCTCCCGTTGCTCGGTCCCAGCTCCTGCCAACCTAGCAGTTTGAAAGCACGTCAAAGTGCAAGTAGATAAATAGGTACCGCTCCAGTGGGGAGGTAAACGGCATTTCCGTGCGCTGTTCTGGTTCGCCAGAAGCGGCTTAGTCATACTAGCCACATGACCCGGAAGCTGTACGCCGGCTCCCTCGGCCAATAATGCGAGATGAGCGCCACAACCCCAGAGTCGGTCACGACTGGACCTAATGGTCAGGGGTCCCTTTACCTTTAGTAGGAGATGAGAAAGAACAGGGAAAGCCTGGGACTTAAGCTGAGTGGAAACTATGCAAAAGCAGCCCATGTGAGCGAGGGGCAGAGTAATTTAACACCCCACTCTGGGCTGCAGGGTGGGTATGCTGGATGTGGCAGAGATATCCTTCTGCTCAGCTCCCCCAGCTGTGCTGTCCACCCGCCAACAGCCACCAACAGAGTGACACATGTCACCCTCCTGGTACAGTACTTCCCTTTCCAAATGCCTGTTGTTGGGATACTGCCAGGGAGACGGGGGCATCAGGCAGGCCCCCAGCTGGCTCCGGACGATCACCGGTCTCCCGTGGAACAGCATCAGTCAATTAGCGACACTCAGTCTCAGGTATGTTCTGAGACCCGTGCACACTCTTGTCAGCAGGGTGTATAAATCATCCACAACGGAAGATGGAGACAGAGGGAGCATATTTACAGCTTTCTTCAACATACCGTATTTTTTGCTCTATAAGACGCACCAGACCACAAGACGCACCTAGTTTTTGGAGGAGGAAAACAAGAAAAAAATTATTCTGAATCTCAGAAGCCAGAACAGCAAGAGGGATCACTGCGCGGTGAAAGCAGCAATCCCTCTTGCCTCTTGCTGTTCTGGCTTCTGGGATAGCTGCGCACCCTGCATTCGCTCCATAAGACGCACACACATTTCCCCTTACTTTTTAGGAGGGAAAAAGTGAGTCTTATAGAGCAAAAAATACGGTAGTTCAGGAACAAAGGAAAACATGACTGCTTGCCTCCGTGTCCAGGAAAACAGGCGCATAGCAATAGCAACATACAACGGAAGTTCCCAGCAGACTGTGCTGGGAGTAAACAGGCATGTGATACACAAACATCATGCCTGTACCCTTTTAAGGTGGAATGGAACTATATCCTAACACCGAGTGCCATCAGCAGCATTGCCTGTGGAAGGCTCCTAAAACAGGGCATTCCAGGGACTGGGGGAATCAAGCTAGTCTCACTGTCATTGGTAGCATTGTCCTCAACTCTGTCCTGATTGTAGGAAACTTGCTGCTCCTCACCTGCCATGAGCAGGACTGCAGATGTGGTGGTTGCCTCGCAGCTCTGTAAAGGGTTTGCATTGTGTCCTAAAAACATTTCAGATTTGTGCTGGAAATAGAGAAATGGTGCGGGAGGTACGGCTGCCGCTGCTGCCAAAACCCTGGCCAACTTGTGGAACATCGGCACGGCTCGGGCCATTGACACAATTGCCCCTGAGCACCCTTTCCCGCTTGGCTTCTTGGTATACTCCAGAGGCTTTCGGCAAGGAAAGAAGCTGGGAGACAGATTGAACGTGAATGGAGGAAAACTCTGGTCAAATGGAATGTAAGATAGGATACAGTTGTGGGTACAGCGGTGCTTTTTCAATTACCGTATTTTTCGCTCTATAAAACGCACCAGACTACAAGACGCACCTAGTTTTTGGAGGAGGAAAACAAGAAAAAAATATTCTGAATCTCAGAAGCCAGAACAGCAAGAGGGATCGCTGCGCAGTGAAAGCAGCAATCCCTCTTGCTGTTCTGGCTTCTGTGATAGCTGCGCAGCCTGCATTCGCTCCATAAGGCGCACACACATTTCCCCTTACTTTTAGGAGGGAAAAAGTGAGTCTTATAGAGCAAAAAATACGGTAATTGTGTAGGAATTTTAATGTATGTAATGTCATTAAACTTTTCTCTAATTTCTGTTTGAGTTTGTTGAAGATTACACACACACACTCTCTCTCTCACTCTTAGATGCAACAGTGTATTAATATAGTTCTGTTTTACATAGTTTCTTGTTTGGGGCGTGTGACTAGCTTTTCTCTCCCTCCCCATCCTCAATCTTTTAGGTACTCATGAAGAATATCAGCTGCCATACTATGACCTTGTACCGTCTGACCCCTCCATAGAAGAAATGCGGAAGGTTGTATGTGACCAGAAGCTACGGCCTAATGTTCCCAACTGGTGGCAGAGTTACGAGGTACAGTTAGACTGTGACAAAGACTATAACAACTTGACGCTTCTTGAACAAGAGGTACCGACAATATTAATACTAATAACATTTGCCGCATTAGCTAGGACAGAAAGGGAAACGCTAGCCCTCTGTTCGCATAACTCTTGTGAGCAAGGCCTGTGCAAGCTTTTTATGGCAGCCTGAATACTCTTGTAATGGAGAACTAAAACTACCTATAGAAGGCAGGATTTCAGTGTGCTAAAAGGAGGTGGCTAACTATGTGAGACCAGTATCATCTTTTGGGATTCTGAAAGTGCAACTTCTGCTTCCTCTGAGAGACAAAGGAGTTGATTTGCAGTCAGTGGCCTGGTTCGCACGTCACATTAAACCATTAGAAACCGCAAGCGGACAACGCGGCAAGCCAGACCACGCCTTGTGGCAGTGCCTGCTATTTCACATTATACCATAATTTATTTTCACTATGATTAAAAACAACGTGTGAAACGGGTCAGTGATTTATGGTCCAGATGGTGGAATGAACACAGTACAGTGGTACCTAGAGTTACATATGCTTCAGGTTACAGACGCCGCTAACCCGAAATAGTGCTTCAGGTTAAGAACTTTGCTTCAGGATGAGAACAGAAATCGGGCTCCAGCGGCGCGGTGCCAGCAGGAGGCCCCATTAGCTAACGTGGTCTTCAGGTTAAGAACAGTTTCAGGTTAAGAACAGACCTCCGGAATGAATTAAGTACTTAACCCAAGGTACCACCGTATAACAGTTCTCTTAATGTTCCACCAAGCACCCTGTTTTTAGCATGCAATTTCAAATGGTACTTTTGAAATGGTCCAGCACCACGCTAAGCTGAGATATGGTGTGTGTTAGAACACTTGAATGACCATACAGTGGTACCTTGGGTTAAGTACTTAATTCGTTCCAGAGGTCCGTTCTTAACCTGAAACTGTTCTTAACCTGAAGCACCACTTTAGCTAATGGGGCTCCTGCTGCTGCCGTGCCGCTGGAGCACGATTTCTGTTCTCATCCTGAAGCAAAGTTCTTAACCCGAGGTACTATTTCAGGGTTAGCGGAGTCTGTAACCTGAAGCGTATGTAACCCGAGGTACCACTGTACTCCCATTTGATCTAGGCTGATTGACGCAGTTTGAAAACACATTTAGAAAATTGTTCTCCACGTTGGCCGTGTGTGTTGTTTTTATTGATATTGATAATAATTATTGGAATTAAATCTAATAGGAATTTGGTTTATCGCTGAGCATTTAATGTGTCTGGGAGTAAACCATTAGGCTTATTCTTATTCTTAGCCATTTCAGCCAAGCCATGCCCTCCTGCCCTACACCTGAGATCAGATGCGGGGCAGGTAAAAATCTGACCAAGCCAAAAAAGAAAAAAAGAAAAAGAGTTTTGAAGACACTTGTGCAGTGCTTTGTCTGGTCTTGCTGTGCACTTTGCAATTGGATGGTTGTCTGGTCTCAAGAACCCCTTTGCAAGATCTACCGTATTTTTTCACTCTATAGGACGCATATTTTCCCCTCCAAAAATGAAGGGGAAATGTGTGCGCGTCCTATGGAGCGAATGCAGGCTCCTTGGCTTCATCGATAGCAATGGGAAGCCTCTGAAGCGCAGAGGGAGCACTCCCTCTGCGCTCCGGAGGCTTCGCGTTGCTTTCGCTGAAGCCTGGAGAGCGAGAGGGGTCGGTGCGCACCGACCCCTCTTGCTCTCCAGGCAGCTATCCGCAAGCCTTTGGAGCACAGCAGGAGTTCCCACCGCGCTCCGAAGGCTTGCGGATAGCAGCCTGAAGCCCGGGGAGCGCAGCGCCAACTCCCGCTGGGAGCACGCCCCCAGCCCCGCAAGCTCCGGGTGCGGCGGCAAGGCTACACGCAACCTTGCTGCCGCTCCCGGACCTGTTCTGGGGGCTGGGGTCAGGGGAAGCTCAGGCTTCCCCCGCCCCAGCCCCGCGGCTAAAAATGAAGCCGTGCACAGCCTCTCCCGGCTGGAGAGGTTGCGCACGGCTAAAGAGGAAGCCAAGACAGCCAGCGGGATGGATCCTGCTCGCTGTCTTGGCTTCTTTGCTCTTTGGGGCTAGGGGGGAAAGAAACATTTTTTCCTTTATTTCCCTCCCTTAAAACTAGGTGCGCCCTATGGTCCGGTGCGCCCTATGGAGCGAAAAATACGGTAGCTCCGCTCCTTAATCTAGTGGATAGTGTCGGTAAACAGAAGCCAGTTTATGCAGGTGGTACTACCTGTGTGATGGCCACATGGTGACTGGAAAACCCTGCTCTCAGGGATAGAGGAATGCTCCACTTGAAGGGAATTAGAAAGGCCATGTCTGTGCATGGATCGATCTTCGTATGCTATGCTGTCTGTAGCGAAATAAAACATACCCATACAGCATATGCAACGAGCCCCCTGTAGACTGAAAGAGACATTGCATTGAATATGCCATTGAGAGATCCCTGATGTCTTCTTTCTTTCTCTCTCTCTCTCTCCCCCCCCCCCTCGTTTTTAGTCTTTGCGAGTTATGGGAAAAATGATGCGCGAGTGCTGGTATGCCAATGGAGCAGCACGACTAACAGCCTTGCGCATCAAGAAAACTCTTTCTCATCTCAGTCTCCACGAGGATGTGAAAGTTTAGTCCGCAAGCCCCTTTCCCGAGGAAACTGCGCAAAAGCTGCCATGCTAGAATTGATGAATGGTGGAGAAGGCCTACCTCGTATTTCTACACAGCCTGCTCCTATCAGCTGGACAACTTGGTGTGCAGGTTAGGTGAGGAAAGTGGACACCCACAGACTTGGCTCCCTTCCTGATTCACGAGTGAAAGTCATCTTTTTTTTTCTAATGCCCTCCGGAGAGCGTAAGGATGGGCTTGTTGTATAGAGAGAGAAGTTGGCCGCAACCGTATCTTGTTGTTTCTCTGATGGAAATCCCTGTAAATCCTCGCGACGTGCTTGTCGGAGACAGCCCTCTGGCTTAGGGAAGTGCTTGAGGACCAACATATGCACACACATGCGCACACAAGATTTGGGTGCTCCCTTGTCTGGCCATGTGAAGCTCTTAGTCCTTTCCTAGTTTGACAGATCCTAAGCCACCGCAGCCACTAGTGTTCAGCAGCGTGAGCATGTGCAAAGGTACGTGTCCCTGTGCCCCTTTGGTATTATCGTGTCCGCTTGTGCCCCTGTGCATGTGCAAATGTAGAGCGTCCTCGTGTGAAAGTGCAGGTGCTCGTGCTCTCTTTGTCCCACACGTTGAGCATCGTTATCTCTTTTTCCTCTCGCTAGGGAAGGATGCGAGGGTATCCTCCCTGCCAATTTTTAGACCCATCGGGGCACTACACAAAACTATCTCACTGCCATCCTTCCCTTCTTTTCAAAGCAGGGAATAGGTTTTATTGCGTGTGTGTGTTTTTTAGTTTCATGGTCCTCCTGTGTTGTCAGGGCTGGGTGGCAACAGTTGCTTAGCAGGCAGTCCAATCTGCAGAAGGAATAGGTGTCAGGTGAAATCAGTGCTGGTCCTCCTGGTTAAAGGAAGCAAGGCAAAAGTAGGGCTGTGGGAAGCAGTTGACCTTTCAGGATCATTGCCGTTCTATTTCTCAAGAAACAACTCTAGCATTTTAAACATTTCTCTAATGAAGCATCTGTGGCAAAATAGTGTGTTCAGAGGCTTCCTGTGAAGATTTATCCCTTAAGGAATGATGACTGCAAAACTAAACTTTTTATTATTAAAAGGTGTGTGTGTGTGTGTGTGTGTGTGCGCGCGCGCGCGTGCGCATGTGTGTGTGTGTATATATATATATATATATATATGTTTGTGTGTGTGTGTGTGTGTGTGTGTGTATATATATATGTATATGGTCTCCTGTATTCTGGAAGTGATTATGTGTCACTTGGAATGGGGTGGGGGGGAGAGTTTGGAATGGATTAACTTGCATGCATTTTGTTTCAGTTAAATGATCAGGGTGTAATAAGACTGATTTGGCTGTCGTGTTTGCTTTGGGAACAGCCCAAGACTGTATTATGATGCAAATAATGCGTTGAAAACTCCATAGTATGTGGGTTGGGTGTTTGTGGTAGATAACTCCTGAAGCCATAACTTTTAACTGGAATGGTTTGACTATTGTTTGTTAATTCTTATTTAATTGGGAGGGTCTGGATTTTAACTTTTTTTACTATTCTTTATAAGAGAAGTAAAATTGATAATTACCTCTCATTCTCTTTTTAAAGAAATCACTACAAAAAAAAATACTGAAAAAAAATGCACACAGCTCAATTTTACACTGGAACCGTTTTTACTCAAGTTGTGGGCCCTGACTTCTGAGAGGAGACATTATGTCCACTCTGAGACAGGGCATTTTTTAAGTACCGTATATAAAACATTGTGTGTTTTGCTGTCTGTGGGTGTAGGTGTTCGTCTCAGTCTCTTCCTCCTTCAGCCCCTTCTCTTGTTCTCAACTATGTCAGTGTGTAAAGTTGAAGCAGTGTCGTGTTGTGTATTGGAGTCAGTTTTACACGCTCCTTTTGGTTTGAAGCAAACTGTAGCTTCCTCCAGGGCTGTGTTTTGAAAATCTCAGGCGCTCTTATTCACGGAGGGACAAGTGGAGTTTGCCCTTCTCGTAAAACCTGCTGCCTTTTGTGATTCTGTTTCTGATTGCTTTTGAGCCAGAGGCTACCACACCTCTCCAGCAAATGGACACAGCTTACCAAATCACCTCTACAACTTGGTTCTAAGATGAAAAGCACCTCGACATTTGTCTAGATCATGTATTCCCATCAATGAAAAATTGACTACTCGGTTGCTGACATTGGAAGCTGAAGATAGTACATCATGGAGGCTTAAATTTGGAAGATGCACATGTCCAACTCGCAGCGGTAACATAATTCCATTGCTAAGTTCTCCTTAGTTGGTTGGGGTTTTTTTTTAAGTAACAAGGGAGCCATTGTCCTTTGAAACTGCTTGGCCTTGGTGACTGGAAGAGTTGAGGAAGCTGTAGTGTAACATGGTGCCTAAACACATTCTGAGTGTTCCCCCAAGAAGCAAGTTGTACACTCAAACTTATGGCATTGCAGTGATAAGCACACCACTTGGAAGTGTGATGAGAACCTACTTCTATGTAAAGCAGAGGCAGACAGCATGATGCCCTCCTTTCATCCCCAGCAAGCATGGCCAATAGCCAAGGAATGATGGGAGTTGTAGCCTACACATCTGAAGGGCATGTTGATGACTGACCCTGATGTAAAAGCAGCTTGAATTGGAGTACAACTCACCTAATTAATATCTTAAAATAACTTACCACTGCTACACAGGCACACCTCTGTTGTGTCCTTATGAATAAGCCAACTGTGTAGCGCTGCACTTTGAAAGGTAAAAGGGATAGGCTGTATCACAACGATTGGCTTCTAGAGTCATCATAATATGCATTTATCAAAGAGGCCGCAGTAGCCTCTTGCAGCAGAAACACATTTTTGCTCAGTGCTGCTCCGGAGCGCTATCAGAAGAGGAGCAAGGCAGCTAGCTAAAGAGCATTAAAAAGCACTGTGCCATTACATGGCTAAATGCTCGTTTAGCACATTTCTCTCTTCTAACATATATCTGACCAGTGACAGGTAGACGTTGGCTGGGGTTGCAATTTACAGCACTGCAAATTGCAGCAGCCTGAAGGAGGAGAGGTTTTCCTGCTCCCGCTTCACCTGCTACAAAAATAAATAGGAATAGAAATCCTAATGTCACGTTCAAAGGACTATTGTTCCTGTCCCACTCCCCACAGATCAGAAAGAAGTGGGCAAGTCGGAGGGCCACTAGTTTCTTCTTAAAATTCAAACAGACACAGTTGCACTCCGTTGTGCATGTTTTCTTCTTAATAATGTGAAAAGTTCAAATAAAAGACATACCCAACAGTGCAGCTACAATAACTGCTGAGATCTTTTTTTAGACGGCATAAACTAAGGGCACCTAGGAGAGTGAAGAAAACCATTAACTGTAGCCAGACAACCATGAAGTTTTTAGTCCACTGGTCTGAAGTCCAGGTAAGTCACAGGGTGGAATTTGAGTTCTTAATTCCATTTGGGAACGAGCGACTAGCTTCATCTTGGCATCAAGGCAGACATGAAAGAATCTGGTGACGTCAAACCTCCAAATGGAAAAGAGTTCATTCATTGCTTTTTTTTTCAAATCTAGAAGATGGAAGGTGTGGGTTCCTGGCTGGTACTATTAAGATTTTGTCAGGTGGCACACTGGCTTCAGAATAGATCATTCTGGTACTGTTGTCTGTCTCTTTCCTGCCCCCCCCCTTTCCACTTTCTCGTCCACCTACCCCTGATTCCTACTTGATCTTTATATTTCGTTCAGGTTTTGTATGTTTTATTAGAAAAAGACTGTAAAATAGCCACTTAGACACTTTACCTCCTCAGTATGCAAATGTAAATACATGTAATATAGTAAAGAAATCTTTTGTTTTAATATAAGAATGAGGCTGTCCAATTTTCTGTTGTACATTATTAAAAGTTTGTTTTTATTCACTTCAGCTCTGCGATCTTTTCTTTTCTGGTTAATTCTAGCTAACAGTACTCTTAATAACCATAGACTTAGGAGTGGCCACAGGTGACATTGACACAGACTGCAAATGGACCAAGCCACCCGTCACTCTTTGGGAAATTGTCCTTCGGAAGATGGTGGACTCTCCTTTGTTGGAGGTTATTAAACTGAGGTTGGATCGCCATCTGTTGGGGGATTCTTTAGCAGTGATTCCTGCATTGCAGAAGGTTGGGCTAGATGACCCTTAGGGCCTCTTCCAGCTCTTAACATTTGTATGATCCTGTGAAAACAGTCAGACTTAATTCTGAGTAACCATGTATTGGATCACACTGCACATTATGCATACCTTATTTTTCGCTCCATAAGACGTACTTTTTTCCTCCTAAAAAGTAAGAGGAAAGTCTGTGCGTCTTACGGAGCGAATGTGTGGTCCCTGGAGCCGAATTGCCCAGGGGCGAAAAGCAGATCAGTTTTTTTTTGTTTTTTGTTGTTTTTTTTAGAAAGAGAGAAGGGGGTGTTGAAATGAAGCCGCTGAGCAGCTGATCGGCAAGTGATCAGGAGGGAGATAAGGGACACTAGCAATAAAGGAGGCTGCTTGGGATGGGGGAGGTAAAAGCACTTGGAGCCTCAGGATTTTTGCATTGAGTCACCCCAAATTCACCATCAGATCACATAGCATGTCCATGGCTACAGCCTGCACCAAAAACACACACATCCACTGTTTCATGGGGCCGCAATGGCACAAAAACGTGGTTATAAAGCACGGATCCACATGGAATCTCAGGATTTTTGCATTGGGTCACCCCAAATTCACCATCAGATCACATATCATGTCTGTGGCCACAGCATGAACCACAAAAATCATACATCCACTGTTTTGTTCAGAATATTTTTTTTCTTGTTTCCCTCTAAAAACTAGGTGTGTCTTATGGTCAGGTGCGTCTTATGGAGCGAAAAATACGGTGAATTGCTTTAGGCAGGGGGAAGCCAGAGTGCCTTCACCTGGGACTTGGGGGAGCAGTTACTCCTAAACCAGGAAGTCAGCCTGTCATTCCTTATCCCTTACTGCCAAACAAATATGTTTGCCCCATATTTCCACTCCATTTATGGTATTTGACTAATAACTGTTGGCAGTAGACAGATGTGAAGCATAAGAAGGAGGAATAAAAAGCTAAATCTTTTACCCATGTTAAAGTGTCATCTTGGATTTCTGCTTGAGGGTTTCCAGTGGCAGTAACAAGCTTATCCAGCCTTAAGCCTGTGGAGTGTGTTTAACAGAAATTAAGAATTCCCCTCCCCACCCTTCCATTAGTCTGGTAGCATAAATTTTGCTTCTTTTAAGCTTCTTTTATGGCAGAAGTGTGGGTTACCTGCTCATCCAATTTTCTGCGATTAGGAACCTCACTTGCTAGCCCCCGTGAACGGAGCATGTTGTGGGAGAGGACTGCCCCCGTCTATCCCTTAACAATATTATGGTGCCTCATCCACCCTTAAGAATCAACCCAATGAAATTAGGGGGTCAGTTTCAATGGGAGATCGCCATCTGGGCTTCAGTTTTTGCATTCTAATCGGCTTTCCCCAAATGCCCTATAATTCTGTTTTCCTATACTTTTAACATGCAGTTGGAGACTGCAAGATGCTGATTAGGATCAACAACAAGGCATTACTGTTAAAAGGCCAGGAGAGACTTGTGCATGGATGTGCACTACCCATTCCACATGATTTCTGTTTCTAATTTGACTGCTGTGAAGTTAGGACGCTACGGAAGCACACCTTGCTAGACAGCGATGTGAGCAGGATTTCTAAGAGAGCATGCAGTGCCCTGTGAATCTCCTCCTTGATCCCCAGAATGACTAGAGGTGGATAGCTCATTGGTTAGAGCAGGGGTCTGCAACCTTTAAGACAAAAAGAGCCACTTGGACCCGTTTCCGAAGAAAAAAAACCTGGGAGCCGCAAAACTCGTTATTATAAAAATAACTTTTTTGTCACTTTTTTATTATTTCTTTGTTTGACCCCTCAGAATTACTCCTCCTCGTAGAAATAAACGTTAAATTAACAAGTTACCTTTTTGTGTGTGTGTGTTCTTCACTCCCCTTCAAAACAGTGACCAGCGTACATGCCCCTTACAATGGGGCGGGCGGGAAGGTGACGTCGGGACGGTGCGTGACTAACGCACGCACCGCCCCCATGTGACGTCACAGCCAGTACAGCGCCCGCCACAGTGGGGAGTGTCAGGGCGCACAATGCGCCTCCTCCCCTCGCTAGTATCCGCCCCGGAGCCGCGGCAAAGGTGTAAAAGAGCCACATGTGGCTCCGGAGCCGCGGGTTGCAGACCCCTGGGTTAGAGTGTTGTGTTGACAATGCCAAGGTTGCAGGTTCGATCCCCGTAAGGGACAACATTCCGGCTTTGCATGGGGGGGCTGGACTAGATATCCTCAGTGTCCCTTCCAACTCTGTATTTGTATGAGAAGTAGAATAAATTACCGTATTTACTCGAATCTAATGCTCACTTCTTTTTTTGTCTAATTACGTTGCGGAAATTAAGATGCACATTAGATTTGATGGCATATTTACAGTCGCCAGCAAAAACTTTTGGGGGGGGTTTCCATGTTCTGAAAATCGAGTTCTGCATCAGGTTCAATGGTGTGTTAGACTCGAGTAAATACAGTGGTACCTCGGGTTAAGTACATAATTAGTTCCGGAGGTCTGTTCTTAACCTGAAACTGTTCTTAACCTGAAGCACCACTTTAGCTAATGGGGCCTCCCGCTGCCGCCGCACCGCCGGAGCACAATTTCAGTTCTCATACTGAAGCAAAGTTCTTAACCTGAGGTATTATTTCTGGGTTAGCGGAGTCTGTAACCTGAAGCGTATGTAACCTGAAGCGTATGTAACCCGAGGTACCACTGTACAGTATACACCCTCCTGATGATGGCTGGGGAAAAGGAATCCTGTAAGGTGCCACAAAAGAAAAAGGGCAATTGTAGGGAGTGAAAGACAAGAGAAGATGAGGTTTTAAATAAGATATTATTTCTATCCTGCCCTTCCATCAGGGAATGTGGGACAATATACATGTGTCCGTCTGTCCCTTATCACCACAATAACCCTGTGAAGTAGGTTAAGATTGAATGTGGTTCCCCGGTGTGCTCTTTATTGCTGAGGATTGGGCCCTTGCAGGTTGAGGGGCTGTTTCTAGTCTGATCCTGTAATCGCTACATATTAGTTCCATATTTGCTTTATTTGCATATACAGCTAAGTATCTCTCCCCCCCCCCCCAAGCTGTATTTGCGCATTAAGCAAGTAAGCCCAACCTTAGATTTGTAGATAGAGGTCACATCCACACCATATATATAAGGCACTCTTATGCCACTTCAGTTCCACAGTGGAACTGTAGTCACAAAGAAGAGTTCAACTGCGCAACCTCTGGTATACCGTATTTTTCGCTCTATTGGACGCACCGGACCATAGGAGGGGGAGAACAGGGGGGGGGATTTTTTCTTGTTCTCCCCCTCTAAACTTTTCCCCTCCGCCAGCCCCAAAAACCAGGTCGGGGAACAGCAGGAAGGTGGCGCTCCACCTCCCCACTGTCCCCCCAGTGCTTCTCCCCACCGCCAGCCTCAAAACCAGGTCGGGTTTGGAGGCTGCTATCCGCAAGCCTGGGGAGCCCGGCGGGAGTTCCCGCCGGGCTCCCCAGGCTTGCGGATATCTGCCCGAAGCCTGTAGAGCGAGAGGGGTCGATGCGCACCGACCCCTCTCGCTCTACAGGCTTCAGCGAAAGCCTGCATTCGCTCCATAGGACGCACACACATTTCCCCTTCATTTTTGGAGGGGAAAAAAGTGCATCCTATAGAGTGAAAAATATGGTATTTTTCTAGGTGCAAAGCCTGAATGTTGTCCACTGATGCCATGCAATCATGAACATTGCAAATTACTTCCAGTATTTGTTCATTCTAGAGGGAGGTCTGTCCCACCCTTCTAATGCCTATCTACTGCTCGCTTTTTTATACTTCACACTTTTAAAAAGTTTCCAGAGTCTGCCAAATCCTGAACTCGCAAGCAGAAATTAATTATGCTCTGAAGAAGGTCAGGTATAGCAACAGTGGCTATTTCGGTAAAAACCTGGGTTGAAGGTGTTTATCTGGCACTGTGTACCCAACAAACCCCACAGAAGTGTATCAAAATATCTTACCTTTTTTTTACATGATACCTTTGGCCTTGTGAGATGCTGTTTGACTCCAGTTCCCATCAGCCCCAACCAGCCTGGCTGATGGTCAGGGAAGATGGTAGTTGCCCTCTGGCGACTTTTGGAGGGTTCTCCATCCCCACCTAATAAGGCAGGTAGCAATGTTCATCTCCACAAGCAAAAATAAGGTACCGTATTTTTTGCTCTATAAGACTCACTTTTTCCCTCCTAAAAAGTAAGGGGAAATGTGTGTGCGTCTTATGGAGCGAATGCAGGCTGCGCAGCTATCCAAGAAGCCAGAACAGCAAGAGGGATTGCTGCTTTCTCTGTGCACCGCTCCCTCTTGCTGTTCTGGCTTCTGAGATTCAGAATATTTTTTTTCTTGTTTTTCTCCTCCAAAAACTAGGTGCGTCTTGTGGTCTGGTGCATCTTATAGAGCGAAAAATGTGGAGCTTTAAAGACTTACTTATATTATGGCAGCCTTGTATTGTAGCGTTCACCTGGTACCCCAGGATGGGGAAGCAGTGACTCTCCAGCTGTTGATGGTCTCCAGCTCCAACCAAGATGGCTGGTGGGAGGGGGGGCAAGCTTTCTCCTCTAGACCCACCCAGCATAAAAATCAACAGGTTCCTCATCCCTCTCCTGACAGCCCCCATTACTGTTATTTACAAGGCTGTATTCTGGTGCTGTGGGTTAAACCACAGAGCCTAGGACTTGCCGATCAGAAGGTTGGCGGTTCGAATCCCCACGACGGGTTGAGCTCCCATTGCTCGGTCCCTGCTCCTGCCAACCTAGCAGTTCGAAAGCACGTCAAAGTGCAAGTAGATAAATAGGTACCGCTCCTGCAGGAAGGTAAACGGCGTTTTCATGCGCTGCTCTGGTTCGCCAGAAGCAGCTTAGTCATGGTGGCCACATGACCTGTACACCGGCTCCTTCGGCCAATAAAGTGAGATGAGTGCTGCAACCCCAGAGTCGGCCACAACTGGACCTAATGGTCAGGGGTCCCTTTACCCCTTTACCTTTATTCTGGCATCATTTGGGTGGGAACAACAACAACAACAACAAATTCATACATACATACATACATACATACCCAGCTCATCTGGCTGAGTTTCCCTGGCCACACTGGGCAGCTCCCAAAAGAATATTAAAAACACGTGGGCCATGAGGTGTTTGGGGCTGTGGGGGATTCTTAATTTTGGAGGGATTTTTAAATACCACATGGAGTTTAGTCTGGACTATGGAAAAGGGGCTGATTTGTTGAAAAGGGTCAAAAACATTGCCAAGCTGGAGTTCCCACGAGTGAAAGGAGAATATGAAGAAGAGCCGCGGAAGGGACATGGAAGGGACTTAAGGGCCTCGGATATAAGGTTACCAGGTTAATGCACTAGATTAATGGGATAAAAAGGACTGACAAAACCTGTGACCAGGAGGAAGGGACGCTGGATGAAGATTGGATTGTTTTTATTGCTTTTTTTTTATTACTAGGATTGTTTTATAAAATTGATTGATGAATGTTAGAAAAATGTTGGAACGAAATTACTTGGCTTTAGCAAAAATGTTTAAAGAATTAGGTAAGAATATTATGGTTATGAGAAGTTGGTAAAAATAAGATTTAAGTTTTAAGCTTTAAGGTTCTTTATAAGATAAGATGAAAACAGATTAAGGTAATGCAATGATAGAATATTATGAAATATGGAAAGGATTTGCTGCGACAATTAACAACTAGGATACAAAAAAAGGGAGGAGGAGGAGGTCAAAGAAAGAAGGTAATGAAAGTTGAGGATTCGAGAATGATGGATTTGTTTTTGTGTGTTTGCTGTGTATTTTTGTTTTTTGAATATGTATTGTTTGATGTGGTTTGTTTTTTCTTTGTTTTTTTTCTTTTTCTTTTCTTTCTTTTTCTGCTTTGTTCTTTTTTGTAATTCTAAAAAATTCTCAATAAATATCATTTAAAAAAAAAAAGAATATTAAAAACACGATAAAACATCAACCATTAAAAACTTCTCTAAACAGGGCTGCCTTCAGATGTCTTCTAAAAGTCAGATAGTTGTTTATTTCCTTGACATCTGATGGGAGGGCGTTCCACAGGGAGGGCACCACTACCGAGAAGGCCCTCTGCCTGGTTCCCTGTAACCTCACTTCTCACAGTGAGGGAACCACCAGAAGGTCCTCAGAGCTGGACCTCAGTGTCCGAATTGAACAATGGGGGTGGAGACGCTCCTTCAGGTATACTGGGCAGAGGCCTTTTAGGGCTTTAAATGTCAGCACTAACACTTTGAATTGTGCTCGGAAACGTACTGTGAGCCAGTGTAGGTCTTTCAGGACTGGTGTTATATGGTCTTGGCAGCCCAATGACCTACCAGAGCCAGGAAGAGTATGCCATTCAAAGGGACTCAGTCTCAGATTGAACGAAATTATTTCAAGGGCTGCAAGGTAAACTCCCACTTAGAAGGATCAAGAGCTGGGAAAATTTGCTAGTCCATCCGCAACATGGATTCTCACCAGTTTGCCGCCTCGTCATCTGGGACCAGCTGGGCTTCCAAGGTCTCTGATGAGTCAGATTCTCTGATGCGGCAATAAACAAGGCTTCTGAGTGCCATCTGCCTGGTGTCAGAGCTGCCGCCTCCTCCAAGCCAAGGTCTTCCAGGTATTGCTGGCTCTCCCACGCACCCATCAAAGAGATTGCAGATGCAGTGATAACTCTTTCCCTGGTAACAAGACTAATCTCCAATGAATCCCTTGAGCAAGGCCACCAGAAGTGCCTGTAAGTGCCTATCTCTCCATCTCAGTTCCACAGACATCGGATGTTACCTTCGTAAGTACATTTCCTGGATTCATGCTAATCTGCTGGCATGTACAATATAATCATAATAATTGATTATTTCTACCCCACCCATCCGGGGTAGATTATTTCTACCTCACCCACACAACCTTTCACCTTGGGTTCGGGGCAGCATGGCAGGGGATGGGTTGCATTTATTTGTTTGTTAAATTTCTATGCTACCCTTCATCCGAGGATCACAGGGCAGTTTTCAATATAAAAAGACAAAAATCATAGAATTGGAACGGACCCCAAGGATCATCAAGTGCCCCCCCCCCCGCAAAGCAGGAATCATTTGCCCACAATGATCCTGAGATTTAAGAGTCTCATGCTTTGCCGACGGAGCTATCCATTTTTGTGCATAGAAACAAACGAAAACGATACTCTTCCTCCTCCCCCCGCAGTCCAGTTTAAAAGGCCGTAGATTGAACATTTAGCCAAAGGCCAGGGAGAAGAGCAATGTTTTTGCCCGGCACCTAAATATATATAATTATATAATAATAACAATTTATTATTTATACCCCGCCCATCTAGCTGGGTTTCCCCAGCCACTCTGGGCAGCTTCCAACAAAATATTAAAAATACAATAAAACATCAGACATTAAAAGCTTCCCTAAACAGGGCTGCTTTCAGATGTCTTCTAAAAGTCAGATAGTTGTTTATTTTCTTGACATCTGATGGGAGGGCATTCCAAAGGGCGGGCGCCACTACCAAGAAGGCCCTCTGCCTGGTTCCCTGTAACCTCACTTCTCGCAGTGTGGGAACCACCAGAAGTCCCTCGGAGCTGGACCTCAGTGTCTGGGCTGATCGATGAGAGTGGAGACGCTCCTTCAGGTATACTGGGCCGAGGCCGTTTAGGGCTTTGTTGATTTGTGTTGCAATCCAACTGATGCATCTTATTCCTTTATAGCTGAAAAAACGTTGCTTGGGGTTCCGTGATTCTAGCTCAGGAGGCTGATGGATTTCTACCCTAGAACCCTTTTGAGCACGTGTGCCAGCTGTTTGAACAACTGCAGAAGTCATTTTCATTCATTTAGATCAGGGTTTCCCCGTGTAGAAGAAGAGAAGAGTTTTGGATTTGATATCCCGCCTTTCACTCCCTTTAAGGAGTCTCAAAGCGGCTCACATTCTCCTTTCCCTTCCTCCCCCACAACAAACACTCTGTGAGGTGAGTGGGGCTGAGAGACTTCAAAGAAGTGTGACCAGCCCAAGGTCACCCAGCAGCTGCAGGTGGAGGAGCGGGGAAGCGAACCAGGATCACCAGATTATGAGACTACCGCTCTTAACCACTACACCACACTGGCTCTTATGTGTACTGAAGCACATAACCGCATGCCCGAAGAGGGGCTGAGGTTTCCCTTGAAAAAGCAGGCGACCCGGTTGAAGGCACCTGCCACATCTGTCCCTCGTGGAGGGCGGGGGCTGCTTGCCAAATCAATCCTGTTCCTTTCTGCTCTTACATGGACAGCAATATTCCCAGGGAAACAGCAAAGCTACCCAAGGGATTCCCTGGCTCTGCATGTTATCTGACAGGTGTGGGCACTGGGGAACATCAACGCAGATTCAGTAGTACAGTGGTACCTCGGGTTAAGTACTTAATTCGTTCTGGAGGTCCGTTCTTAACCTGAAACTGTTCTTAACCTGAGGTACCACTTTAGCTAATGGGGCCTCCCGCTGCCACCACTGTGCAATTTCTGTTCTCATCCTGAAGCAAAGTTCTTAACCCAAGGTAATATTTCTGGATTAGCGGAGTCTGCAACCTGAAGCGTCTGTAACCTGAAGTGTCTGTAACCCGAGGTACCACTGTACTAAGCAAAGCAGAGGCCAGAGCAACTACAGTGGTACCTCGGGTTACATACGTTTCAGGTTACAGACTCTGCTAACCCAGAAATATTACCTCGGGTTAAGAACTTCAGGATGAGAACAGAAATCGTATGGCAGCGGCGCAGCAGCAGCGGGAGGCCCCATTAGCTAAAGTGGTACCTCAGGTTATGAACAGTTTCAGGTTAAGAACGGACCTCCGGAACGAATTAAGTACGTAACCGGAGGTACCACTGTACCGTATTGGCCCAAATATAAGCCTCGTTATTTTTTCCAACATTACGGTTCTCCCCCTCCCCCCAGGATGCAGTGTGGGTCAATGGCGCACCACCTGCCCACAGCCCCCAAGCCTCCCCCGAGCCATCGGAAGGGGAGGGGAGGCCGCTGGCAAAGTGGCGCAGCTCCCCCCTCCCCCCAGGAAGCAGACTGGGGTATTGTCTTTTTCCCTCTCCCCCCCTCAATTTTAAAGGTGCAGCTTATTTGCGGGTGCGACTTATATTTGTGCCAATATGGTAAGTGGAGGGGCGTGGGTGGCGCACCACAGAGCTTAGGACTTACCGATCAGAAGGTTGGCGGTTTGAATCCCCGCGACGGGGTGAGCCCGTGAGGGTTGCTCGGTCCCTGCTCCTGCCAACCTAGCAGTTCGAAAGCACATCAAAGTGAAAGTAGATAAATAGGTACCGCTCCAGCGGGAAGGTAAACGGAAGCTGTACGCCAAAAAGGGACAAAGTTTGAAGAAGAGTGGGGTAAATTTGTGGCATATATAAGAACTAACTGTAGAAGTTTAAAAACTATAGCAGGGTTAACATAGCTCCTGTGATGTGTATAGAAGGTGAATAAGAATCTACAAGAGAAGACATATATTAAGAAAACGGAAGGAAGGAAGGAAGTCTGGCCGTGTAAATAATTTACACAGCGTAAATAAGACGACATAAAATGATGACTGTAAAAGATTGTTTTATTTTTGTTTGTGAAAAACTCAATAAAAAGCATTAAAAAAAAAAACTTGTCTTGAGTAAGAATTTGGAGATTCTAGTTCCTTCCCACCCACCCCCACCCACCCAAAAATACATGAGAATTGTTTCCAAGACTCCGCGAAACGTTCTGGGCTCACAGAAGAGAGTTTTCTGGCTCAAACGCATCATATGCATCATATTAACGTAAATGACCCTGCGCAAGGAATCCTTGCTGTTTTTTTCTAGCCCTGGATGCAATAGCAAGGGGATCCCTGGGACCGTCCAAAGGACATTCCAAAGAACAACCCCAAAAGAGAAAAGCATGCGAGACTCGCGTCATTCTGGGAGATGCTTCCGAAACACAAAATACCCAACTCTTGCGCAATCTCCCTACAGCTGCTGGCCAGCTGTCCCCAGACACCCAGCTCTTGTGTTTGTTCTTAACGAAGAAATGTTTGGCTGCTGGCGACGAGTTCATTCCTTGCTAAAAATTAAGACCAGCTGCTGTGCGCCCAAGCTAAGCAGGAGGAGGACAGGCCTTGTGGCGTTGTCTAAAGGGATTGCCAGGCCTTGTGCAGTGCAGGCCAAACGCAGCCGCCGCAGAGGCATTAATAGGCGCAAGATGGTTTTAGCTGTGTCTTCCGGCTGCTTCCCCTTTGCCAAGCCCAGCCCCAAAAATACAACCGCAAGAAATAAAAGGTTTTAGCAGGGTTAGGGAACCTCCAGTCTCCTCTGCCCTGCAACCAAATTTCTCGCTGATCGCTTGTGATCTTCCCTGGTTTCACTGCTTTGCCGGTCTGAGGGAAAGAGTTGAGAAGCAGGAGTGACAAAGGGACTTGGGTGCTGGGTTCTTGCTGAACGGCCAATTTACAAACAAAATTTTCACTTTCCAGAAGAGTTGTGCTGGTCTGAAAAAGAATTAAAATCTCACCACATCTTATTGGGGGCTGACTTCTGAGCACTGAGCATCCCCAGCCTGGACCACAGCTCCTTGCAATCATGTTCAGCAACAGCTTGACAGGATCCAAAGTAAGGGGGAAACCAGCTTTGTGGTGAGACAGAAACAAAAGAAAGAGTTGGTTTTGAGCAGGCTTCCTCAACCTCGGCCCTCCAGATGTTTTTGGCCTACAACTCCCATGATCCCTAGCTAGCAGGACCAGTGGTCAGGGATGATGGGAATTGTAGTCTCAAAACATCTGGAGGGCCGAGGTTGAGGAAGCCTGGTTTTGAGTTTCCATTTTCAAGTGAGTATTCGAATAGGCAACCAGTATAATAATAATATAATAATAATATTATAATAATAATAATTTATTATTTATACCCCGCCCATCTGGCTGAGTTTCCCCGGCCACTCTGGGCGGCTCCCAATCAAATGTTAAAAACAGTACAGCGTTAAATATTAAAAACTTCCCTGAACAGGGCTGCCTTCAGATGTCTTTTAAAGATTCCACAGGGTGGGTGCCACTACCGAGAAGGCCCTCTGTCTGGTTCCCTGTAATCTCAGTTCTTGCAGCGAGGGAACCACCAGAAGGCCCTCGGCACTGGATCTCAGTGTCTGGGCTGAAAGATGGGGTGGAGACACTCCTTCGGGTATACTGGACCGAGGCCGTTTAGGGCTTTAAAGGTCAGTACCAACACTTTGAATTGTGCTCGGAAATGTACTGAGAGCCAATGCAGATCTCTCAGGACCGGTGTTTATGTGGTCCCGGCGGCCACTCCCAGTCACCAGTCTAGCTGCCGCATTCTGGATTAATTGCAGTTTCCGGGTCACCTTCAAAGGTAGCCCCACATAGAGTGCAATGTAGTAGTCCAAGCGGGAGATAACTAGAGCATGCACCACTCTAGCAAGACAGTCCGCGGGCAGGTAGGGTCTTAGCCTGTGTACCAGGTGGAGCTGGTAGACAGCCGCCCTGGACACAGAATTGACCTGCGCCTCCATGGACAGCGGTGAGTCCAAAATGACTCCCAGGCTGCGCACCTGGTCCTTCATGGGCACAGTTACCCCATTCAGGACCAGGGAATCCCCCACACCCGCCCGCCCCCTGTCTCCCAAAAACAGTACTTCTGTCTTGTCAGGATTCAACCTCAATCTGTTAGCCGCCATCCATCCTCCAACTGCCTCCAGGCACTCACACAGGACCTTCACCGCCTTCGCTGTTTCTGATTTAAAGGAGAGGTAGAGCTGGGTGTCATCTGCATACTGATGAACACCCAGCCTATAACCACTAGAGAAGGGGAACTAGAAAAGGGGTCTATGCTGCTTCACTAGCAGTCTGAGCAGCAAGATTAAGATACCTTCTCAAAAACAGTACACCTGATGGAGAACATCATGCGGGACATTTGGAACTCGCCCTGAAGAGGATGAACAGCATATTTAGCTAATTTCAAATGACAAGCACTACAGTGGCCAATTGTGGGAAAATGAATACTTCCCTAGCTGTGCTGCAAGCCACAGACGACAGAAAACTCAGGCCACAGACAGCAGATAATCACCTGAATTACAGTAGCAGAACCTCAGCAAAGTTTGGGGCAATAGACGTGGGGGAGGGGGGAATAACCTGAAAGATTCTGTGATAGAAGTCTATAAAAGCATTAACAGTGGACAGTGAGAATATATCTTCTCCCAAGATACTAGAATTAGAGGGCACCCAAGAGTGATTAGCAGTAGGTTCATAGCAAACAAAAGGAAGTTTTCCTTCATGTGTAACATAATTAGCCAGTGGAACTCATTGCAAAGGGATAAAGTGATGGCTGTGAACATAAGCAGATTTTTTTGTTTCCTGTGCACGACTACTCAGGAACTTGTTCCCAGGTAGGTGGCGCAGCATCACACGTTGCATCCTTAAATGAGATTTCTGCGAAATCGTATACCGAGTGTTTTCCATGGCACTTTCCTTATCTGGTGAGTTTCGGAAAATCAGATACACCTGCTAAATCATCAGCATTTCTAATGTGTGATTTGTAACTAATACAACCAGGCCATCTCAATTTCCGTTAGGGAATACTTACGCACTTATGGGCTTTCCTAACTATTTATGAGCATTTCCCATAAAACTGAGACGTTTGGTCAGCAGAGGGCACTACGTTACCATATAATCGCACGCGAAAGCAGCACGAGCGAGAATTTAAAAATACATACATACAAAAATACAGGTTTGTATTTACCGGTATACAGTCCCGGGGCATATTTCAACCGCATCTGTCTACAGGAGAGAGTTGGTCTGCGTGCAATATTTATTTATTGGCGTGCAATAAATAAACCAAGTCCTTTTTCTCTTCCTTTTGCTTTATTTCTTTCAAGCAACGTCCAACCCTTCCCATACGCACACACGCCGCCCTCCGGTCCCCAGGAACAAAATATGCAGACGACGAAGGGGGAAGTGAGCTGTCTTATAATTTGCAAATCAATAAATTCTAATGACGATCGTCTCGTCGCCTTGCCACCAATGAATATTGGGGCAAGTGTGGGCAATATTCGTTGCAAGAGAGCAAAAGCACATTCCTCGTTTGTTCGGAAAACAATTCCTTTGCAGGCATTTCGGATTTGTATGCAAAAGCAAAAAAGAGAGAGAGCTTTTTGTTTGTTGTCACAAAGATCGCATTCATGGCTGCAGAAACGGGGTCCAAAATCCGGTTTCCCAGCCTAAGGCTAAGGCAAGACCCGCAGCGGAAGCCCCGCTACCTGGACCGCATAAAAAGAGCATTGTCTCGTCGTCACACCGGAGACAATTGAAACAATCCGGATCTCTCGGGAAAGGGCTTCTTACGCGCAATCCGAGACTCTCCGGCCCCACCCCTGGCGGGCTGTGCAAGAACACTGAGGTCTAGCGCCTTGGAAGTTGAAGAGGCAGGCGAGGCGGGGCGTCCTCTGCAAGAACACTGAGGTCTAGCGCCTTGGAAGTTCAAGAGGCAGACGAGGAGGGGGCGCCCTCTGGTCCCCAATCCAGGCTCCTTTACGAAGGATAAGGGAATTTTTATTTTCCTGGAAGCGGGGCGGAGTTTCTTCTGAGGTGGTCGTGACTCACAGGAGAAGGTTGGGAAGGGGGGGGACCTCTGGAGAGCATCAAAAGGGTTCCTTGCAGCCTTTCTCAGCCTATGGGTCCCAGATGTTGTTGAACTACAACTCCCATCACCCCTAGCTAGCAAGGCCGGAGCTCGGGGATGATGGGAGTTGTAGTCCAACAACATCTGGGGACCCACAGGTTGAGAACCGCTGCATGGGCTTGGAGAGCGGCCAGAGAGCCCCCCACTTTGAACTGGAAGGGACTCATCTAGTCCACTCCACCCCAAGGCAGGAATAGGCAGCTGGCCCATACGGCGATCGCACCTGCAACCTCGGCAATATCAACACCCCGCTCTAACCAACAGGGCTATTCTCCTCCTCCCCGAACCTCCGTGGCCGCGCAATGGGTCCCTGGCGCAATGGCTGTTCACCAGAAGGTTGGTGGTTCGAGCCCAGCCCGGCAGGATTCTTGCATTGCAGGGGGTTGGTCTAGATGACCACTTGGGGTCCCTTCCCATTCTACTCCGGAAAGAAGGCGGAATAGATGGGCTCGAGGGGGCGGGGCCTAACTGGAAAGGGCGTGGCTCCGCCGGCCCCTAAAGGGGCGGGGAGAGGCGCCGCTTGCGAGAGAAGCCGAGGGGAGGGCGTGGCCTGGCCGGGAGGAGGGCGTGGTCTCCGCGACGCCCCGCCCCCGGCGCTCCTCCAAGAGCCCATATAGCTCCGTGCAGCGCCGCCGCCCCCTTTTCCTTTCCGCCCCCCCGGCTATGACCCTGCGGAGGCTCCGGAGGCTCCGGCCGGGGCAGCCCGACCCAGAGGCAGCGGCGGCGGCGGCGTCGAGTGTGGCGGGCGCCGGTGTTCTCGGCGGCCGAGCGTCGGAGCTGGAGCTGGAAAGGGCGCTGGCGGCCTCGGGGGGCACCTTGCCCCGAGCCCGGAGGGTGAGTGAGAGCCTGGGCTGCTGCCGCCCTCTCTGCACGGACGGGGCTGGACCCGAGACCCGTGTCGCGCCAACACGCGCCGCGTTCCCACGAGACGCGCTCCCCGCCGCCCTAAGCCAACAGACCCCAGTCCTAGGGCGGGTCCCATCCGGACCCTAATAATACGCCTCTGCCGCCTCCCACCCACCCCATCACTTTCCCCCGACGAGGATCGGGGCAGGAATGAATGACACCCGCCCGGGATTGCCCGCTTCAACTCCACGGGAGATGGAAAAACACGAGGGGACGTCGCCCCCCTCCTGCGCCTCTTCCCGGCTGCCTTTCTTGGAGACGTTTCCTTCCTTCCACCTCCTCCCAGCCATGCTTTCCCCTCGGTCCCCCCCCCCCCATCTCGGATGCGCGTCCCCGAGATCAAAGTCCTTCTTAAATCCTCCCGTGCATCCTTGGAGCACCTGCGAGGCGCGCTTCCAGTCCGCGATGGGGGGCGAAGTGGGAATCGGGGTGCTCCTGGGTCGGGACTCCCTGGTGAGGAAGGAGAGACGAGGTCTCTTGACACGGATTTTCCCCTTGTCGCCTCCTTCTGCTTGGGCGACGCGAGGGACAAAAGGAATGTTGCTGGCGCTGGTTTGCTTGCCCCACGTGGCTCACCTGGGAGTTGGAAAGGGACCCCGAGGGTCATCTATCCCAGCCCCCCTGCAATTGCAGGAATCATCTTCTCCTAAGTTGCCATTTGTGGGGACAGTCGAACTCCCTTCCGGGCTCTGCGCATTGTTGCCCCAAAAGGATAGTTTGTTTGTTTGTTTTTCTCACTCTTGTGGACTACTGTACTTATTTAGTTCAGGTGGTTTTTAGTGCCTGTTCTATATAAATGAACAGCGTTTCTTGACCAACAAGGTGGTTGTGAGTACAATGGTACCTCGGGTTGAGTACTTAATTCATTCCGGAGGTCCGTTCTTAACCTGAAACTGTTCTTAACCTGAAGCACCACTTTAGCTAATGGGGCCTCCTGCTGCTGCCACACCACCGGAGCACAATTTCTGTTCTCATCCTGAAGCAAAGTTCTTTACCCAAGGTAATATTTCTGGGTTAGCGGAGTCTTTAACCTGAAGCGTATGTAACCTGAAGCATATGTAACCCGAGGTACCACTGTACAAGTAAAATGCAAACACAACTTGTGGCTTTTGGTGCTATGCAGACGGAATTAGTGGCTGCTATCTGAAGCTGGTGATGCAGCCGTTGGACCTCCCAAAATCTTTTTACCAGGAGAGAGAGAAAGAAGAGACTCTCCTTTTACAGGGGTTCTTTTGATGTGTTTGCATGTGTGTCAATCTATGACCCGCTGGGTTCTTCAGATATTTATTGGACTCCACCTCCCATCATCCTTGGCTGGTTGGGGCTGATGGGACTTGGGATTGCAGCTGCATTTGGAGACCACCACATTCACTATCCCTTGTATATGGGGTGTGCTTTTTTTGTCCCAGACAACGCTTCTTTGCATGGGGCATGTGGGGATGCAACTTAGAGCCACTCCTGGCTGGGATATCCATTCACCTTTCAAAATGCCACCTACGTTCTGTCCCACAAATGTTCCCAAGAGACTCCATGCAAAAATGCACCTCATATTTAATACCTAGAAGACAGTATTATTGAGCTCACTGGTATTTTTATTTGTGTGTTTAACGTGGAACATGGACATCTGGGTTAGACAGTTGTGGTGTTTGGGCACTTCCAAAGCTTGCATGGGATGTTTCCTTATCTGAAGGGAACCTATTGAGAAGTGGCAGTAGGGCGAGGAAATGATGGCAGTATTCATTCAGCAATTTCTCCCTTTCAAACTTTGTGGTCCTCGTTCCGTTTCCTGCTTCTAGAGGTACATGCTTGGGTTCCTTGGAAAGCTACAGCAACTTGAGAGAGGGAGAATTGATGCAACTATGACTTCTAAGTTGCAGGTGTACCGTGGTCTGTGTAGAGTGTGCAAGGCTTAGCAGTTTTGGGAAATTAAATGTGATCAGAAATCTCTGGCCAAGGAGCCATATAAGCTTGAGGTGCCCACTATCTATTCACAGGCAGATCGAACCCTGCTGATCACCGATTACTTGATCCCAGCATCTTGGGGTGATTACTTGAACAGTATTTCATTAGAGGGTTATCCATTAGCTAATGAGAAGTGTGATGATTTGTGAGGCGCTCTGAGATCCATGGATGAAGAGTGGCAAATTTAATAAATAAATAAAAATAATATATGGTTACGCTGTTTTTCCAACCACAGAGTAAAGACACCCTGATTCTCCTCCTATAGCAAGGACTTGCTTCTCTCTCATCTGTATATGGACTTATCCCTTGTTTTCCTGCGTTTCAATGACTGTCATCTGCTTCCGTAGTCTGTGTGGCTACATCTGCTCTAACTTTCTTTTGTACTGTACTCCATTTCTACCCCATGTGAATATGCCTTAGATCAGTCTTCCCCAATGTGCTGCTCTCCAGATGTGTTTAGACTACAACATGGGTAGGCAAACTAAGGTCCAGGGGGCGGATCCGGCCCAATCAACTTCTAAATCCGGCCCACGGACGGTCCAGGAATCAGTGTGTTTTTACATGAGTAGAATGTGTTCTTTTATTTAAAATGCATCTCTGGGTTATTTGTGGGGCATAGGAATTTGTGCTCCCCCCAAAAAAAATATAGTCTTGGCCCCCCACAGGGTCTGAGGGACAGTGGACCGGCCCCCTGCTGAAAAATTTTGCTGACCCCTGGACTACAACTCTCACCAGCCCCTGGCATCTGGAGATTGGGTTAGAGGGTTGGAAGAGACCCAATTTCGCATCTCCATTCTGCCACAAAACTCAATCGGTGATCTCAAGTCGGTTAACATCTGTCTGTCCAACCCAACTCACAAGGTTGTTGTGAAAATAAAACTGGTTAGAAAAAGCTGCAGAGGTCACATACGTTCAAAACATTTACAGTGGTACCTCAGGTTAAGTACTTGAATCGTTCCGGAGGCCTGTACTTAACCTGAAACTGTTCTTAACCTGAAGCACCACTTTAGCTTATGGGGCCTCCCGCTGCTGCCGCGCTGCTGGAGCACGATTTCTGTACCTGTAACCTGAGGTGCCACTTTTTACGGTCATGGCTCCCCCAAAGAATCCTGTCTACAGTAGCTTACCCCTGGCAGAGCCACAATTCCCAGCACCCGTCTCAAACTACAGTTCCCAGGATTTCTTAGATTCATGGTTCTAACGGTGGTGTAAAAGTGCTTTAAATGTGTGGAGAAAATGTGCCCGTACGCTGCCCTGAGCTACCTGGAGGAAGGCTGTTATTTTAAAACTCTTCATTTCACCCCCCACACCTGGAATATTCGTTGCTCCTGCTTGATCTTCCAGAAAGCAATTAAACCAACCGGCAAACTGCAAAGTCGCTAGCGCCTTTTCTCATAGCTTTTCTGCTGCGTTCTCGAAGCAGCTTCTGAACTTTGCAGCAGCAACTAAATCTGAACTGAAGTCGGTCCCGTTGGCAAAATACAAAGCCTGTACATCTGGTACTCGCGCCACGAGCTCCGCAGTCGCATGCAATATGGTTTTCAACCGCATATGTTGCTTCAGGCAAGTCGTCGGGCTCCTGTGGTAAACTCTGTCTGGCGGGATTGCAGTTAAAAGTGGCTTAACACTAGACTCTTCCCCCCCCCCCCCCCGAAGCTGCTGAGCAGCTTAGCTTGTTGACCAGGGCAATTTGCAGATTCGGTGCTTTTTCAGTGTAAGAAAAGTTGGCAACTGGCGAATGCCCAGGCCAGAGGTTTGCCAAAACTGATGTAGGGGTAATCCCAGCGTATCTACAAAATATGTCCAGGTCTCCTACGACCTTTTCGGAGGGATTGGAAGTCCGAGTGAAGGAAAAAGCAGAGAACGTCAAATGCTGCTTGTGTCCAGCATATTTGACTTACCCTCCTACCCTCATCGTACACACAAATAATAATCAATTTTTTCTGGAAAAACACAAAAGTTATTCCAGTTAAGCTAGATAACCACTTGGATCACCGGCTTATGGAAGAAAGGGAACAATTGCCAACAAAATTAGTAGGCTAAATTCCTGGGACCTTAGTTTGGTCAAGATCTCCCGATAAAATATGAGTACTTGGCATTTTTGAGATGCATCACTACAATGATTCACTGATCAAAAGAGCCCTAGCAGTACAATAAGGCTCTAATAGGGCAATACGGCATCAGGAAAAGTAGGGTATTTTGTCTCTGTATGTCCCAGGAGCTCTGCCTTCCCCATCTGCATTTGGAAACTGAAAGGCCAAGGAAAAGCAATGTTGGAAGCGAGTGCAATTTGTGATCATGGAGCAGCGTCATGACTGATCACAGGGCAGGTCTGTTAAAGCACCCAACTTCGCTTTTAATTTCTTGCTTTTCTTGAGCAGGTGCCAAGAGGAGAGAACCGTAGCCAGTCTTAAAAGGCAGGGTGTTTTTATTTATTTAATGAATTCTTCTGGTTTTTGAGAAGGAGAGTTATTAAAATAGCAGGTTCTATTAATGGTCTATGTGTGCAGGGTTGCCAGGTGGGGTAGTTGATTAGGGTTGCAGCAGGGATTTGCAGGCTGTGCTGAGTGGGGCGTTTGTGATGGTGTGTATGAAATGCAGTGGAGTGGGGGTTGCAGTCACGTGTGGCGGGGTGTGTTTTTCGGGTATCGAGTGTGAGGCAGATAGGGTTCAGAAGGAGAATAGGGTATACAGGAGGCAGTATTCGAAATTAAACAGGAGCCAGGCACATTTTGCACCTGGCTATCGGCCAGGGACACGGGTGGCACTGTGGGTTAAACCACAGAGCCTAGGGCTTGCCGATCAGAAGGTTGGCAGTTCGAATCCCCATGACAGGGTGAGCTCCCGTTGCTCGGTCCCTGCTCCTGCCAACCTAGCAGTTCGAAAGCACGTCAAAGTGCAAGTAGATAAATAGGTACCACTCCAGCGGGAAGGTAAACGGCGTTTCCGTGTGCTGCTCTAGTTCGCCAGAAGCGGCTTAGTCATCCTGGCCACATGACCTGGAAGCTGTACGCCGGCTCCCTCGGCCAATAAAGCGAGATGAGCACCGCAACCCCAGAGTCATCCGCGACTGGACCTAAGACTCAGGGGTCCCTTTACCTTTACCTGTCTGCCACTTGAGAGCAAGTAAAGATATCTGGGCACCAGGATGGTGCCTGATATCTCCACCATCTGGGGATCAGTGGATCTTGACTGTTTCTCCACGCTAATACCATATCCTGTGGAATTCCATCAGTTCTATTTTATCTGTACAATCAGAAGGAATTTCAGGAACCGAAATGCTTTTTCTGTGCAGCCTGAGCAGGAGCAGTGAACAACATTTATAGTTAAATCTCCACCCCCATCGTTTAGCCCGGAGATCCAGCGCCGAGGGCCTTCTGGCGGTTCCCTCATTGCGAGAAGTGAGGTTACAGGGAACCAGACAGAGGGCCTTCTCCGTAGTGGCGCCCACCCTGTGAAGCAACCTCCCTTCAGATGTGAAGGAAATAAGCAGCTATCCTATCTTTAAAAGACATCTGAAGGCAGCCCTGTTCAGGGAAGTTTTTAATATTTAATGCTGTATTGTTTTTAACATGTGATTGGGAGCCACCCAGAGTGGCTGGGGAAACTCAGCCAGATGGGCGGGGTATAAATAAATTATTATTATTATTATTATTATTATTATTATTATTATTAAATGTTGTAGGTTCTCTTACCCCACCCCACGGCCCTGCTCACAGTTATGAAGAATATTCTTTATGAATGGTCCGTGTCACCGTTCAGAAAAAGAGGTCGGAATAGGCCAATATCTATGTCGACTGTCCCTGGATCAAGTGACTTTCCTTCTTTAAGTTCTCAAAGTTCTTTAACCTAGCTCAAGGTTCTCGCCTAAACCAGCCAGATCTTTAACTGACAATCCATCACATTCAGTCCATCATTTGAAAAATAAGACTTTAGAGCCATCTTGCCCCAAAATGGCAACTAGACATTTCATTTTGGCAACTTTAACCCTGGTTAAAGGAGCCATTTGGCACCAAGCTTATATATCTGAGTTTATAACACTGGTAGTGAGACTGGAGTAGGTTTCCAAAGGTGATCTCAGGCCCAAAAATATTGGCAAGCCCTCATTTAATCACTGCGCCACACTGGCATACTTCATAACCGAAGGAATAGGCACTGCATGCGCTCTCTCCGCAAACATGGTGGTCCTGGCAAAATCTTCACTTCAAACCCAGAGCTATGTACTTATTTTTCCAGTACAGTGGTACCTCGGTTTAAGAACAGTCCAGTTTAAGAACGATTTGGTTTACAAACTCTGCAAAACTGGAAATAGTGTCTTGGTTTGAGAACTTTACCTTCGTCCAAGAACGGAATCCAAACGGGGGAAGGGCACTGGTGGCGGGAGGCCTTATTAGGGAAAGCGTGCCTTGGTTTAAGAATGGTTTCAGTTTAAGAATGGTCTTCCGGAACGGATTAAGTTCGTAAACCGAGTACCACTATACTTACTGCCATAGACTTTAACAGAGCTGGAAAACCTTAACTTTTGAACCGCTGCTCAAAATTTCATCCAGTTTCTTTCCTTGAGAGGCCTGAATAAGAGTCACAATGGTTTCACCAAAATGGGAAGTAAATAAATGATCCGGCTATTTTTAAAATGGGAGGTGGAAGCCTCAGTTTCAGACCTTCTTTATATTGCTGAACCTCTGCCAGTTCTTACTGGATCAGTTTGAAACTTTCCTGCATCCGCAGACCCCATCGGGTTGATCAGCAGTGCCAAGTTTCAACATATTAGTTCAACAGGTGCCATTTTTAAATAAAGTATAAGAGTTTTGGGTCTTATGGTGGCAAAGCTTCCTTTTTGCAAAAAAATTTCCAAGCCTTCTCCCATCCCCCTGTAAAACCTTTGATGCCCTCATTACCGGATCCCAGACCCGGCTTTGGCGTGGCTCCTTCAGGGCTGAATTACTAAAGCACAAAGTATGCGTGTACCACATCAGTTGCAAAAAGGGACGCCTGCCTGTTTCCTTTTCCTCTTTAAAGTTCACAGGCACAAGGCCCTTCTCATGCTTTGCTCACTGCTCCTGTGTGTTTTTTAAAAGGTTAAAAGTTGCCTGAAGAGCATTCTGTTGTATGGAAAAAAAACCTCACATTGCTGCTTTAACTTGTGTCCCATACCACATTCAGGTCCGTTCCCGGATTTAAATTAAATTTTAAAAGTCCCTTTAAGTTTTTTCCGCTTTTTGTGAGGTGTTTGTTGTCCAAAATCCCTTCATTTAACCACCTCCTCTGTGGAGTTTTCCCTTCTCTCAGTTCCACTAACACAGGATTGTGGTCTGAAAGTGACCTAGGCGGTATCAGTTTTCTTCATCCTCAATGATAAATCACTGGATGTCCATATCAAGTCGATTCTTCCGGCAGACTGATTGTGGCGCTGAGAAAAAAGCGAATTCTCTGTCCAGTGGGTGTTTAAACCTCCACAATGTCAATCAAATTATAGTCTCCCTTCCTTATTTTCAGTTTTCCTTATTGTCCTATCTATTTCTAGGGAGACTACCCCCATTAGTATCTCCAAGTAGAATTATCTTCTGGTCCATGAATTCAAACATTCTTTCTTCTAATGTTTTATAAAATTCCGACTACATTTGGTGCATACATTTCTCACTTTGTGTGATACCCGGGGGATGTTTCCATTGATATTCTGGCGCATGTGCGCCTGCATGGATATCCATGCTCAAGTTCAACATGAAAAGCATCTTATAGACCACCTGGAAAAACCCCTTTCCCAACAACCCCTTTTCCCCTCTAAGGAAAGTTATTGTGATGTGTCTTTTACTGGAAATTCTTTAAAAAGAAAAGGCTAGCTGATTTTCACCTGGACTTGCTGTTTAAGAACCCACAGGTCCTCACCAAACATCATCATTAACATCATAGAGTTGGAAGAGACTCAAGGGCCTAGTCCAAACCCCCACAAATGCAGGAATCTCGGCTAAAGCATCCATGCCAAATGGCCATTGAACCTCTGCTTTAAAACCTCTGAGGAAGGAGAGTCAACAGCCTCTCGTGGGAGTCTGCTCTACTACTGGTTTTCTGAACGTTTAGTCAGAATCTCCTCTCCAGAAACTTGAAGCCATTGGTTCGAGTCCTACCCTCCAGAGCAGGAGAAAACAAGCATGTTCCCTCTTCCTCGTGACAGCTCTTAAGATATTTGAAGATGGCTATCATATCTCCTATCAGTTTCCTCTTTTCCAGGCTAAGCATACCCAGCTCCTTCAAGCGCTCCTCATAAGACTTAGTTTCCAGATTATTATTATTATTATTATTATTATTATTATTACCCTGCCCAACTGGCTGAGTTTCCCCAGCCACTCTGGTCGGCTCCCAGCGGAATATTAATAATAATAATAATAAAGCGATAAAACATAATAATAATAATACAGTCATACTTCAGGTTACAGACGCTTCAGGTTGCGTTTTTTCAGGTTGCGGACCGCCGCAACCTGGAAGTACTGAAGCGGGTTACTTCCGGGTTTCGGCGGTTGTGCATGCGTAGAAGTGCTAAATCGTGCTTTGCGCATGCACGGAAACACCGAATCACAGTGTGCGCAAATGCGCCGCTGCAGGTTGCGGATGCTGCAAGTTGCGAACATGCATCCCGCATGGATCACGTTCGCAACCTAAGCATCCACTGTAATAATAATAATAATAATAATATATCCTGCCAATCTGGCTGGGTTTCCAGCACATATAAAAACATAATAAGGCGTCAGACATTAAAAACTGCCGTGTAGTTATTTATCTCCTTGACATCTGATGGGAGGCTGTAGGGTGCCACTACTGAGAAGGCCCACTGCAATGAACAATTGGACCACTTTAACTGTCCAAAGAATCCTGAGAACTGTAGTTTATGGGCACTGGGAATTGTAGCTCTGTGATGAACCAGGTTTTTTTTGCAAGCAGGGAGCCATGACTGTTAAAGTCATGTAAATGTGCTTTCAATGCATGGTGCGGGGGTAGCCTCTAAGCCAGGGGTCCCCAACCTGTGGCCCATGGGCCACAAGCGGTCCACAGAGGCCATTTAACTGAGCCGCCCACTCAGTGAGTCCCCACACGCTGCACTAAACCGGCACAGTGCGGTGCAGAGACTCCAGAAATTGCATTTGCGCATGTCTACGGTGCCGGAAATCGCTTGTGTGCATGTCCAGGCACCGGAAATTGCTTCTGCGCATGCCCAGATGCCATAAATTGCTTCCGGGCATGTCCGCGGTGCCGGAAATCGCTTCTGTGCGTGCCCAGACGCTGGAAATTGCTTCTGCGCATGCCCAGACACCGGACATCACTTCTGCCATGTTCACGGCGCCGGACATCGCTTCTGTGCATGTTCACGGCGCCGGAAATCGCTTCTGCGCATGCCCAGACGCTGGACATCGCTTCTGCGCATCTTCATGGTGCCGGAAATCACTTCTGTGCATGTCTGTGGCACCGGAAATCACTTCTGTGCATGCCCAGACGTCGGACATCGCTTATGCGCATGTTCACAGTGCCGGAAATCGCTTCTGCGCATGCCCAGACGCCGGACATTGCTTCTGCGCATGTTCACGGCGCTGGAAATCGCTTCTGCGCATGCCCAGATGCCGGAAATTGCTTCTGTGCAGAGAGATCCTCCGAGGGCCGGACAGGCACAGTGCGCCACCAGAAATCGCGTCTGTGCATGTCCACGGCGCCAGAAATCACTTCTGCGCAGGCACGATTTACGGCATCTGGGCATGCGCAGAAGCGATTTCTGGCGCCATGGACATGCACAGACGCGATTTCCGGTGACGCACTGTGCCTGTCCGGCCCTCGGAGGATCTCCGCAGGAGTGATCCGGCCCCTGCCCGGTAAGCCTTGCCTACCCCTGCTCTGAGCTGTAGCGTAAATATAGCCCCTCAGAGGTAATTTGGCCTCCAAGTGCTACGTCTCTGAGCCGAAGTTTGTGTTGGTTGCGGCAACAGTTGGGGGAAATAAGGACTCATTTCCTGTGCAGCTCTGCACATCCCATAATAGTATCCTGTGGCTATGGCAGCCTGTTACTGCACGCAGAGATAACAGCTGCTGAAAGGAACTTTGAATGCTGCGAGCTATTGTACAAATGGGCTTGAGCTCCGGAGAAACTGTCTAGAAATAAGTTCCGTTAAACGAGTTATACAATTTGTTGCTTTTAATAGGGGGGCGGGAGACGGAGCGGGGGCCCAACTGCTGCGGGGGGAATGACGTCAGTGCAAAAAAAAAAAGCGCCCCCCCCAACACCTTGACATCACTGTTTTTCAGAACAGGAATGACATAAGTGTAAAGAAGCAGAACAATTGTGTCAGGGACTTGTGTGGTGGCGGCTAATTTGCGAAGTTGTTTCAAAACAAGCTTCAGAAACTGTTCTGAGGTTGGGAGCAGAACTGTGGAAGTTTTTTCAATTGCTCCTGAAAAAAGCTTTAAAAATAACCAACAATAATGAATCCCCAAAGCAGAAATTTGTGTACTTTCCTTCTTTTTTCTTTTTTCCATTTTGCGCAATTTCTGTACAGTGGTGCCTCGCAAGACGAAATTAATCCGTTCCGCGAGTCTCTTCGTCTTGCGGGTTTTTTGTCTTGCGAAGCATGGCTATTAGCGGCTATTAGCGGCTTAGCAGCTCTTAGCGGCTTAGCGGCTATTAACGGTTTAGCGGCTTTAAGAAAAAGGAAACAAACTCGCAAGAACTCGCAAGACGTTTCGTCTTGCGAAGCACGCCCATAGGGAAATTCGTCTTGCGGAACGACTCCAAAAACGGAAAACTCTTTCGTCTAGCGAGTTTTTAGTCTTGCGAGGCATTTGTCTTGCGGGGCACCACTGTATCAAGTTGTATGGATGCTCTATTAAAACCCACCTGGTTTGTTGCTGGTTCTACCTCTGGGGTGAATCCGGAGGCAAAGAATTATTCGTATTTTGCGGCATTCCACGTACATCTGCGTCCTTCAGATGTCCAATAGCTGAACTCTGTTTCCTTCAGAGTTAAAATGGGAGAGATGGGCTTCACTATTGCACCCCAAACAGCCAGATTCAAGGGCGCTGAATTCTTATTATCTCTCCTCAAAAGGAGTGCGAAGTGTGCATTTTTACAGTTCTCAACACACCTCCTGATTAGGAGGAGGAAACTTCATAGCAGCCATTCCTGCCGATATCTCAGTAATAATAATAATAACAATAATAATAATAATATATTACAGTGGTACCTCTGGATGCGAATGGGATTCGTTCTGGAGCCCCGTTCGCATCATGAGCAGAACGCAACCCACGTATGCGTGCGTCAAGATTCGCTGTGCATGCGCATGACGTCATTCTGAGCGTCTGCGCATGCGCGAGCGGCGAAACCCAAAAGTAACCCATTCCGTTACTTCCGGGTCGCCGCGGGACGCAACCTGAAAAGATTTAACCCGAAGCGACTTTAACCCGAGGTATGATTGTATTTTAATGAACCTTTTAATGAACCTTTTAAAGAGGGTAAAAGAGGAGAGCTCAAAATATGGTCTGAAGCTCAACATCAAAAATACGAAGATCATGGCCACTGGGCCCATCACCTCCTGGCAAATAGAAGGGGAAGAAATGGAGGCAGTGAGAGATTTTACTTTCTTGGGCTCCATGATCACTGCAGATGGTGACAGCAGTCACGAAATTAAGACGCCTGCTTCGTGTGAGAAAGGCAATGACAAACCTAGACAGCATCTTAAAAAGCAGAGACATCACCTTGCCAACAAAGGTCCGTATAGTTAAAGCTATGGTTTTCCCAGTAGTGATGTATGGAAGTGAGAGCTGGACCATAAAGAAGGTTGATCGCCGAAGAATTGATGCTTTTGAATTATGGTGCTGGAGGAGACTCTTGAGAGTCCCATGGACTACAAGAAGATCAAACCTCTCCATTCTGAAGGAAATCAGCCCTGAGTGCTCACTGGAAGGGCAGATCGTGAAGCTGAGGCTCCAATACTTTGGCCACCTCATGAGAAGAGAAGACTCCCTGGAAAAGACCCTGATGTTGGGAAAGATGGAGGGCACAAGGAGAAGGCGACGGCAGAGGATGAGATGGTTGGACAGTGTTCTCGAAGCTACCAGCATGAGTTTGACCAAACTGCAAGAGGCAGTGGAAGACAGGAGTGCCTGGCGTGCTCTGGTCCAGGGGGTCACGAAGAGTCGGACACGACTAAACGACTAAACAACAACAACAAATGGCAGTATTTATACCCCACCCATCTGGCTGGGTTTCCACAGCCACTCTGGGCGGCTCCCAACCGAATATTAAAAACACAATACAGCATTAAACATCAAAACCTTCCCTAAACAGGGCTGCCTTCAGATGTCGTTCATTCATTCAATCCAGGGGTTGTCAACCTGGTCCCTATTGCTCACTAGTGGGAGTTTCAGAATTCTAGGTGGGTGGTAGGGGGTTCTATGGCACAAGACTGGTGGGTGGTAAGGAAATTTTACCATCAAGAAAGATGCATTAGTGGGCGGTAGGTATAAAAAGGTTGACTGCCCCTGATTCAATCAATCATTCCAGTCCACTATCCTTCTTTCTGTCAAGGAACTGAGGGCAACAGAAATAATTATTTCTTCAACATCTTCACTTAATTTATCATCACAACAGCCCTGTGAGGTTGGTCTGGTTAGGCTAGGCATGGGCAAATTTAACCCTGCATATGTTTTAGGACTACAACTCCCATCATCCCTAGCTAAAAGGACCAGTGGTCAGGGATGATGGGAATTGTAGTCCCAAAACATCTGGAGGGCCAGTACAGTGGTGCCTTGGTTCTCAGACTTAATCCATTCCGGAAGGTTATTCTAAAACCAAAGCGTTCCAAAACCAAGGTGTGCTTTCCCATAGAAAGTAATGCAAAACGGATTCATCCGTTCAAGACTTTTAAAAACAGCCCCTAAAACAGCAATTTAACATGAATTTTTCTGTCTAACGAGACCATTGATCCATAAAAGGAAAGCAATAATCCATGTTACTGTACTATAAAATAAATAAAACAGTATTGTAGATGATAAAAATTAGAATCAAAAAAATTTCTGATGATAGTCGTTGTTTGGATGGGGGGCTTTTATCCATTTCTGCAGTCACACAGTCAATCAATCAATCAATCAATCAATCAGTAGCTGAACTGGGATCCACACAGTCACAAAAACAAATTAACTGAAAAAACCTCAAAACAAAAAACGCAAAATAAATAGCAAAAACAAAAGCACCAAATATAAGCTCCAAATATCACCTCAGAACACTGCAATTGGAAACGGAAGGCTTGAATTACAATGGGGGGGGGTGCAAATTAACAGCGCAACAGGAAACACAGGGGGACACCTACTTCCAGTCTTGCAGTGTTCAGGTTCCAAGTTGTTCGTGAACTACGCTGTTTGAAAACCGAGGTACCAGTGTACCCTTCAGTGCCTCTCCCCAGCTTTTGCTCCCTGTTCTCTCTCACACTGAATTTGCAATGGATGTAAAGTGTCGCAGTCGGATGCAAGGGAAGCTGTTTCATAGGAGTTCCAGCTTAAAACTGCCCTGTTTAACAAGTTGCTGTGCATCAGGAATTGTCTACATTGCCGCTTGAACACGGATCCTTTGGGTAGGCTGGAAAATGCCAATTTTTAAAATTCATGGCAGAAACCAGGGTGCAACCGGTGACAGGGCAAAACTCCCCCCATCTTCTTTCTCAGTGCTGAGCCTTGGATGGTGTGGCTTTGGTAAATGTTCAGTGCAAATCTCAGTTTACTCATCACCCAACCACTGCTGTTTGCCTGTAACACATTTGGGGACTGAGAGGCAGAACGCTTCCACATAGGTTGTGAGCCCAGGCATTCTCCCTCACACACAATTTGCCATACCCTCCAATGTTTCTCTGATGGAAACAGGGGTGTCCGTTGTCGTTACATAGCACGCGCATGTACATCACGATTCACGATATGTCTTCGGGACAGAAACTATGGAACCGGTATCACGATTTCAAACTGCTTTGAGCGATAGCTCAGTCAGTAGAGCATGAGACTCTTAACCTCGGGGTTGTGAGTTTGAATCTCACACTGGGGACTCGGCTACATTGGCAAAGAATAAAGCACTTTATATGCATTGTTTGTGGCGCCATGGGTTAAACCACAGAGCCTAGGACTTGCCGATCAGAAGGTCGGCGGTTCGAATCCCCGCAACGGGGTGAGCTCCCGTTGCTCGGTCCCTGCTCCTGCCAACCTAGCAGTTTGAAAGCACGTCAAAGTGCAAGTAGATAAATAGGTACCGCTCCGGCGGGAAGGTAAACGGTGTTTCTGTGTGCTGCTCTGGTTTGCCAGAAGCGGCTTAGTCATGCTGGCCACATGACCTGGAAGCTGTACGCCGGCTCCCTCGGCCAATAAAGCGAGATGAGCTCCTCAACCCCAGAGTCGGCCACAACTGGACCTAATGGTCAGGGGTCCCTTTACCTTTATGCATTGTTTATGCATTCTAACAATGTGACAACAGATGGCGCTGTGGAGATCCGTTCTTGCCAACCTGATTTCTCGAAGTTTGCAATTCATTTAACTGGAACGCTTCTTGGATGTGTCTAGATCCAGTGTGGGCAAAAGATTCCTGCGTTGCCGGGTTTCGATTAGTTGACCCCCGTGGCCCCTTCCAACTCAACAAGTCTGTGATTCTCCAATATACAGTGATACCTTGTTCCTCAAACGCCTTGGTACTCAAACAACTTGGAACCCAAACACTGCAAACCCGGAAGTAAGTGCTCTGGTTTGCGGACTTTTATCGGAAGCCGAACGTGCTTTGTTTTGAGTGTTACGCTTCCAATTTGAGTGCCACACTTCAGTTTTGAGTGTTACGCTGAGTTCTCTCTGTTTTTGCTATTTATTTTGTGCTTTTGTTTTCGTGGCTCTTTCTTGTTTTGTTCTTGTGACTTTGTGGAACCCAGTTCAGCTACTGGTTGATTGATTGTGTGACTGAAGTACACTGTTTACCGTTTTCATTTTATGGACCAGTGGTCTCGTTAGATAGTAAAAATCATGTTAAATTCCTGTTTTAGGGGTTGTTTTTAAAAGTCTGGAACGGATTAATCCATTTTGCAGTACTTTCTGTGGGAAAGCGCTCCTTGGTTTTGGAATGCCTTGGTTTTGGAACTGACTTCTGGGACGGATTAAGTTTGAGAACCAAGGCACAGTGGTACCTCTGGTTACGTACTTCATTTGTTCCGGAGGTCCGTTCTTAACCTGAAACTGTTCTTAACCTGAAGCACCACTTTAGCTAATGGGGCCTCCCGCTGCCGCACGATTTCTGTTCTCATCCTGAAGCAAAGTTCTTAAGCCGAGGTACTATTTCTGGGTTAGCAGAGTCTGTAACCTGAAGCGTATGTAACCCCACGTACCACTGTACTACTGTATCAATATATCGCCCAGCCCTACCGGGGAGCATGTGCGCCAAATTGGGGCTGAAAATTGAGAGCCCGAATTCTGCTACTGCTGACCTATAGCCCTTTCCCAGAGTGAAGTCCCCTGATTCAGGTGCCTCCCCCGGGGTGTCCCAGCAGGGGTGGGGTGCCATCTGGGTCCCCCCTTCAGACTGCCCAATCTCCTTTCTCCTTGTTTGCCCTGCTCTTGCGCAGCCTCTGATCTGTCTGCCGCCTCTGATCTCTGTAAAACTGTGACCCTGGAAAAGGCAAAAATAAGAATTAAAAACACCCTGCGCCTCACGGCAGGAAACCGCCGCTCTCTCGGCCAGGAGATGAAAAGGCCTGTTTGTTTATGGAGCCGTCCGCCCCATTGATGGGGAGGAGTCAGAGCACAAAGATATTGTGCAGGAGAAGCTCATTTCACTTTCAAAACGGCTGCGTGGAATTATTTGCATGCGTTTTGACTGTTGTGCCTCGCGTTGGGCCACCAATCTGAGGGAGCCTGGTGGCAGGGGGAGGGAGCCTTCAACCTCCCCACACCCCGCCCCATATCTAAAGGGTGATTCCTCCTTGCACCCAGCTCTGACTCTGCCAGCTTGCACCCTCCTCAACCCAAAAGATGTATCTCCTCTTTTTGCCGCCTCCGCCTCCAGCTGGATATTGGAAGCACATGTTTGCACCGGGGTCTGTGTTTAATTACTGGTGGAGACAGCAGTCTCTGCAGGTCCAAGACGGCTTATTTCTTTTTTTGCATCTTTGGGCTCCCGGGGACCAGAGTGGAGGGATGGCTTGCCGCGTTGGAGGCAGGCTTGAAATGAATAATTGGGCTTTTTCCGCATCCTCTTTCTCTCAGCTGGTTGTCATTTGGAGCAGCTTCTGTCAGTGCTGCTGCTGCCGCCGCCTCCTCCTCCTCCTCCTCCTTCTGTTTGCTTATTCTTTTTAAAGCCCTAAATGGCCTCAGTCCAGTATACCTGAAGGAGCGTCCCCACCCCCATCGTTCTGCCCGGACACTGAAGTCCAGATCTGAGGGCCTTCTGGCGGTTCCCTCATTGCGAAAAGTGAAGTTACAGAGAACCAGGCAGTTGTCTTTCTCCCAAGAGCATCTCCCAGGTTTTTCCTTTCTCCCCTTTGCCACAACTACCGTATTTTTCGCTCTATAAGACACACCTAGTTTTTGGAAGAGGAAAACAAGAAAAAAAATATTCTGAATCCCAGAAGCCAGGACAGCCAGCAGGATCACAGCGCAGCTTATGGGATAGCCAGGCGCAGCCTCTCCCGGGCTGAAGGCACATGCTCCATGCGGCTCTTTAAAGGGAGCACTGAGCAGAGCCTCCCGCCTGCATTCGCTCCATAAGACGCACACACATTTCCCCTTACTTTTTAGGAGGGGGAAAGTGCATCTTATAGAGCGAAAAGTACGGTATCTGGTCAGTTGGCTCCAGTTGCCGAGCAGCAAAATTGGCTTGTTCTCTGCTCAGCTAGCGGTACGTGGCGGCGGCCCACACCCAGAAACCAAACCACGCGGTTTTCAGTGGGACTCGAGTAAGCTGGACTCCCCCGCAAAGCGTGCGAGCAGTTAACTCGACCGGCTGTGCGAAGAGAGGAAGCATTCAGAAGACTGAAACTGGATCCAGTTGACTTTTCTGGATCAGTCTGGAGCAGAGCTCTAAAAACAGAGGGAGTGGCTCTTTTTCACCCAGAGGGGCCACATTAATTCTGAGATGGGGGGGCGTTGCATGCCAATGATGGGTGAGGCCTGCGGCCAAAGTGGATGGAGCGATGAATATGACTCTTAGCCTTTGTACAGAACGCTGCAGCCGTACAAAGCCCAGAGGTGCTTGCGCAATAGGGCGTGTTGAATTTTTCAACCTTCCAGAAATGAGGGGCGCTTAAAAGTTGTAACGCGACCAGGGAATTTGAAAGAGACTTTGGTTAAATTAATACTGTTTGGTTTTGCTTGGTAAGTGAAACGCGCATAAAATTGCACAGAAATCTTTAAAAATGATTGCAGTTATAACAGACCCTCCAAGTGCCCCTATTTTCCAGGGATGATCCCAGATTTAAAGAAGCCGTCCCGGTTTCTGATTTGATCCCAAAATGTTCCGCTTTTCCTTAGTCCCTATTTTCATCAGAAATGTTGGAGGATAATGGAGTTATGTGACCCCTGAGGCAAGGAGATAAGTAACTACAACCATTAGAAGACATCTGAAGGGAACCCTGTATAGGGAAGTTTTTTAACTTTTAATTTTTTATTACATTTTTTATATATGTTGGAAGCCGCCCATAGTGGCTGGGGCAACCCTGTTAGATGGGTGAGGTGGTATTATTATTATTATTATTATTTTATTGTTGCTGCTGCTGCTGTTGACTAAAAGGTAAAGGTAAAGGTGCCCCTGCCCGTACGGGCCAGTCGTGTCCGACTCTAGGGTTGTGCGCCCATCTCACTTAAGAGGCCGGGGGCCAGCGCTGTCCGAAGACACTTCCAGGTCACGTGGCCAGCGTGACGAAGCTGCTCTGGCGAGCCAGCATCAGCGCAGCACACAGAACACCGTTTACCTTCCCGCTATAAAGCGGTACCTATTTATCTACTTGCACTTAAGAGTGCTTTCGAACTGCTAGGTGGGCAGGAGCTGGGACCGAAAGGCGCGAGCTCACCCCGCCGCGGGGATTCAAACCGCCGACCATGCGATCGGCAAGCCCTAGGCGCTGAGGTTTTACCCACAGCGCCACCTGCGTCCCTATTTTCACTGGATAAATGTTGGAGGGTATGTTGTAAGCATAGACTGACCAAGCTAAATGTTGTGCAGTCACAAAAATAATATTTGAATTCCTTGCACCCAAAAACATATTTTTAAGACCCCCTCACTGGAGAAATATGCAAAAAACTAGTTCCATCCCTTAAAATGACACACCTTATGTGCGTGCAACACCTCTTCATCCAGGCAAGCAAGGAGCACTCAAGAGCAGGGCCAGGGAGAAAAAATCCGGAGGGCCAGATAGAGAATTCCAGTGGGCCACATTGGCCCCCACCCCTCAGCCTTAAGATCCCCACCCCTTCTCTAAAACGATCCCAGGAGTGTGAGCTTTGGGTGTGTAGGTTCCTTAGGGCACCAGGCAACTGGGATTTTCTCCTTCCCTGGCAATCTGCTTCTGCAAGTGGATTCAAGAATACCTTGGGAATTCATCTTCTGCAACTACAGGCCTCAATCCTGCACCGCAGTTAGGCGTGTTGATGCCCATCAGAATAAATGGGTTTAAGTGTACGTAACTTGGTGGTTAGGCCATGGGAAGGCCCAATTGCCTTCTAAATCCAGCCCGCGGACAGTCCGGGAATCAGCCTCTTTTTACATGAGTAGAATGTGTCCTTTTATTCAAAATGCATCTCTGGGTTATTTGTGGGGCAGAGGAATTTGATCTTTTTCTTTCTTTCTTTCTTTCAAAATATAGCCCGGCCCCCCACAACGTCTGAGGGACAGTGGACCGGCCCCCTGCTGAAAAAGTTTACAGACCCCTGACTTAGGCTATAAGTGTCCAGTTCTGGCCCTCTGCCTCCTTTGATTTGAGTCCTTCAGTTATCCCACTTCATTTATGGGCGAGTCACTTGTATTGTATCCAAACTCGAAGCAGCTTTTTCTGGCCCAGTAAGTGGGCCTAGACCTTTTCCGGAACAGAGAGCTAAATCCTCATCTCTGCTGCGAAACAGCGGCACGCTCTTCCCAAACCTGAAACAGCTCCAACGAGCTCACATTGGATAGGCTTGCAAAACTATTGCGAGGATCTTTGAGCCAACAGGCCGTGATCTAAGCCTTGAGGTCATTTTAAAGGTAAAGGGACCCCTGACCATTAGGTCCAGTCGTGAACGACTCTGGGGTTGCGGCGCTCATCTCGCTTTATTGGCCGAGGGAGCCGGCGTACAGCTTCCGGGTCATGTGGCCAGCATGCCTAAGCCGCTTCTGGCGAACCAGAGCAGTGCATGGAAATGCCGTTTACCTTCCCGCCAGAGCGGTACCTATTTATCCGCTTGCACTTTGATGTGCTTTCGAACTGCTAGGTTGGCAGGAGGTCATTTTAGGCTGGTGTAAAACAGCGGCTTAGAGAGAGACACATTTTGTGCTTACACGCAGGCTCTGGCTGGCGTGCGGAAATGTTTGCATCCCATGCGAGAGCAGATGTTTACTTTCAAGCACGATCCCCATTGCATGTGTGGCTCTTTAATAGAAACCTGCTGCCTCTGCCTCTTGGCTGCTCCCAGCAACGATGTGGAGTTCAGCCGGGGAAAAAACGCCCAAAGGACGCATATGTTTGCATGCTCGCGCAACTTGGAAAACTTCACAAGAGATGGCGCATTGTCGCTCCGTCCAACTGCTGCCGGGCGGCTTTGCCAAAAAGTCTTACGTTCCAAATGCTCAATGGGAACCGGAATGTGGATCTGCCGCCCACCTCTGAGTGGGTAGTGGGATCTATTTATGCAAAAAGATGTGCTTCTTTGGCCCTCTCCCCGGCTCCCAGCATGCACTGGGTGGGCCGCTCCTCTCAAACACCCAACAATGAGAGGGTCTGTTTGGGATGAGCCGGACAATTGATTTCATTTTTCCAAATAATGGGGCTTTTTGCATAAAACAGGCTTTCTCTCTCAAGGACTTCTCGTTTCCCCCCATGGCATCGAGCCATTTGGCTTTAAAAGCCTGCAATGTTCAGGACGTGACTTGGAGCTTGCATGCTTGAACATCGGAATTGGTGGTGGGTGTTAAGACCCTCTCTGTGCAGTTGCAGTCCCGGGCCAAGTATCTGAAACATTTGAACCAGGGCTGTTCCAAGAAAAGCCCCCTTAAATAATCTGGTTTATGCTAAAGCTCTAGCAATAGGCTCATCTTTTGATGGACACCAACTCCCATCCGTCCCAGCCAGCGTGGCTAATGATCGGGGCTGATGGGAGTTGTAGTCCACCTGGAGTGGGCAGATTCCTTTTTACAGTGGTACCTCGGGTTACATACGCTTCAGGTTACATACACTTCAGGTCACAGACTCCGCTAACCCAGAAATAGTGCTTCAGGTTAAGAACTTTGCTTCAGGAAGAGAACAGAAATCGTGCTCCAGCGGCGCAGCAGCAGCAGGAGGCCCCATTAGCTAAAGTGGTGCTTCAGGTTAAGAACAGTTTCGGGTTAAGAATGGACCTCCGGAACGAATTAAGTACTTAACCCGAGGTACCACTGTACAAGGTTATGCAGTGTGCTTCAAAGCCATAGAAAGGGGTGGCGACTAGATCTGGCAACTAGGGGAGTTTTTAGTGTTTGATATTTTATTATGTTTCTTGCTTATATGCTGGAAGCTGCCCAGAGTGGCTGGGGCAACCTAGTCAGACGGGCAGAGTAAAAATAATAAAATCGTGATCATGTGCAAACAGATGTCATTCAGCACCTGTTCCTCTGTGGCTTTTCCATGGCTTCGAAACCGTGAAATAGTTCTCCCGGTGCAGCCCTCTACCTTATCCAATCTTGGGTCTTGTGGCTTTTGTGTGTGTGTGTGTGAGAGAGAGAGAGGGGGGAGAGAGAGAGAGAGAGAGAGAGAGGGAACATACTTTGAGGCATGCCTTGACTAATTGTGGTCTTTGTTTACCCCTTGCCATCTCTTCCTTAGGGCTCCGGATTCAAATGGCGATCTCTCAGCCAGTCACCCGAGCAGCACAGGTAAGTTCATTTGTTCCTTTCCTCTAGGAGAATTTAAGCGGAATCAGCAAATTCTGTTTGCTGGCTTTCTCTTATCTCTCTCTGTGTGTGTATCTCTTAAGTCAGACTAAGCATGTAGCCTTGCGGTATTTGTGATTGCCCCGTGGACTCAACAGAAAGCACATCCGATCACAATGGTGTGTCCAGACGGTCGTCTTCTTCCTTCCCTGCCTCCCCGCGCTCTCTAGTTCATTTTTTCCGCTGCGGCTCCTTAATCCCGGATCACAGCTGCTGCCACACGTGCTGCCACCCTCCAGGGTATTCCCAGCTCAGCGGATGGTCTCTGGGGGTGTGAATGGCCTTCGGGGAGGGGCTTTAATGACAGGGCCTTCATCCCTGCTTCTGAATGAGCTGCTCTTTCACAATAGCGACAATGGCTTGACTGATTTCTAAAAGGAGGCGGATCATCTGGGGAGTGTTTGACATTCTCCCCCACCCCTGGGGTGCGCTTGAGAGGAACAGGGGTTAATTCCCAAAACATAGGCAAGGCATTTGGCTTTCCCTGCAGGGTAGTCTTGAGAGTGACATCTGCTTTAATCTGCGGGTGCCTGGTCCTCTGAGGTCCTCTGCAGGCTCCTGGGGTTGCTCTGAGCATAGGGCTCTAGGTGGAATTCCGTTCTCTGTCCGTCCCTCTCAGTCCCAAGATAAACTACTCATAATAAGTAGACTCCTGTGTCATCTGAACCATGGGTAGGTAAACTAAGGCCTGGGGGCCGGATCCGGCCCAATCGCCTTCTAAATCCGGCCCACGGATGGTCTGGGAATCAGCGTGTTTTTACATGAATAGAATGTGTCCTATTATTATTATTATTATTAATAATAATAATAATAATAATTTATACTCCACCCATTTGGCTGGTCTTCCCCAGCCACTCTGGGCGGCTTCCAACAAAATATTAAAATACAGTAATGCATCAAACATTAAAAGTTTCCCTAAACACGGCTGCCTTCAGATGTCTTCCAAAGGTCTGGTATTTGTTTTTCTTTTTGACATCTGGTGGGAGGCGTTCCACAGGGTGGATGCCACTACTGAGAAGGCCCTCTGCCTGGTTCCCTGTAACTTGGCTTTTCGCAGTAAGGGAACCTCCAGAAGGCCCTCGGAGCTGGACCTCAGTGTCCGGGCAGAACGATGGGGGTGGAGACGCTCCTTCAGATATACTGGACCGAGGTCGTTTAGGGCTTTAAAGGTCAGCACCAACACTTTGAATTGTGCTCGGAAACGTACTGGGAACCAATGTAGGTTCCTCTGGGTTATTTGCATCTCTGGGTTATTTGTGGGGCCCGCCTGGTGTTTTTACATGAGTAGAATGTGTGCTTTTATTTAAAATGCATCTCTGGGTTATTTGTGGGGCATAGGAATTCATTCATTCCCCCCTCCCAAAATATAGTACGGCCCCTCACAAGGTCTGAGGGACAGTGGACCGGCCCCCTGCCTAAAAAGTTTGCTGACCCCTGCAAACTCCCCAACAGCTCAGTTGGTAGAGCAGGAGACTCTTAATCTCAGGATTGTGGGTTTGAGCCCCGCTTTTGGGTAAAAAGATTGCTGCAGGGGTTGGACTAGATGACCGCCGTGGTCCCTTCCAGCTCTAAAATCCTGTGGTTCTAAGATCCTGAATGCAGTCCAAACTGCTAGTGACTGTGTTACTGTAGTGCAGAGTGGCTGACCGTAAGTGGCAACAACAAACTGTTGTGCAGAGTGGCTAACAGTAAGTGGCAACGACAAACCTAGACAGCATCTTAAAAAGCAGAGACATCACCTTGCCAACAAAGGCCCGTATAGTTAAAGCTATGGTTTTCCCAGTAGTGATGTAGGAAGTGAGAGCTGGACCATAAAGAAGGCTGATCGCCGAAGAATTGATGCTTTTGAATTCTGGTGCTGGAGGAGACTCTTGAGAGTCCCATGGACTACAAGAAGATCAAACCTCTCCATTCTGAAGGAAATCAGCCCTGAGTGCTCACTGGAAGGTCAGATCGTGAAGCTGAGGCTCCAATACTTTGGCCACCTCATGAGAAGAGAAGACTCCCTGGAAAAGACCCTGATGCTGGGAAAGATGGAGGGCACAAGGAGAAGGGGACGACAGAGGACGAGATGGTTGGACAGTGTTCTCGAAGCTACCAGCAAGAGTTTGACCAAACTGCGGGAGGCAGTGGAAGACAGGAGTGCCTGGCGTGCTCTGGTCCAGGGGGTCACGAAGAGTCGGACACGACTAAACGACTAAACAACAAGAAAAGCCTCGGAAAAAAGGGATCAGCAGCCTCATCTGTCCCAGGGACAGTCTACGGGATATCTAACAATCCGGGATAGCAGCAGGAAACGGTGCTGGAATAAGGGAATTTCCTGTAAAAAAAAAAGGGAAGGTTGACATCTATGGAAGGGGGACGGATTGGAGCCGTGGCTCCCGAGAGGACGAGCTGCCCAGCTTTGCCAGCGCCCCAGCAAAGCGGCATAGCTCCCCCCCTTCCCCCAACGACTCAGGGTACTTGGGAGTTGTGGGGGCGCAGAGGCGTAGGAAGGGGGGCAGACCATCCCAGGTGTCATTGCTGAGGGGGTGACATTCGGCGCGCGCCCACGACTCCCAAGCCTACTCCAGCTGTCGTGGGAGGGGGGGTGGAAAAAAAAATTCCGCACCGGGTACCACCTGGGTTTGCTATGCCTCTGCATGGAACAGCAGCTTTCACAGAAAAGGGAGAATGTTGGTTCACAGAAGGGAACTTGCTCAGGCACATCTAGAAGTGTAAAGAAACACCTTCCAGCGTGTTTATTTCTGGGGCTGGTTTGGTGCTGATTTAATTTGTTAATGAGGGGGAAAGAAAATTCGAGAAATCAGGTGTAGGCTGACTGGGTCCAGCTGCCTTGGAATAGGCTGAATCCGTCTCATTAAACCATCTTGTCAGGAGGAAGAAGACTCTTTTATCTGTTGCACACCTGAGCAGGGAAGATGCTTCAGGTCAAGTCAGTGAGGCGGCACGTTGTGTGAAACGAGTGCGTGCAACAAATATGCTGCCTTTCTGCGTCTGCACATGGTTCAGGAATCCAAGAGCAGCCCAAAGGCTCCATCTTCCTTCCCTTTAAGCCGCAGCTAAAATTGTTTTCAAGTTGAGGACGTCTGGTAATTGTCAACTTCTTTCACTTCATCCACAGATCATGGAAGTCAAACACCCTTCTTGGCAGCGTTCTCCAGCTGTTTTTGGACTACCGTTCCCATCATCCCTGACCACTGGTCTTGCTAGCTAGGGATGATGGGAGTTGTAGTCCAAAAAACAGCTGAAGACCCAAGATTGGGAAACGCTGCTTCTTGGTATCACTTGCGAAAGCGTCCTAGCCCCTTCATCCGAACATCACAGGGCAGTTTACAACATAAATGTGAATAATTTTCTCAATTTGGCTCACCAGTGGGAAGTCAGCCCAAATGTTATTATTTAATTAGGATTGTATTGTATTTGGCAACTTTTCTGCTGGACCTTGAAAAGGATTGCACAACTTTGACATCTTTAAAAATCTTTATTCATGCAGTTTAATAAATATCGCCAGTGACTCTCGCTCAGAACGTATTCTGTTAATAGATGTTCAGTTGTACCACGGTTCACAAACGGAATCCGTTCCAGAAGTCCATTCGACTTCCGAAAATGTTCAAAACCAAGGTGTGGCTTCCAATTGGTTGCAGGAGCTTCCTGCAGCCGATCAGAACCCACGTGGGATGTTCAGGTTCCAAAGAATGTTCGCAAACCGGAACACTCACTTCCGGGTTTGCGGTGTTGGGAGGCAAAACGTTCGACTCGCAAGGCGTTTGTCAACCAAGGTACGACTGTATTCTCCTGTTACTCTACTCTTGTGTTGAACCTCTGTAAGCCAAAAATACCCATGATTTGAAAGGTCAAGTTACTTTTTGTTTTTTAAATCATAACCAAATAGTAAATATCTCCTTTGCAAATGAGAAACTCCCAGATGGGCGCAAAAATTCAGAACGGCTGTGGCTTTGGGAACTAACAATCCTGCTGGAGACTCAGAAGTCTGGCTCCTGCAAAAACTCATACAGCACCATTTTTCAATGAGTTGCATGGAATTAAAATTCAGCAAGCAGTTCCTCAAACTCTGGAGAGCCACACTTTCTCCACCCCTGGTGTACCTGTTCATTAGGTATTCCAATTTGCCATTACTGTTTGGTTCACCCGCCCCTTCTGTACTTAGGTTTCTGTTTTGATTCCTGTGTCTACACCCACCCACAGTCAACTTTGCCCACTCTGAGCCCCTGCCTGGATTTGTCAAAGCTGGATTATACAGAAGCCCACTCTCCTGTTTGTTTTGCCGGCTTAAAACTGGGGGGAGGGAGGGAGTGTAAGGCATCAGAAGATGTCCTAGTGCAAGGCAAAAACTTGGACCAGCTGCTTGACCATAGATCAGGATTTCCCAAACTTGGATCTCCAGCTGTTGTTGGACTACAACTCCTATCATCCCTAGCCAGCAGGATCAGAGGTCAAGGATGGAGGGATTTGTAGTCCAAAAGCAGCTGGAGACCCAAGTTTGGTAAACCATGCTGTGTAGAGTATTGGGTTTTTTTGTTTGGGGAGGAAGTGTGCTCAGCACATGCAGGCAGGCAAATGAAGACAAATCGCACACAGCTATGGAAAAGAGAGTCTCTTGGCGTCCCCTGGGAAATCTCAGCAGCTGACCCCCTTCCTCTTGTTCATTCCAGGAAGGTGATCACACTGGAGAAGGAAGAGGCTCAGGCCTTTGGCTTTGAGATTCAGGTGAGTTCAAAGGGAATCCCTTCCATTCTGGCTCTTAACCCAGTGAGTCCAGAATTCAACAAGGGTTCAGGTGTGTTGTGGGTTGCAACCCATGAGCTTTGAGTACCATTAAAAAAAAAGATATTTCTGGATCTGAAGTTTTTTAAGCTGTTGAATCTCAAGTAGCAAAAGGGCAATTTCCATCTTTAAAATCAGTAATTTGGTTTTGGGGGAGGGGGGTCTTTGAATCGGGCTACTCAGGCATTTCATCATGCTCTCAATTTCCAAAATCCACCTCTTCCTACTTGGGAAATAGTAGTACCAATTTTGGGGAGGGGTGGGAGCAGCATTTGAAATTCACCAGGTGCTTGGTCACTTGCGACCAAGTGAAGATGCTTGAGAGCCAGGATGATGCCTGATGAGGATCCTTGGATCTGGACCGTTTACACACACTAACAACACATCCTGTAGAATTCTGATTTTTTTATTTGCACAATCAGAACGGATTTAAGGAACCAAAAGGGTAACTGAAAAATACAACTTTCAGTTCTCTTAGTTCAATAAAGGTTCTTGAGGGGGTGGGGAAATACAACTTTCTAGCCGTCTGGCACCCAAATGGCAACTAAGGTAAAGGTAAAGGGACCCCTGACCATTAGGTCCAGTCGTGACCGACCCTGGGGTTGCGGCGCTCATCTCCCTTTACTGGCCAAGGGAGCCGGCGTACAGCTTCTGGGTCATGTGGCCAGCATGACTAAGCCGCTTCTGGCGAACCAGAGCAGCGCATGGAAACGCTGGTTACCTTCCCGCTGGAGTGGTACCTATTTATCTACTTGCCCTTTGACGTGCTTTCGAACTGCTAGGTTGGCAGGAGCTGGGACCCCGTCGCGGGGATTCGAACCACCGACTTTCTGATCGGCAAGTCCTAGGCTCGTGGTTTAACCCACAGCGCCACCCGCGTCCCTAGAATGGCAACTGGGCATTCCTTTTTTGGTGACTGCAACGTTGGTTCAAAAAAACATTTAGTGCCTAGCTTATATATCTGAGTTTCTAACGCTGGGAAGGGGAGGTTTTGTCTTATTGTTTGCAGTGTGTTCGTATATCCTGGAGCTGCTAGGAGGCAATTGTTCTTTGTTTGTATTTATCGACCTTGCCAGATAGCTCTCAAACTACAGTGGAACTTTGTGTGTGTGTGTAACATCTTTATTGAAATTTCAAAAATACATAACTATATGTGCACTAAACATGGTGAGACACAAACCAAAAGGAAAAACATAAAAAGAGAAACAGAACCCGTGCAGGAGGGGAAACAAAGGGGGGAGGGGGGAACCAAAAACTGTATATTTTGCAAGGTTGTTGTACTTCACCAGTTCTTAACCTATTACAGTATATTTGTAAAAGTGGATTCTAAATATCATTGAATTTGTCCATGGCAAGTCTGTGTTTATATGCAAGTTGTTCATATGTTGTGAATTTGTCTTAAGTCTTCAATCCAATCATAGAAGGGAGCCACATTTTTATTTTCCAAATTCATCAGGATGGGTGTTTTTGCTCTGGTAAGGGCACGGAGAGTCCATTCGTATTGTCCTTTTGTAAGGTTCCATGTGCTGGGTATATAATTCAAGAGGATATTTTGTTCTGTAAATGTAAGGTTGTTCCGTACAGTTCTGTTGATGGTTTCAGTTACCCTCTGCCAAAAATGTTTCAATATACGACAATGAAAAAACATACCGTATTTTTCTCTCTATAGGACGCACCCGACCATAGGAGGCACCTTGTTTTAGAGGGGGAGAGCAAGGAAAAAAATTTCTCCCCCTCTCTGCTCAGCGCCCCTTCAGCGAAGTGGCAGGAGAAACGGAGCCCCTTCCATTTCTCCTCCTGCTTGGCTGAAGGGGCGCTGCGTAGCTCTCTCTCTCTGCTGAAGCCAGGAGAGTCTTGCTCTCCCGGCTTCAGCAAAAGGAACCTGAAGCCCCCGGAGCGAGGAGGGAGCGCTCCCTCTGCGCTTCGGAGGCTTCGCGTTGCTATTGCTGAAGCCAAGGAGCCTGCATTCGCTCCATAAGACGCACACACATTTCCCCTTAATTTTTAGAGGGGAAAAAGTGCGTCCTATAGAGCGAAAAATACGGTACGTTTTAGAGAAGCATTATCCCTATTGCATCTCTAACAGTTAAGCTATGGTGGAACTTGCACATTGTTTGGGTGACTGCGGTCTGACCTCATTTTAAAAACCAACCAACTCTTGTTTCCTCTGCTCCTTTCAGACCTACGGGCTCCACCACCAGAACACAAAACGGGTGGAGATGTTCACCTTTGTATGCCGTGTGCATGATGATAGCCCGGCCCAGGTAGCTGGCCTGAAACCAGGTAAGAGATGTCACGCTTTAGCATCTTGAACCTAATGGACTACTTGTGAGTTTTCACCCTTGTAAAAACTCACTTGCTTGCTTTCAAACGGGGTGGGCTGGAGAAACTAAGCAAATACTGATCAAAACCCTTATCCGTGTGGTGTTTGATCAAAAGTCAATGTGTCTAGGTCAGGGGTAGGCAACCTAAGGCCCGGGGCCGGATGCAGCCCAATCGCCTTCTCAATTCGGCCCGTGGATGGTCTGGGAATCAGCGTGTTTTTACATGAGTCAGGGAAGTTTTTAATATTTAATGCTGCGCTGTTTTTAACACTTGATTGGGAGCCGCCCAGAGTGGCTGGGGAAACTCAGCCAGATGGGCGGGGTATAAATAATAAATTATTAGTAGTAGTAGTAGTAGAATGAGTCCTTTTGCTTAAAATGCATCTCTGGGTTATTTGTGGGGCATAGGAATTTGTTCATATTTTTTTTCCAAAATATAGTCCGGCCCCCCACATGGTCTGAGGGAGGGTGGACCGGCCCCCTGCTGAAAAAGGTTGCTGACCCCTGCTCTAGGTAGCTTCTTGAGAAATAAATAGAAGGCAAGAAACCTGGCGTCCACTAGAAATCTCAATGCATATTCCATAGCTCCTTTATGTGGGGTGGGGCATGTTTTTCCCCCTCCCCCAAATTTCAGAAGTTTTGGCAGTTCTAGATACGCTGCAGAAGTCCTAATGCAGGGTTTCCCAAACTTGGGTCTCCACCTGTTTTTGGACCACAGTTCTCACCATCCCTGAGCACTGTTCCTGCTAGCTAAGGATGATGGGAGTTGTAGTCCAAAAACAGCTGGGAAACCCAAGTTTGGGGAACGCTGGCTGGTGGGTCAAGGGCTGTGCCTGGTTTCAGGTTCTGGAGGGCCCTTGTGATTTGCCTTTTCTCCCCACGCTCTGCATTTCTGTCGAAGGCGCGGCAATTCGCTTCTTGCAGGGGCAGGTTCAAAGCCGTCGGCAGCTCCATAAGACAGGGCAACGCATGTGACTTTCCCCTCTACAATGAGCCCAGCTGCTCTTCTCCCCGGAGAGCTGATGTTGTGTTCGCAGGGTCACGTTGGCAGCAGGTGGAGTGGCAAGCTCAGGTGCTTCGCAGGGCTGAGCTGTGCTAGCATTGCTCCCTCTCCTTCCTTCCCGTTACTCCAAGGGTGTCTTTTACCCTTCTCTCTGCACTGCAGATGATTTTCAAAGGGCACATACATAGATGCAGGGTTCTGTGTGTGTACAACCTTCCACAAAAGTGCTCTTGAATGCGATAGGTTAAAGGTAAAGGGACCCCTGGCCATTAGGTCCAGTCGTGGCCGACTCTGGGGTTGCAGCACTCATCTCGCTTTATTGGCCGAGGGAGCCGGCATACAGCTTCCGGGTCATGTGGCCAGCATGACTAAGCTGCTTCTGGCGAACCACAGCAGCGCACAGAAACGCCATTTACATTCCTGCTGGAGTGGTACCTATTTCTCTACTTGCACTTTGACGTGCTTTCAAACTGCTAGGTTGGCAGGAGCAGGGACCAAGCAACGGGAGCAGCTACCAAATCAAGAATCTGTCCTCCAATTTTTATTATTATTTTATTTTAAGAAGGTGGCATTTCTGTAGCCCTGAAGATGGCAGCATGATGTGTGAAAGTACCGTATTTTTCTGTGTTAAAGAGGTTTTTAAAAATTAAACTATCATATTAAAATGTGGGGCTCATCTTATACACGGATAGTGCGTCTGGGGGACGTGTTATATGTTCCTTCCAGGACCCGGAGACCCTCCGCGGCGATTGGGTGTGTTATTGGTGGCTGTGGCAAGGGCTGGGCTTGATTGGCTGTTGGTGCGGCAACTGGGCAGGCGAGGTGACAGTGGATTGGTGGCATTTGCGATGACGCGTGCGAGTGGCAGTGTAGGTCACGCGGGCGAGCAAGCGATTTTCCGCAATCCCCCCTAAAAAAAATATCTCAGCAACTCTGGGCATTTCCCATTTTCTAAATTTTTACTCCCCAAAAATAGGGGGCGTCTTATACACAGAAAAATACGGTATGTGGGCAGTGCCTGGTGAAATCTGAAATTGCAGCACCTCCCCCGTTGTCTTGGCTTAGGCGTCTCTGCTCTTTAACAAGGCTCCTTGGCCCATGACTTAGTAGAGCAGAACAAATTAAGCAAGAGAAGCAATGGTGCCCATTTGCATAACTTCTACAGGTCACAAGCTTCTGTTTACATCACCGAGTTTCCTGCCTTGGGGCACAAGCACAGCAGTAACCAACGGGGTGATCGCTAGATGCTATTGGACTACAGCTCCCATCATCTTTGATTGTTGGCCATGCAGGCTACAGCTGATGGGATTTATAATCACAGAGTTCCAATGGACTCCCATGGGTCGTCCATCCCCCATCGTGGTCCCCCATCCAGTTTGTAACCAGACCAGACCCTGCTTAGCCTTGCAAAAAGCGCTAGCAGTTAGCACGTACAGCCCAGCCCAGATCCTCTAATGCCAAAGGGAGCCAGGGGTTTCTTGTCCTTCCTTTTGCAGGCTTAGAAAATGACAGCGGCCTCTCTGGCTTTTTGTTAACGCAGGGGATACGATCACAGGCGTGAACGGGCTCAATGTGGAGGGGATCCGACACCGTGAGATTGTGGAGATCATCAAAGCGTCTGGGAACGTGCTCAGGTGAGTGTGTGGGAGATTATTTGGGGGGAAGGGCCAGCCGACCCAGAAGGCATTGCTTGTCCACAGGGGTGGCAAAACTGTCCCTAACCAGCCGCCACTAATCAGATTCTTGTCCTGTCCAGGTTAGAGACCTTGTACGGCACTTCCATCCGCAGGGCAGAGCTGGAAGCCCGTTTGCAGTACCTCAAGGTGAGTGATGTTTCCGTGAAGAACACGCAGCAAAACGAACAAAGCAGCACGACGAGCTTGTTTTTATTGAAAGAAGTTCATCAATGCAAACACCTGGCTTGTACAGCACAATACAAAACAAAATAGTGAAAATACAGGGAGTGCATGCAGCTGAATGGTTTGACTAGGATAAAGTTTGCAAGTTTTTAGAAAAACGTAGTACAGTGGTACCTTGGTTTACAAACGCTTCAGGTTACAGACTCCGCTAACCCGGAAGTAGTACCTCGGGTTAAGAACTTTACCTCAGGATGAGAACAGAAATTGCGCGGCGGCAGCGGGAGGCCTCATTAGCTAAAGTGGTACCTCAGGTTAAGAACGGAGCTCCGGAACGAATTAAGTTCATAACCAGAGGTACCACTGTACTCATCTTAGTCTCTTTTAAGGCCTACAGGAAACAAAACTGTTCCCTTGTTGGCTTACATTCTGGTTTCCTAGTAAGGGGCTGGCAGCTGTCACCTGGCAAGATGGGCTACATCTTTCCTGCTGTCGTTCACCCCAGGAGGAAAGACAAAGCCCACCCTCTGGGTGTAGGCAACCGAGGGTGGGCTGCGTCTTTCCTCCAGGATGAACGACCACCCCACGAGGAAAGTGGCAGCGTGCCCGCTCGGGCAAGGGCAGTCAAACGCATAGAGCGTGACCCAGGCTCTGTGTATTTGGCTACTGCTGTCCCCAGCAGAATAAGTCTAAGAGAGCCCCCCATCTTGCGCAAGACTTCTTCAGCTGGGAAGCACAAAGCCAGCAGCCGCGACTCACCTCACAGCCAAGCAGGAGCTGTTTAACGGAGCCCCCATCCCACCGCTGGCAGGACAGAGGCTCCGTAAAACAGCTCGGCTGAGGCAAGGGCAGCCAAGTAGTTGAGGGAGGAACAAGCTATTGTGTCTTGTTTCTCCCTCTGCACTGGTATGAGGGGCAGACTGCGATGGCGGTTTCACTCAGTATAGCGCTGGCAAAACCGCTGCAGCTCCTGTTTCCCTCTAGCTCAGGGGTCAGCAAACTTTTTCAGCAGGAGGCCAGACTATGTTTTTTTTGGGGGGGGGGAATGAACGAATTCCTATGCCCCACAAATAACCCAGAGATGCATTTTAAATAAAAGGACACATTCTACTCATGTAAAAACACGCTGATTCCCGGACCATCTGCGGGCTGGATTTAGAAGGCGATTGGGCCAGATCCGGCCCCCGGGCCTTAGTTTGCCTACCAATGCGAGTCTAGCTTATTTCTCCCTCAGCATGCTGGAGGGAATTGGCAACACTGGTGGTTTTACTAGCGGTATACTGCCTAGAGAAACCACCATCGCGGTCTGCCCCTCATTACCAGTGCCGGGCGATATTTCACCCAGACCTAACATAGCAGGCATCTGTAGTTTGGTACTGAGAGGCACCCTCATGGCTTTTCCTTTTAACTGCAGCCAGTTGGACCTCTTGCATACAATTCAGGGCCAGCATGGTACCCGGCTGCGAATTAGTATTTTCCAGAATCTTTTCTTGTGTCTTTCTTCTCAAAAAAGGGTTGCTGGGCCTTTGTGGCTGGATAGATGGATCCAGCCATGCCATCCTCAAAGTGGGGGTGAAGCTCTGTAGCCGATGTATAACCTGCAAATTAAATGAGCAAGAATCAGACCCGAAGAACCACTTTTAGACAAGATTAATCAAGCAGATTTTGAAACACAAATGAATACTGGCCTCTCTCTCCATTGCAGCAAACGCTCTATGAAAAATGGGGGGAGTATCGGTCACTGATGGTGCAGGAGCAGCGCTTGGTCCGTGGTGAGTGACAAAGATACATTTGCATAAGCACACCTGGGCCAGTCTCCTCTGTTCTGGTACCCTCCAGATATTGTGCTACAACCCATCACCCTGAACCGTTGGTGATGCTGGCTGTGGCTGAGGGGAGTCCCAACAGCACTGGAAAGGTGTCAGGTCAAGGCTGATCTAAACCAGTTTCCCAATCTTGGGTCTCTAGCTGTTTTTGGACTACAGATCCCATCATCCCTAGCTACCAGGGCCAGTGGTCAGGGATGATGGGAACAGTAGTCCAAAAGCAGATGGAGACCCAAGATTGGGAAACCCTGAGCTAAACCATTTCACATCTGCAAGGAGGAGAAATGGCTGTTTTGAGTGCACACAAAAAGTGCGCACCGACCCCTCTCGCCCTCCAGGCTCCAGCAAAAGCAACGTGAAGCCTCCGGAGTGCGGAGGGAGCACTCCCTTTGGGCTTCGGAGGCTTCGCGTTGCTATCACTGAAGCCAAGGAGCCTGCATTCGCTCCATAGGACGCACACACATTTCCCCTTAATTTTTCAGGGGAAAAAGTGTGTCCTATAGAGCGAAAAATACGGTACTTTCTCCCATGCTCTCGTTAGTGGCTTTTGAATGGACTGGGCTTTGAAAAAGTTCTTTGACTGTGATGCACATCTGTCATGGATGCTTCAGCTGAGACTCCTCCATAGTCCCTTCCAACTCTGTGATCTGCCCTAACTGTGTCTGGAGGCGGTTGGAGGATGGATGGTGGCTAACAGATTGAGCTTGAATCTTGACAAGGCAGAAGTATTCTTTTGTGGGGGACAGGAAGTGGGCAGGTGTGGAGAACTCTCTGGTCCTGAATGGGGTAACTGTGCCCCTGAAGGACCAGGTGCGCAGCCTGGGAGTCATTTTGGACTCACAGGTGTCCGTGGAGGCACAGGTTAATTCTGTGTCCAGGGCAGCTGTTTACCAGCTCCATCTGGTACGCAGACCAAGACCCTATCTGCCCGCAGACTCTCTCGCCAGAGTGGTGCATGCTCTAGTTATCTCTTGCTTGGACTACTGCAACACGCTCTACGTGGGCTACCTTTAAAGGCGACCCAGAAACTACAACTAATCCAGAATGCGGCAGCTAGACTGGTGACTAGGAGCGGCCGCTGAGACCACATAACACCGGTCCTGAAAGACCTACATTGGCTCCCAGTCCATTTCTGAGCACAATTCAAAGTGTTGGTGCTGACCTTTAAAGCCCTAAACGGCCTCGGCCCAGTATACTTGAAGGAGCGTCTCCAACCCCATCGTTCTACCCGGACACTGAGGTCCAGCGCCGAGGACCTTCTGGTGGTTCCCTCGCTGCGAGAAGCCAAGTTATAGGGAACCAGGCAGAGGGCCTTCTCGGTAGTGGCGCCCACCCTGTGGAATGCCCTCCCATCAGATGTCAAGGAAATAAACAACTATCTGACTTTTAGAAGACATCTGAAGGCAGCCCTGTTTAGGGAAGCTTTTAATGTTTGAAGGATTATTGTATTTTAATATTCTGTTGGAAGCCGCCCAGAGTGGCTGGGGAAACCCAGCCAGATGGACGGGGTATAAATAATAAATTATTATTATTATTATTATTAACTGGAACCCTTCTTCCCTGCTAGGGATCGTGGTTAAAGACCCCAGCATCTATGACACCCTGGAATCTGTGCGTTCCTGCCTGTACGGAACTAGGCTGGCCGGAGGCCCTGCTGCCCCTTTTGGGGTGCTGTTGCCAGGATCGGGGAGCACCTACAGCAGCGTGGGCTGCGTCAGCACCGCCACGGACGAGAGCGAGGATTCAGTCTACCAGACCTGCTTCTTTGACTCTGCCGACTCCCTGGACATTGTCCCCGCAGCTGCCCAGCCCTCGCGCCCGCGCCCAACGCTCACCCGCAGCGCCAGCGTCAAATGCACAAGCAGCAGCAGCAATGGAGTCACACGGTTCTGGGACAGATCATGCGACCAAAAGAACTCCGCAGCCGCCCCAAGGCCCCGGAAGAGCAAACCGGGGAGCTTCCGCAAGAGACTGCTCAAATTTATCCCCGGGCTGAACCGTTCCCTGGAAGAAGAAGAGAGCCAGTTGTAAAAGGCGATAGCGTCGCGCAAGGGCATTTTTTTTTGGTGGGGTGGAGTGGGGTGGCCGGCAGTCTCAGCTTTTATAAAGTTGGCTAATTTATTTATTTATTTATTCGACCAGCAAAGTGGATTCAAGCACCCCACCGGGTTAGTTCTCGGTGGATTCGAGGCTTCCAATAAGATCCCAAGCACCAGCAATTGTTAGGCTGTGCTTCTCGGGATCCAGATCGTCGTACAGATCTGGTCACGAACCTCGAGGAGAGAAGCAATGGGGGTGGGGGGGATTAGCTCGGAAGGAAACGCGCCAAATTGTAAAGCCAAAGACGCATGAGTGATCTGGTATTCTTTGTTCCGTGGAAGGATTGTGGGTTTTTTTTTTTAAGAATTAGATTCTTCCACGGAGCAGGGTCAACCGAATCTGTGAATGCTACTCAGTTTGTTCCTTGCTCTATTGAAAGGGTTAGGTCAGGTTTCCCGAACTTGGGTCTCTAGCTCTTTGGGGAACTACAAATCCCATCGTCCTGCTAGCTACGGATAATGGGAACTGTAGTCCAAGAACAGCAGGAGGCACAAATTTGAGAAAACCTGTGATTCCAGGAAGGGGGGGTGGAACTGGGAAATGGAGTGCTCCCTCCAGCTCCCCAACCAACCAAGGATTAAAGGTGTGGGGGAGACAACACAACAACTTATTGAGAGTTCAGGGTGGCCTGCAGACTGTGGGCTTTGATTTAGGACCGGGAAGATGTATTAGCGGAAACGGCATGTTGACCCTAGGGCATGAAGTAGCATTTGAGGTAAATATAAAAGGTAGAGTTAGAGGAGAGCCCAGACCTGGGATAATAATGGCTTTTGGTGGGGAGGGGCTTTAAAAAAACTGCAGTATGTGGTGTTTGGTGGCAGACCTTGAACCAAGGGAAGAGCTTAGGCCCAGGGTCCTTCAGCATTAAGTCTCCACATCCCTGTGATATCTGTCAGTGTTGGAGAAATACCAAATTAAATTAGGTAGGCCCCCCAACCATCTGTGGCAGCAAATATCTTGTCACGTACTGCAATGGCTTTTCTAATATCGAAAATCTGGCAGCAACGTATGGGAATCCCTCTTCCCACCCCACCCTGGAGTTCTGTGCAATTGTGGTTTTTCTTTTGAGCTGCTGATCTCTCTCTTTAATCTCAGAGGAGGCCTCTTCCACCAGCCACATCCTGCCTGTCTCGTCACCTCAGGAGGCCGGATTCCTCCTCCAGTACTTTAAAAAAGAAGAAGCTGATGCTTTTATACTTTTTGTCTCAATATTTTATACAGTGGCTTTTTAAAGGAGGCGAAGGGCTACTACGGCAAAGGGCTACGACGTTTGTTGTTTTGTGTTCTCCCTGTCAGCCACGTTAAAGGCTTTCTCTAGCTACCAGGAAATAAGAGCAAAACGTCTGCTGAGGAACCCCAGTTTGGGGGTTTGTTTCGGTTTTAGGCTCCATCTCCTCAGAGCCTTTAAGAGGATCCCTGTCGCTTGCCCTTCTGAACTACTGGGTCCCTGAGAAATGGAAGCCAGGCAGAGTGAATGTCTTAACAGGGTGGCATTATTCCTGTAAAAGCTTTACTTCTCGTTCAAAGCAATGTTCTGGTTATAAAAGCAATCAAAAAGGGAACTTTCTTCTTCTTTTTTTGCAACTCTAGCTCAACCTTATCTGAGGAAGTAGCTGCAGGAAGGGGGAGGCGGGTGACACGGCGTAAAAGAACAGGCAAAGTTGCATATTTGTATCTCAAAAAGAGATGCCAAACCTTTAAGCTAGGACAGGCGATTGCTGTTACTGAGTACACCCAATACATGCAAAAAAAGTGACCCAAGTAAAGGGGAGTGAGCTCTTTTTGGACAAACATGCACCCATGGTTTCAGGTGTTAACTTGTTCTCTTTTGATAAAACATAGTAAAGACTTTTTGCAATCAAGTCGTGGTGGCGAGTCTCATTTTGCACCTGCTACAAGTTCTCCGTCGTCTGTCTGAACTAGCTTCCCTGAGAAACTTACCGTATTTTTCGCTCCATAAGACGCACTTTTTTCCTCCAAAAAAGTAAGGGGAAATGTGAGTGCGCCTTATGGAGCGAATGGCACTGCGCAGAGAGGTAGAGCTGCGCAGCCCCCCTTCAGCGAAGCGGGAGGAGAAGAAGAAGAAGAGTTTGGATTTGATATCCCGCTTTATCACTACCCTAAGGAGTCTCAAAGCGGCTACCATTCTCCTTTCCCTTCCTCCCCGACAACAAACACTCTGTGAGGTGAGTGGGGCTGAGAGACGTCAGAGAAGTGTGATTGGCCCAAGGTCACCCAGCAGCTGCATGTGGAGGAGCGGGGAAGCGAACCCAGTTCACCAGATTACGAGACTCTTAACCACTACACCACACTGGCTCTCAGGAACGGAGGAGGAACGGAGCCCCTTCTGTTCCTTCTCCCGCTTCACTGAAGGGGCGCTGCGCAGCTCTCCCTCTCTGCACAGCGCCGCTCCTGCGAAGCACCCAGGAGAGGCTGCGCGCGGTTATCCCAGAAGCCAGGACAGCCACACGGTATCCCAGAAGCCAGATTCAGAATATTTTTTTATTGTTTTCCTCCTCCCAAATCTAGGTGCGCCTTATGGTCTGGTGCGCCTTGTGGTCTGGTGCATCTTATGGAGCGAAAAATACGGTATGTTTTCCAGACAGATCTTCAAACTTCATGGATAGCCAAAGCAGCAAACAGTCGCTGCTCCCCAAACCTGAGCAGTACTTGTCAAACTTTTGACAACAGCCAAGCGCAGTTGGGCGTCAAGGCGTGGGAGAAGCAGATGGATCTTTTCTCCTGCTGTCCGAGCTTTTGAGCCACCCCAGCTGGGTGCTGGAGGCCCACCCAAGCCAGTAATTCAGCATTTCCTCAGTACTGCTGAGTCCAAGCTTTTGCTTCCCTGCGGGTTTGGTTTGTTCCGTGTTCTGAGGCAGGGCGTGCCCCAGCTGCCTTGTTCCGTTCCTGTCCCTTGCGGTCACCCTTAATTGCATAGGGAACCGTCCTGCCTGGCCCAAAATAAACCCAGATCAGAGGCAACTCTTGTTTAACTTTGGAAAGAGCAGGTGCTATGTGGCCTCTCTATGGAAGTATTAATCACCCTTCCCCTTCAGCTATCTTCTTCTACAGAGTTACAAGGCTGCAGCCGGTTTCTCGACCGGCTTTTAATAATAATAATAATTTTTATTTATACCCCCGCCCTCCCCAGCCAAGGCCGGGCTCAGGGCAGCTAACAAGCAATAATAAAAACAAGTTGAATGAATACAACTTAAAAACAAGATTAAAATACAACATTAAAATATTGAAATATTAAAATGTTAAAATGCAGCCTCATCACAGGAAGAGAAAGGAAAAAGAGGGGGAGGGAATCAAACTGGCTCCAAGCCAAAGGCCAGGCGGAACAACTCTGTCTTACAGGCCCTGCGGAAAGAAATCAGATTCTACAGGGCCCTGGTCTCATGAGACAGAGCGTTCAGTGTTGAAAAGGCCCTGGCTCTGGCTGAAGCTAATCTTAACTTCCTTAGAGCCCGGGACCACTAGGGTGTTGCTATTTATGGACCTTGAGGGTCTCGGTGGTGCATACCGGGAGAGGCGGTCCCGTAGGTACGAGGGTCCCAGGCCGTGAAGGGCTTTAAAGGTCAAAAGCAGCACCTTAAATCTGACCCTGTACTCCACCAGGAGCCAGTGCAGCTAGAAAAGCACTGGGTGAATATGCTTCCATGGCAGAGACCCCATGAGGAGCCTCGCTGCAGCATTCTGCACCCGCGAGAGTTTCTGGGACAGCTTCAAGGGCAGCCCAGCATAGAGCGAATTACAGTAGTCAAGCCTGGAGGTGACCTTTTGAAATGCTCGGCAGGTCGAGCAACGCATAGGAAGGTAATGGTCTCCAAAGTCCTAAGCAGTTTTAGAGCTTTAGACAATTACTCTGAAGTGTGCTCAACTTGAAAAAGATTGCCTTATCCCTGGAAGCTGTGGGGAAGACAGAAAAAAGGGTATTTCTATGTGAGTGTCTGGAGGCAGTTGGAGGATGGATGCAGGTTAATGGATTTGGGTTAAATCCTGACAAGACAGAAGTACTATTGGGGGGGCACTCCATGGTCCTGAATGGGGTAACTGTGCCCCTGTGTCATTTTGGACTCACAGTTGTGGCGCAGGTCAATTCTGTGTCCAGGACAGCAGTCTACCAGCTCCATCTGGTACGCAGGCTGAGACCCTATCTGCCCGCCGACTGTCTCGCCAGAGTGGTGCATGCTCTAGTTATCTCCCGCTTGGACTACTGCAATGTGCTCTGTGTGGGGCTACCTTTGAAGGTGACTCGGAAACTGCAATTAATCCAGAATGAGGCAGCTAGACTGGTGACTCGGAGTGGCCGCCGAGACCACATAACACCAGTCCTGAAAGACCTACATTGGCTCCCAGTACGTTTCTGAGCAAAATTAAAAGTGTTGGTACTGACCTTTAAATCCCTAAACGGCCTTGGCCCAGTATACCTGAAGAAGCGTCTCCACCCCCATCGTTCAGCCTGGACACTGAGGTCCAGCTCCGAGGGCTTTCTGGTGGTTCCCTCACTGTGAGAACTGAGGTTACAGGGAACCAGGCGGAGGGCCTTCTCAGTGGTGGTGCCCGCCCTGTGGAACGCCCTCCCGTCAGATGTCAAGGAAATAAACAACTATCTGACTTTTAGAAGACATGTGAAGGCAGCCCTGTATTGGGAAGTTTGTTTAATGTTTTATTATGTATTTATATATCTTGGGAGCCGCCCAGAGGGGCTGGGACAAGTCAGTCAGATGGGCAGGGTACATTCATTCATTCATTCATTCGTTCGTTCGTTTGTTTGTTTGTTTGCAGGCTCTTTCACAATTTTGGAACTATCAATTAAAAGGCCAAGCTCCAAGCCCAGGACGAGGGGACTTGTGTCCAGATGCTGTTGGATTACAACTCCCAGCAGCCTAGTCAGTGTCAGGGATGATGGGAATTGCAGTTTAGCGACATCAGGAGAACCAAAAGCTTTCCACCTCTGGTGCAAGCCTGGGTAGATCAGTATGAGCCTTCACCAACATGGTTCCTGCCAGATGTTTTCAACCACAACCTCCATCAGCTCCAGACAGTGGAGCTGATGGGAGTTACAGTCCCAGGTACCTGCAGGGCACTGGCTGGTGAAGGCTGCTCTGGAGCCACAATTTCTTGGCCTACCCAGACCTGAAAGCAACTGAAGCTGGAACCATTCACATGATACATTTAATGGTGCCCCTTGTGGCTTCCCCCAAATAATTCTGGGAATTGTAGTTTAAGGGTGCTGAGAATTGTTAGGAGGCTCTTGCTACCATTTCAAGAGTTCCCGGGGAAGAGGAATTGGTGATTAAACCACTATGAGAATTGTAGCTAAGAGGGGAATATGGGTCTCCCAGAACTCACAGCACCCTTAAACTATAGCTCCCAGGATTCTTTGGGGGAAAGCTAGGACGAAAGTGCTTTAAATGTGTGGTGCGAAAGAGGCCACCATTAAACAGGATTGGGTCCGATCACTGCCTAGGCACTTGGCCAAATGTACACTCAAGTTCCATAACAAATATGGGATGTCAGTGTAGTCAATTAAATACCCTGCCTAAGGGTTATAAGAAAGATATAACCAGCTTGAGCCACATAGGATACAAATGTGATAAAATTGCTCTAGATGAAAAGAGAAGAGTCTCTGATTATAAGATTGCTTCTCCAATACTTCCAGAGCACCAACGGCAAAATGATTATTTGAGTGTGTTTATATAATCTCATAAGTGCTTATTGCCAGTTTTTTTGGCCCTGTCCACCCATCTGCAGAAAAGGGCAAAAACCACATAAAACACGACTTTAGGAGCTCGTGACAAAAAATGCAGAGAGTCAAAGGGGGAAAGGAAACTTTCCACATCAGCTACACTAATTCTGCTAAATGACAGCAATAAATCTTCATTTTAGGGTGAATTTGCCTTGGCCAAAGAATTTCATGCAGATTGTACTAAGTTCCACAGTGGCTCTTTTAAACAAATTAACAACGCAACTCCTGTGTGTGCCTATGGGAAAGTATTCCCAACTGTGTTCAACAAGGCTACTCCCAAGTTTAGTGCAGACCCCAACAACAGAACAGAACCATTTCCAAATAGTGTCCCCCAGCAGACCAAAAAATGATCTCTTGCAAGAGGGGCATCATTCCCAGAGGTAGAGAAGGGACTGGAGCTATCAGCAGTGCTTGGGTGTAATTAAGATTCTATAGCCTTGGGCTAGAACGGCACAGTATCTTGGCAAATGCGATTACGAGCTTTCGGCGCTGTGGGTTAAACCACAGAGCCTAGGACTTGCCAATCAGAAGGTCGGCGGTTCGAATCCCCGCGACGGGATGAGCTGCTGTTGCTTGGTCCCTGCTCCTGCCAACCTAGCAGTTCGTAAACACATCAAAATGCAAGTAGATAAATAGGTACCACTCTGGCGGGAAGGTAAACGGCGTTTCCGTGTGCTGCTCTGGTTCGCCAGAAGCGGCTTAGTCATGCTGGCCACATGACCCAGAAGCTGTACGCCGGCTCCCTCGGCCAGTAAAGCGAGATGAGCGCCGCAACCCCAGAATCATCCATGACTGGACCTAATGGTCAGGGGTCCCTTTACCTTTACATGGCTCAGCAGCCAAGCATATGCTCTGCATAGCAATGGCCCCAAGTTCACCTGCTTGGTAGCTCCTGGAAAGGCTGCAAAAGACTCTTGTCTGAAACCCTGTAGGTCCACCTGAGACCCAGGTAGCAAAGGCCAGGAATGGAGAACCTGTGGCCTTCCCAGTGTTCAGCCATCAACTAGCATGGGCCATGCTCCAGGATGAGCAACAACTGGAGAACCAACATGTTCTGCGCTCCTGACATTGACAACCCTGACCTAGATTGACGCAGTGGCCCAACTC